CGAACCAAGATTCCCTCATCTGGTTCGCCACAAACAGCTCTTCAGTTCGAGCTTCATCCACCGTGGCATCAGACGAACCATAACAGCTAGCTCGAATAATGTCGACAAGTCTCCAGCACGTATCCTCACATTGAAAGCCGTGTCGTTGCAAACGTTGCTGTGGCTCTTTTGGGTTCAAGATGCTGACAAACGCTGAAAATGAGCAGACTTAATATCGGAGTCCTATTCGGCAAGACTTGAGAAGACAGAAGGATCCCACTGAATGAGATGGGCGTGATACACGCTGGGACCTACATAGGCTATTGCTCTTGCTATACTTCATGCAAGGGTGCTGACCACAGCCAAGCGACGTAAGTTGATGCTTTCATATACGGCTAGTATTGCGAGAACCTAGCGCAACACCACCAACAAAGGTCGTATTCTATGCGCTGTTAGCCTACTACATGCAGATCATCACCTCATGATGTTGCAATTTCCCTCGAAAGTGCACGTGTAAGTTGGTTTGGGTTCACAATGCAATGTCAGCACCATCACACTAGTCTGCGAGTGTGCTGAAAGTCGAAGTGGAAACCGGACAGCAGCCTTGATGATTGCACATTATGTGAATAATGAGGCGAATATTGTCTGAAATAGGCTATTAGAAATTGAGTCTTGAGATATATAAACCCGCTCTAAACGTGCCCGTGTCCAATTCTCCTCTCACCAGCAGCCTCAACCTCCTTCCAGCTCTCCCAGACAAGCCTTTAAGTCAAAGCACCCACTTTTCGCCCACCCCTGCATTTCGCCTACCCAAAAATGCTGCCTAGCCACCTACTTTCTAGATAACCTCTAACTTCTAACTATTACAACATTTTCTATTTTTCTCTAAATTACTTTATTTTTTTAGGATATCTTCTCTTATACCTAATGGCCTAGTATACTGAGTTTAAGCTTGCTGGCGCAATTTCTAACGTTTAAAATAGTGTATCTACTTGGGTTGCCTCCTAGCGATGGGGTGTACTACGATTAACGATTTGATGCCGTATGCAAGGCACTTAACAGAGGGCAGATGTATTTGAAGACCTCTAGAGGCTCTCTTCTAGTCAGGAGGCCAGCCTAGCTGCCTAGATAACTACCTAAGCTGACTTAGGGCTACTACTAACCTATTAATAAGTCAAAGAACTAGCCTAGCGTATCCTTAAGGCTATAGGGGATACCTAACCTCTAGGTAAGTGATAGGTAGATAGATTTAAGTAAAGAAACCTATCTATTAAGGTCTAGAGAAGTTACTTTATTAATTTAAGGCATATTAATAAGGTATTTACTAAGGTTATTAGGGACTAGTTTAAATATCTTGCTATACCTTATATTACTGCTATTAAACTAGCTAATAAATATAATATAGATAAGACTAGTATCCTTAAGGGTAAAGGAGATAATAGGCTAGTGCTAGGTAGGGCTATAACAAAGGCAGTAAAGAAGAAGTAGCCTAGATTATAAGCCTAGGTATCTATTATTAAGTGTATATCTACTAAAGGTATTCCTATTTATCCCTTAGTTATATATAAGGGCAAAAGTGTTTAGTAGTAGTAGTTCCCTCTAGATCTAGGCCTATATAATAGGTAGTAATTTATAGTAATAGATAATAAATAGACTACTAATACTACTACTATTAAATAGCTAGAAAAAGTCTTCTTACTATAGACTAAGCCCTCTTAACCTAATTAGGCTAGACTACTTATCTTAGATAGGCATAGGAGCTATATAATAATAGACTTTATATAGTTATACTATATAAATAACGTCTATCTTTTATTCTTGCTACTATATACCTCCTATATCCTTTAGCCCTTTAATTAAGTAGTCTTTAGTCTTATAAAGGTAGCTTATTAAAAAAAGCTTAGTTACCTTATATAGTAGAATAATTTAACTATTATTAGTAAAAGAAACTTTATATTATATTATTAGAAGGCTTACTAGGCTAAATTAACTACTAGTAATATTAAGAGTAGCTAGAAATACACTAGGTTATAGCCTATTGCTATAGTAAAGCCCTTAATAAGTAGGCATCTAGTCTAAAAGGTAATATTATTATTAATAGCACTATTAACACTGCTTAACAAGAGGGCAAAAGAAGCCTATAATGCCTAGGATATAGAGGATTAGGCATCTGCTTTATCTATAGTTAAGTAGTCTACGCTAAGGAAAGTAAAAGACCTTAGAGATTAACTATATTTATTTAGCTAACTAGACTAACTAGAGTAAACTATTACTATATAACGCTAGCTATTTAGAAAGGTTAAAAAAGGCTTCTAATAGTAGTCCTTATAGTTAGCTACTACCTAGTATTAAATAGAGCTTCTCTAGGCTAATGTTAATAATACTGTTAGTTAGAAGAGGAAGGCTATTACTCTAGATCTAAACATAAAGTTTACAATAATTAAAGAGGTACAGTAAGCCTAGCTTAAGGCTAGTGAGGTTAAAAGTACGCTAGATGAATCTAGCGCATTAGATATACCTAGTGAGGCTAAAAGCTGTATTATTGTGGCATTAAGAGGTTATAGATAGTTAATTAAATAAAGTGGTGGTGGTTGTGATGGCTTCATTTTTGGGTGGGCGAAATGCAGGGGTGGGCGAAAAGTGGGTGCTTTGACTTAACTGCACCACTGCCACCGATCAATCATTGCAGTCTCTTCTACAGACCCGAAAATCTACAATGCAGTTCCTTCTCACGATCCTCACTCTGGCCGGGGCCGCCTTTGCTGGTGTCATCTCCCGGGACGAGCCCTCCAACGTTCCCGTCGGCAACCCCGCAGAGGTCTCGCTTCAGGCCATCACGCATCTTTACATCTGCGCCGATGCCAACTTTTCTGGCCGCTGCGAGAACTTGCAGTCGAACACTGGCCAGTGCTGTAAGCCTTCTTCCAAAACCCGATACCCTCTGGGATTCTGTCCCGGGCTGTGATCCTGCGATGATGATCCGCCGGTTCATAAGGATCAATGGGCAGTAACGCTAACATGGGGCCTTACATCGCAGACAACCTCCAGAACGGCTGGAACGACATCGTCACCTCGCTTGGCCCCGACCAGGGAACGACTTGCACCATCTGGGAGTAGGTTTACCGTGCAGAGTTGCGCACACGCATGAGAAGAAGCTGACATATCGTTCGCAAACAGGAACAACGGGTGCACCGGCGCCTCCATCGGCGGGATTGTCAGTCCCGGTATTTTCAACCTGGCCGACTCCAACTGGAACTTCAACGACAGGGGTACGTACATTTGATCCATGAAATTCACCGCAGGCTTGATTGGGGAAGTATCAAGCCTTGAAGTTTCGGCCTTGAGACTAACTGCCGCGGCTTTTTCTCATTAGCGAGCTCGTACCGATGCAACTAAGTCATCTTCGACAGCGCTTCATACGCTCTGTTCCAGGTTCTGACAACAAACGATCACCTGGAAGACGTTGCAACTTGCTTCCTGGTTCGCCGGTCATACGCAACTGGAAAAAGTGGCTGCCCGAGGATAGTAGTAATGTCATACCTGCACTCGCAGGGAAGCGAGAGGAAGGGGGAAGGGGACGACTTATTGAGACTTGAATTTGGTTTGGTGATAACTTAACATTCTATACATAACCATTTAGTTACGCGAATACAATCCCTGCAGGTACACCTTCGGAAGAGTGCTCTCTTCTACTCTGCCTTCAGTGAACCATTGTGCAGCCACTCGATCAGGGCAAGGGTCTGGACATAGCGGCCAAACAGTAGATATGGTAACCGGGAGCGAAGAAACGAAGAGCCGATACAATTCTCGTTTCCCGGGGGGACCTGTACACAACTCGGTTGATTGGCGATTCTGGAATCTACCGAATAGAGTTTAATTGAATGAATACTTGACGTTGCGTTGCAGATCTGACTATGCACAGGAGCTCGAGTAAGCTTGTTCGGCTTTAGCATTCGGGGTGTAAGCCCCCGGCCCCCTACCCCCTTTACCTAGTCATCCAATGACATACTGTAATTACTTCTAGCTCCCGTTACTCAGCACACACACACACACTTCCGTCAGCTGAACTTTACATTCATGTTTTCTTCTTCCGTGATTGCATTCGCCGCGAATGTCATAAGCTCAGATCTGACGTTGTCCTTTGCAACTCTCCCCTCAGACCGTTTTGACACGGTCCTTTGTAAACCTCACTCCACTACGAAAGCTTCCTCCTTCAGAGAGTCCTTTGGCGGAAACCTGGCGGAGCCGGAGACCACATAGTGACGCACATTTGACGAGCTCGGCGCCACAAATCGGTGAGGGTGCCAAGGCCAATGCCAAGGAGAAAGCCCCATTGTAGCACCTATCAATTCGCACCACGCGACCCTCTCCTGGGGCCTGACACCGCCCATCTTTCTTCTGCCCAGTGCCCTGTCTCTCGCTCGCTCGCTCTCTCGCTCTCTCTCTGTCTCTATCTCTCTCTCCCTGTGTGTGTGTATGAGAGCGTGTATGTACACCCCGCCCCCCCAAAATTTTCTCATCCCCCAAAGAAAAAACGAACTTGCCCGTCCCAACCTTGAAGAAAGTCAAGAAAAAGAAAGATGCCGGCGCCAGGCAGGTTGGCGATATCTAAAACTCCCTAGCACGTATACCTCGCCTTCAAAGCTCCATCCTCAAGCATATTCCCGTCCCATGGTCCCAAGAGTTCACCCCCGGCCCCCAAGCCTCCTCCAGTGAGCGCTCTTCCCGCTCAAACAATAAAGCCCACACCCCAACCGGCGCGGCGCCTAGCCCGGAGAGCCTCACCCGACGGTGCCGTACTGCCGTGTGCCAACCCTCTCCCCCCCCGTCCACCTTCCAGAGCCCGGAAATCCGGCACCGGATACGCAGCCCGCGCGCACCGGGAACGTCGTGAACGCTTCCCCGGTCGGGCGTGGCCGTGGTTCTGGGTTTCTTGGTTCCTTGGCCCTCTCTGGTTCCCCTCTCTCCGAGGAAGGGGGGAGAAAAAGACCCCCCTCAAACTCGATACCAAAAGAAGGGCCATGAGGCTAGTCTCCCTGAGTCTCATGGGGTCCTCCCTCCTCACGGGGCCCGCCCTGGCGACGGTCCCCATACTCACCGAGGTCTCACTGAGGGGCTGCGCCGACATCTCCTGCCCGGCCGGCGCCGTCGACGACCTCGTCGGCGAGTCTAACTGCACCCTCGGCGGCTCCGTCCTCCGCCGCGTCGGCATCGCGCCTGAAGTCATCGATATCCCTCTCGACGACAGCGACACGGCCGACATTCGTAAGCTATCCCTCACCGTAGCCACCGTCGCCCAATCCGGCGCTGGCGCCGGCAGCGCCCAGGGCGGCGGCGGCGGCGGTTCCTCCTCTTCCAGCGGTGGCTGGATGAAGAAGCAGATCTATACCCAGTCCTACTACCTAGGCGCCCCCGCCGGCCTCGACCTCGCCTCAGACCGCTACCCCAAGGGTTGCGCCCTCATCTTCCAGCACCTCTTCCAGACCCTGCCCATTGCCCACGAGGTCCCCGATCTCGACACCACCGACTGCAGCCCCTGGCTGCAGCAGTCGTGCATGGACGAGATCACCGGCTACGTCGACGACTTCCGCGCCGACTACGCCGGGAACGAGACCCTGCCCCGCTGCCAGGAGATGGCCATGTACCTCGAGGACCGCACCCGCCGCGATAGGAACTTCCGCTGCAACCTCATCGCCGGCGCCGTCAACATCACCGGCGCCGAGATTATCGGGCCCGACGCCCCCACCGAGCTGGTGGCGCAGGCTGCAGGCGGCGACGGCGGCGACGGCGACGACGACGACGACGATAGCTGCCACCCAACCCTGCCCCCGTCGTACAACTTGCTCAAGCTCGCTGATGTCGAGCTCGTCCTCGACAGCGAGGGGAGCACGACCAGGCCGACGGGCGGGCTCAACGGCTACACCCCCGTCATGAGCGTGCTGTTCGACAAGCTGCTCTACTCACAGTGGATCTGCATGAAGACGATGAGCGAATTCGACGCGAGGAACTCGGGTACGAGGACGGGCGTCCCCGCGATGGCTGGCTTCGTCATGGGATTGACGACCGTGCTGACTATTCTGCTGTTGTGATCGAGGCAAATAGTGCAAGACGGAGCAGCGTTTTTGTTGCGTGCGTGCGTTTCTTGTTTTATGTCACGGGAGGAAAAAACAGAACCGGCCCGGAATTATTCATGATTTTATGTATGCGATATATACCCAATGAAATGCATGCTGATAGATATGTTACGCCTAACCCGACCCAGTGACTTTGACCAAACGCCGATGTGTATGATGCAGCTAATGTATTGGGAGATAATGTCCTGTATGCCTCAAATGACGATGCCGCGCTGCGCCCACCCCCCCTTGCCCTTCCAGGCGAAGAGGATCATGCCGCATGCCACCCATACAGTGATGGCCATGGCCCAGAAAGTCGGTGCGTAGCACTGCTTGCCGTAGCAGAAGACGTCTCCGGCGCCTTCGCGCTGTGGCGAGTTCTCCGCGCCCGACTGGTACACGGCTGAGTAGACGAGGCCCCAAAAGGTTGACCCCAGGGCGGGGAACATGGCGACGATTCCCCAGTTGGTCGCAAAGTTCTCGACGCCCCAAATGACAGTGATGATGATCGGCGTCAGGCTGAAGACGGCACCGTAACCGGTGCCGATCAAGCTCGAAACGATCCAGAAACGTTCGCCGTGTTCCTGGATGAGGCCGGAGGCCAAGGCGACTAGGCCCAGGGACAGGAGAATGGCAAAGAAGAGAAGGAAGGCAACGCGGGAGATGGCAGGCCTGCCGCGGAGGAAGGGTGGCGTCGAGGAAACCTGCAGGTGCTGCGTCTGCGGCGAGGGCGCGAGAAGGTCCGTCAAAGTCCCCGTGGCCAGACGAGCGACCGTGCTCGCTATCCCGACAATGGAAACGTGGGTCGCGGCCGAGGTCGGATGTCCGGCGTAGCGCATGGTGGGCGGATACAGGGTCCCAATTACCGTGCCGAGGTTGCTGATAAAGGCCTCTCCAGGGCCAATCATCAACAGGAAACCAATTGCGAAGCACCACATGGTCTTGTCGGTAAGGAAGCTCCGCGTCTCGGCGTTGAGCACCATCTTTTTCATAAGTTTGGCGTCGTCTTCGGCCGGCCCATGCAGCCCGCCGTCTTCTTGGTCGCCAATTCGGGCGATCGAGCCGTATGTCCTACTACGCTCGAGGTCGCGAGCGCTAAGGAAGGAGGTGCTGCGTTCCAGAAGGCCGCTCCGCTCGAGCTCCTCAGCGGCCTCCTCAATGATGTCCTCTTCATCGACGATCTTTAGCGTGAAAGTGCCGACGACGCCGACAACCAGCAGAAGAATGGAGAGGAAGACGAAGAAGCGGAAGACATCGAGGTCTCCGACGGAGCCATCGGGTAGACGCTCGTAGAAGACATGGCTACCAAGCTGGCTCAGCCACATGCCGCTCAACCCGAAGGCAGCAATGGGCACAGCGAGGGCCAGTCCACGATGTTTTCCCTTGCCAAAGTTCTTTGCGCACGTCGCAACGGCGGCAAGGTACATGGAGCAGGTCCCGACGCCAACACAGACAAAGGCGAAGATCATCAGCGGGTAGGTCCAATCGGCGCCGCCAGCAATACGCTTTCCAGCATAATCACGTAGGCCGCCCAGGTTCTCCGCCTCAAGCTTCCGATATGTCCCTGCAGCCACGGCGTAGCCGCCGCTAAACAGTATAGCGGCCAGAAGGGAAAGGGGCGGGGTGCCGACGCGGTCGCAGATGTAACCGAGGAGGGAGACGGGCAGGTAGAGGGCGATGGAGCTGCTGATGGCCAGCCCGTTGACTTGGAACTGGGTATAATGCAGGCGCTCCTGGAAGATGTGACCGTACATGGAAAAGACGGTGATTGAGCCGGCGCAGAGGGCGGAGACCAGGGCGGCGACGAAGGAGATGGCTCGTAGGGTATTGGCGGCACGGCGGCTTTGGCGCGTCCGCCTCAAAGGTCTTTCGGAATCGAGGGAGGATCGTGAGCTGAAACGGCTGATGGTGGAGGATGCATCGTCATCGTCGTGAGGTGTCGCAACGACAGTCCGGTCGCCGGAGAGAGTAGGCGGGCTCGAGGCTCGCGCCATGGCGAAGGCTTCAACACGGAAGCTGCGGGTTCGGAATGGATGGAATGCGATTGGAGGTTCGGAGATTGCGCCGCGGGCCGGTGGTGAGTGAGACGAGGAGGCAAGAGAGGCGAATTAGACGAAAGAAACAAGATGGTCGCAGGTCATTCCCGCCGCAGGATTAAAGCAGAGAATCATGGGAATGCTCAAAAGGCTAGAAAAGGGCGAGACTGGGCATGTCGTGGACGGGAGCAGCAGCAGCTGGATGGAGGGCAGTGGAGACTAACTGGGAGAGGAGAGACAGGAGACGCGGCAGTAGTGTATGCAGGTAGCAAGAGTCAAGTCACGATTTCGCACGTCAGCTGGTCGCCTCTGTCACCTAATAATGTCGTGCTCGCAAGCAACGGCCGAGGAAGGTGGGGACCCATCGCTAGGCTGTTTGAAAGTCTGCTAGACTGTGCTGTCCGGCTGGTGGTTAGGACTGACACAGCGCGCCAGGCACAGAGCTAATGGCGAACATGACGCTGAGCAGTGGGTGTTGCCGAGAGAGCTCAGGGAGGTTGGCAGCGCCGTTTTACTGGGATCAACCGAGCGGAAATAAGCGAGATCGGAGGTCAGTCAAAGAGTCGAGTCGTAGCCCGTGGCCCACCTTCCGTTACTGACGTTTCTTCACCCTGATGACATAAGCAGGCTCACCTTAATGACATCAGCTTCCTTCCTCGGTGAGTATGTACGGCGTATCGCCCAATTGCATAACCGTTTGTCACGTGTGCAGATATGCAGATGTAGACCCAACGCGACTTCGCGACTTCTTGATGTCCAGTCTTCATCATCTGATTTCCTAATCGTGTCTCCAGCCATTCGCGGCTCACGATTCCGCCTACACGATGACGTCGTCCGACGGGGGCCGAACAGCCAAGGAAAGAAGACAAAGCAGCCCAGATGTAAACGAGCACCTCATCGCCGAGTGTTACTCACAGCTAACCAACGACGATGGATCACCCGATATTTCCTTGAGACAAGCTAACCTGCGAAATCTTGTCGAATCCATTTCACCATGGGAACTGCTATACCTGAGATCCTTGATTCGGAAGACGGCCATCAAGTTTGCAGATCTACCCGGCCTTCCCGAAGAGATAGTCGCCACAATATCCGCCAGCCTTGATTATCAAGATGTCCTCAACTGCACAAACGTCTCCAAAGGATGGCGCAGGGCGTGGACGGCCGACATGGTTGCCAGCGACGTTGCACGAGCCCACTTTGCCGGTCTTGTTGAGTCGCATCCCGACATATCGCCCTGGTCACTGCTCCAGCCCCTTGCCGCAAAGGCCGCTGCTCGTAGACAAGGAAAATACATATCGTCTCTCCATATCGACACGTCGGGCTCTTCCCTGCTTGACTGCACTGCACTGAAACTTGACGATCGTGCTCTTGAACATGCCAAGTACAAGGCCGCTCCAGCAGGGCCTGTTGCTCCTTATAGTTACGCTTACTGCGATGGGAAGATTGCATGGCAATGGGACCCTTATAGCTTCTTCATTGACGACATCCGCAGAATGACCAGGACTCTGGTGTCACCCCCAGATCTAGTCGTTAGGGGCGAAAAAGACTTCGTCGTGTCAGCGCTGTCGAACAAGCTCCTGGTTCTTGCCAACGCTAGAACAGAAAGATCACTGTAAGTCATTCCAACTTGCATGTTTCTGTTTTATTTTTCTCAGTAGGTCTTGTGCGTCTTTGGATTGCCGTGTCAATTTAGTCCTTAATGCTAATCAACTTAGGATTGTTTACCACCTCGAGAAGAATCAGTACCGGCGGGTTGTCCTCCCATCCCGCATGTACAGGGTCAAGGACGGGATTCATCTCCACAAAGAGACTTTGATAGTTGCTTTCAGAGACGATGTAAAAGACCATGTCTGGCGTTGGGAACGCGGCCTCATCGAACTCAAGATGCCCGATATGCGCAAAACCCCACTATACGCCGCCTTGGACCATGCAACGCTAGATGGGTCCCGCAAGATGCTCTTGGTTTGCCATCCGACCAAAAGCAGCGTTTTCTACCTCGTGCATGGCTTCCTCGTGAAGAGTAAGCATTCTTAGTGTACTAACTTTGTGAGATTCTGGGCTAACATGTATATGAGTTGAAAAGCTTCTCAGTCGTATATACGAGCCTACGAGCGTGCTGAACCTCAAAGGCTCGTCATCGTCGTTCAAAAGTTCAATGACACAAAGCACGTACAGACACTCAGCTACGAAACTAGTCTGATCACCCGATCTGAACTTGATCACCCAGTTCATTGCCAGCCGGTAAATGCTTATGGACTTTGCAGCCTTGGCGTATATTTCGAGGACCCTCCTTACGACATCCTCGACTCCGGGGCCCCTTGTGCAAAGTCTGCACAAACACCACCAAACATGATTCTTAGTCGAATCAACTTCAACACCATCAACGAGACATTCTCATGCACTACTCAGGAGCTCAAAGGCATGCGCCGGCCACTTTGGGATAATCCGTCAGGCTTGTTGCCTGAGCGTGAGGGTGGTGTCGTTTGGAACGATGTCATATACTACATACAAAACCATACCACCATGGAGGCAACCGGTACGCCCTGGTTTTGGAAGACCGGAGTCGAAATGTCCGGCGTCAGATCACTCTGCATCGCCGACAAATCATCAACACAGGTCATCAACGAAGATTCGCCTTGGTTTACCGAGGAGGAGGATACCTCATATTTGCTATCGGACGGTTGCCGAGGTATTGCAGTGGACGATGATTTCTTGGTTGCAATCTCCAAAAACGGGTATGTTGTGTGGAATCATGGAGACTTTGGACTGAGAGAAAAGCCCTGGGTACGCAATCATGGATCTGCGTGGCGGTTACGACTTACGACTCAGGACACGGGTTGCCCCGTTCAAGGCTGCCTTGTACCGGTATGCCGCCACTAGATCGATGATATGGTGGAACTCATGACTACAAGTAAGACACCAACTCACAGGCGAGGCAGCCCCGAGCAGCCTGGACTGTCCCCTGAATTGCCTTCGTCAAATCAAGACTGCATAAAGGCGGTGCGTGGAATGGATAAAAAGCCGCGATCCTCTGAGGGTCGAGGTAACAAGCTTGCCGAGGATCTCGCAGCTGGCGCCAGCCGGTGATCTGCCAAGACCCATAAGCTAAAGATTGGTACGGATAGTCAATACATGATTCTCTCTTCCTCTTCTTCAGTTAATTACCCCCGCTCGTACAACACCTAGGTCGTCTGACTAGAGGACGACCTCGGATAGACTTCAGGTGCAATCAATCCATCATAGAATGAGATGCCATTGCGGCGTTCACTATGCGCCTCATCAACACCAATACGCTATTTTTGGACGAATTTTACGGTGACGACGTGCCTCGGTATGCCATCGTATCACACACATGGAGCGCCGGGGAAGTCACCTTCCAAGATTGGATGGATCTTCCATTAGCGAGAGAGAAGCAGGGATTTCAGAAGATCGAGCTCGCCAGGGCGCAGGCTCTCCGCGATGGGCTGGATTACCTGTGGATTGACACATGCTGCATCAATAAGGACAGCTCCGCCGAGCTCTCGGAGGCGATTAACTCCATGTTCGCTTGGTACGAGTGCTCTGTCAAGTGCTACGCCTACCTGTCAGATATTGAACACCCTGAAGGGTTGCTGAGTGACTACGACCCAAGCAAGCAACATCAGACCCTATCTCGGAGTCGGTGGTTCGCTCGCGGCTGGACGCTCCAGGAACTCCTGGCGCCGCGAGAGGTCCTTTTCTTTTCCGCGGAGTGGAACCTCTTAGGAAACCGCAGGTCGCTCGCGGACGCCATTCAGAGCATCACAAACATCGATTGCCAGTACCTCCACAGAAGGAACAGGAAGCTCCTCTTCGCCGCGAGCGTCGCTGAGCGCATGTCCTGGCTGTCCTGCCGGCGGACCACGCGGGTTGAGGACCTAGCCTACTGCATGCTCGGCATCTTCGACATCAACATGCCGCTCCTCTACGGCGAAGGCGCAAAGGCCTTCACGAGGCTGCAGGAGGAGATCCTCAAGACCTCGACGGACCAGTCCCTCTTCGCCTGGTCGTGGGCCGAGAACGACCCGGGCTCCTGGGTCAGCATGCTGGCTCCCTCGCCGCGGAACTTCAAGAACGGCCAAGGGTACCAGCCCGCCAACGACGCCACGAACAGGCCGGTGCCGTACTCCATGACCAACTTCGGGCTCTCGATACAGCTCACGCTGATCCGCCCGACCGACATCCGTATCTCGAATTTCGGCTTCCGCCCGCCGCAGTACATCGGCGTGCTGGCTTCAGCCACCAAGGACGGCCATCTCATCGGAATTCCACTCGAGGAGACCGGGGTCACGGACACATATCGCGTTGTCCGCGAGTTCCCGCGCCCCATCGCGTTGCAGTGGACCAACAATCGCGCCTTGCGGACGGAGAACCTCAAGGTCGAAGTGCACGACATATTCGTCCCTCCAAGGCCTCCGGGAAAGACCTCGACGTCGTCCAGGTCAATCCGTACGACTCGAGCTTCCATCTCGGGGAGTACGCCATCATGTTGCTCATCGTCAACAGCAAGGGCTCGGTAGGAGAGGTGTTCACCCGTGTCGAGGCGATCCCGAGGTACACGGATTCGATGGCCGGGTTCATCGCGATGAAGAAGTTCAGGCTCCCGCGGATCTTGGCGTACGACGCCTCGTCGTCGTCGTCAGCCACCTTTCGAGCGACGGAAGCGCACGGCGCCCTCGTGCGCCTGCACTGCAACTCCCTGAGCCAGAAAGACGGGGCCCTATGTTTGTTATTCGGGGTACTGGCCAACGAAGAGAGGAAGACCAAGTGGGTGTTCAGATACCTCGACGGTATCGCGGATTCTAAAAACTCTTTCAACGAGGGGAATCTAGAGAGGTTACTGAGAGACGAAGCTGCCAACTGGCGGCTGCCTTCCAAGGCAGAGACCAAGAGCGCCTCCGCTCAGTCGACTGAAAGGAAGCGGGTGACGAAGCGGGATAGCATTACGACCACCTTGGGGCCGGAGTTCAGGGCTGAGGTCAACGACCGAAAGACGGTGGCCAAGGCTGCTCACATCATCGTTTCTAACTTCCCGGCCGCGCTCAGGACTGTGGAGTCATTGTAGAGCTTGATATATCCGCTCTTGGGCTATTTGAATGCTTTTCACAAGGCTCTTCGCGTCATCAAAGGTGTTTTTCTGTCATGCCCATCTGTCTTCAGTCTCCGATGAGCGAAATGATGACAACAATAACTGTTCTCCACGAAACACTCATAATCACTGGGACGACAACAGTTTGGTCTGATACGTTCTGTATATACCGTATAGAGATTGAAATATAGCATAGGTCAGAATTGCTGCCTTTCGGGTTATGTGTATCGTGATATTCATGTACCGGGTGAACTGCGCTGGGCCGCTTATGAGGGCCTAGAGCGACGGTAGTAAATCAATAACTTTTAAATGCCTATAAATGGACTCCTATTTCTCAGCCAGCGTCCGTAACGTAGAAATAGAGGGGGCACTATGCAAAGCACTGTCGCCAGGACAGCAAAGATGGATGATGCCTTGTTAGGATCGACCGAGTGATACAAAACGCTACCAAGCAGCGGGAAAGTTGCGCACAGCAGCGCGCGTGTGAGCCCCAGTGCCGCGAAAGCACTCGCGGTATACGTCTCATAACAATCCGTAAGGTACCCGGCCAGCACGTAGTCGTATTCGTTCACAGCATACCCGATGGGCACGAGGGCCGCCGTTGGTACGGCCCAGTGAAGCAGCACTGCCGGCGGTATTGTCCACGCAAAGCACCAAAGGCCGCCGGCCAGAAGGGGTGCCCCGATAATAAAGCCGCCGAGCTTCGACTCCGGGGTGATGGGCAACCCCTTGGCGGACCGGGTGGCAAGTGTGCGGGCGTCGTAGATGCGCGTGAGTCCGCTCGCTAAAATCCCCAACGCCAGAGCGAGGAAGGGCGTGTTCTTCCAGCCGTTTTTAAGGCCCATGGAGACGTAGACGTGGGGCAATACTTCCGTGAAGAGATAGATCAGACCAAATGCGATGGCACTGACAACTGAAACGAGGAAGACGATCGGTTCGGTGAAAAGGAATCGCAGTGGCCGTACGATGTCGAGTTTCTCGCGAATGGGGGTGTTCTTTGGCTTGGTTCCGGAGACCTGACTGCTGCCTGTCCGCTCATTGTCGGCAATTGTCTTGGCCAACACAACCGAGGGCCGCGACTCCTTGATTGTGAATAGAATAGCGGTCATGCAGGCGTTGACGATTGCTGCTGTGTAGAAAACCCATGTCCTGAAGGGGTTTATTAGTCAAGTTGCGATGATGGTCTGGGGAAATAGAGGCAACTGTACCAGTGAGCAGCGGAGATGATCAAGTCGCTGATGACTCCTCCAGCCAGCAGTCCGATATTGCCAAACACCGCCCACCAGAAGACCCACCAGACCCGGTCTTGGGTATCCCACAAGTCCTCAATACTCCCGGCGGCTACGATGGCCGGGATAGCGGAGAGGAACCCGCCCACAACGCGTCCGACGACTATCGCGGGGATGGTGGGGCACGCGGCGACCAGGACGCATGTTAGGCTGTAGATGGCAGTGCTGACGATGTAGGGTTTCTTCCGGCCGAAGGATTCCGACCACGGAGGCAGGAAAACTCCGCCGAGTGCTTGGCCCATAAGATAACTGGTCCTTCATGTTAGAAGACGGCCGCACCATGGGGGGGAGGAGTACCGGCTCATCGTACGTTGAAACAAACAGGAAAGTCGCCAGAACTGGGCTGACGCCGAGGTCGCGGTGTACGTGGGCAGCAACGGGTGTCTTCTTGGGAGTCAGTATAGTCTTTGCTGAGGACATGTGGTTGGAGGACTTGCCCCTGCGGTGCTTATTGTTGTCCTGTGAGAGTCAGCATCAGCGCGCAAGGCACAAGGGCAGGTGTTTCTTCATACGTGTAAAACTCGAGAAAGATGACCCAGCACGTATCGTAGGTCTTTCTCGCCCGTCCCCAGGTTCGCGGATGGCCATGACTGTCTGATGTCCAAGACAGTTCATCATGCGACACAGAACCAGTGTTCAACTCCGTGTCGTTTTGCCGAGGGCCTTGGGCTTCCAAAGTAGCAACAGCAGCCATTTTGAAAAGGCTCTGCCGCAGGGTAGTTTCTTGTTGTGTTGGGCATGGGATAATGCCCCTTCTGGCATGCGAGGCATATGGGCTTCTAGGTCGAATACTTGTATGAGGAAGCAACAAGAAAGAAAATGCCAAACATGCTAAGGAAAAGCCTCGACCCTGTGGGCCCGAACCCACGATCTCATTTCCCCCTCAAAAGCCACCCGAAGCTGCAAACCATCAGTGGGGCATGTTACATCGTCAAAGAGAAACTTAGACTTCCAGGTCTCTTAACGGGCACTATACAAGCAGATCTTACTTGGGCGATCTAACCGGGCCCGCCGGAGAAAGCACGCACCTGGGGTATACGAGCTAAGTCTGGATTGATGTTCGAGGCTTTACCTAAGACGTCTAGACTGGGCCCGAAGCTGTGGTCGGCTCCAATTCGTGGATGAACCAACTCCCCTTAGCGGTTTTTTACGAGCCGGTGCCGGACTTGGTCATTCGTCGTAGCAACTTCCAAGCCAACGGGGTTTTTTTCTCTCTCAATACTTGCAGAGGGTATAGGACACGACTGACCACTACTCTCAAACCAAGACGATGTAGTTAAACTGACTTTTGGGGGGCGTGCTGTTACATAGCCCAGTCCCCCACGTGTTGAGGTTTTGATAGGTCTAACTCATTGAGTTTCTCCTTCGCTGAAATTTTTAAGTGGAACTGGTTAAGGTAGGTTGGTCTTTGCTTGACGGAGAAACGGACATTTAGTTTAAAATTACCTAATATAGTCTCAATCTCGAGCTGGCTTTGACACAGTCTAAATAGATCATCAATCGGTTGCGGAGCTGAGGTGTCTCGGTCGGGCCGGTGTCCCCACAAGTGTGGGCGGGACAGCCCATAAAAGAAAAGTCTGATATTTCGGAACCCTTAGATGTCCCGCACTTACGGCCCGCGTGTGAGGAGACCGGGTGTTGTGGTTCTTTTCTCTCCCGAAGGAACATAGTGGTTTGAACAGTGTTTTATTTCATCGCATATCCTGGCTGGTGTTCTCTACCCTTGCCCGCCAGACGCTAGAGTCCGTTCGGCCTATAGTCATACTTTGATTGGAGAATCCAGCAGGAACCAGGGTAGTTATATACACTTGGATACCCCAGCGTTGTTGTGTTTGCTTTTGAAAACCCTTATTCAGTGCTGAGTACCGGGCATGATACTAATTTCTGGGGATTGAGTCGTGGAATAGAAGGCTGATGTGTTGCCAAGGATTATATCAGACAGCTACATATAGTGACCTCCGGGTTTGCCGTCGTGTCACGTGTGATACTTACTACGTGTACTGTTTTCTTTCGACTGCGTTATGGTAATTATAATGTTGCATGGATACCTATGCTACCTTTAGAGGGGCGTTTTACGTGTACCGTTGTGGCTCTTTTGTCTCTCGATCTCACTGTCGGACTTGGTATCTGGTAGGAGCATCAGTGGAAGGGCAACATCCATGGGCTCGTGAGCAACGCGGAAGTAGTAACTTGCAGTAGCATTCGGCCATCCGGAAGCAAGATGGAAAAGGTGTTTCTCCATGGTCGATCTTCGCAAAGTTTCAAGCTGACATTGACGTCAACCAGAGCAACTTATTAGTAAGTGGATGTGGTATTTCCAAACTTTAATTATTACGTTGATTTACCAACGCCGGCAAGCGCGGACCCAACAACAGTTTATGATATGTCGTGATCAAAGACGCAATCGCGCAATAGCAATAAAGAATCCGCTCTTGTCATTACATGATATCATTCCAGAATATGCTCCGTGGGCTCACCCTCGTCGTTTCGGACAGTTCTTACAACCCAGTGCCCCGTTTCGGGATTCATCGCCGCTCTCCATTTCCTGTCCTTTACATCCGACCTTGCCTTGCCCCTTTTCCTTATGTCACCGTCAAACCCCGTCTCTTGACTTATGTCCGAGGCGATGCTGAGAAGCTCGCTCCCACCGAGAATTCCGGCCATCGACAACAGCCCCTGAGGCTCCTCGGTAAGGATCGACGGGGCGTCTTGGAGGCGGAAGAACAAAAAGACGACGGTGCATAGCGCGACAGCCAAGAACGCGATGATGATGTAGGCAACCCAATAAACTACGAATAGGCGTGTCGTGGGGACGAAGACCGTCCCGGCGGCCATCTCGACGTTTTGGGGCGAGTCGAAGCCATGAATCGCGACCGCGTTCAGGTAGATGGCCGTGAAAACCCGGGGGATCGCCTCCATCAGCGCCTCTGGTTTAAGCGGATTCGAAGCCTGCGCTCGCTGCGCGTGATACAGCACCAAGTTGCCCATGTCTGACGTAGTCCACTTTGCCTGCGGGTTGAACGTCACTGGTCCGAGAATGCCCTGTTCGAACACCCTCCACAGCTTCGGGCGGCTGGTATCCGGCTGACCTACTTCGGCGAAAGCGACCACGGCCGGAGAGCCCTTGGATGGCGTGACTCTGCAAGTCCCTGACGCTTGGCGGTACCCGGTTGCACAAGAGATGACGCTGATGTTATCGATGTTGTTGCTCGCCGATTCCGAGTACCTGGCTGCTGTAAAGACCAGGCGACTGTAATGCGCCTCGGCAGAACAGTCAAAGTCAACAGTTGTCTTCAGGTATATCTCCTGCGTATTGACGACGGGAAAGCTCTGCTGGAAGTCACAACCCCTGTCGTTACCGGATACTGTAACCATTCCCCCACTAGATGTGATTGTGTAGTCGTTGACCAACTCGCAGCTGAGGTAAGCCGAGTATGACGTTGTGTTTGCCGCCATGTCTGATTCGATAGACGAGCTAGAGTCGGCGGTGAACGGGCGGAAAGCACGCTCGGTATCTGTCCAGGGGATGTTGTCGCCCCCGTAAAGCAGTGTCGCCGAAACGGTGTCCAGAACAGGCCGCCAGTCCAGGGCAGCGTTGATATTATCGGCGTTATAGTCCTTGGCATAAACGATCGGCGTTGGCACCGACACTGCCACGGTCTGTGCTACGAATAAACGTGCAGCAAGGGGGGCAATAAGGTAGGTCAGGAACACAGAGAGCAGACCTGTCGAGCCGACTGTGAAATGTGACTTTCGAAAGGCCTTGTACCAACGCCAAAGCGAATTGATGAAGCGATAGTCCACGATGACTGACATCCTGGCTTCAGAACCTCCATCCTTGCGCAACTCGACATACGGCTGTCGCTCAGCAATCGCGCCGGCGATCCACGCCCAGTAGGCACCGAAAAGAGAAAAGACCAAGCTAGGGAATGAGGTCCAGAGTAGGCCAAGATCCGAAGAGATGTTGAAAATGGTAGCTTCCTGATCCGTCACGGTTATGTTGAGGGTTGAGACCGTGACGAAACCGTTCTTCTGAGAGGACGTGATGGTCAAGGCGATGATTGTGATGGCGAAGGCGAAGTCAAGGACGACGAAGCCTAGGAGGGATGGCCATCGTAGACTAGTAGCCAGCCAGCCGTAGGGACGGGATGGAGACCCTTTACTTTTGCCTGACATGCTGGATTGAGAGCAAATATGTCGTTGTCAGTAAACCATCGAAACTCGGAAGAGAAGAAATCATAATAAGTGATGGCAACGTCCTTTGAAGAAGTGTACTAGCCCGGCTGGAATCATTTGGACCCCTGAAAACGTTTCTATTCAGCCCCAGACTAACGAATGGGACTTGTCGTGATCCGTCTGGCGAGCTGACTCTAGCTTCAGCCCCCAAGGCGTACTCCAATGGCACGCAGACAAGACAATCGGGACAAATCAGAACCACAGCCTCAGCTGAAAACTTGTCACAAGCCGCAGTGGACTTAGCTTGGACCTGCGTTCTTTTAAGGTTGCTCTGATTTGAGGTTCTAGATCATCATAGCTTGTCGAGCGCTCCCAGCCACATTGGTCTGGAACGGTTCAGATGCCAACCTCCCGGGTTGAACTACGCCTGGCTGGGCAAAAGCCCGACGCGGTGGCTTGACTACTATCGTCAGCTCCGGCAGACACCGGGGACGGGCAAGTCATATTTAATATCGAGGAGACGCAAGATCTGCCAGTAGCGGGATTCAACTAACTCGACCGTCACGAAACAAGATGCATCTTTCCGCTCCGTTCGTCGTTACTCTTGCCGCTCTCTTGCGGTTGTGTTACGGGGCGGCCTTCACGCCGCCAACCTGCATCGGCGACATCACAGAATTCCCCAACTGCGAGAAAGTCGATTATTTCACAAAGAAGTGCAGCAACCTCTCAAAGAAAGAGACCATCACCTGCTTCTGCACCCAGGAGCTCTTGAATGCCTACGTGGGGTACTAATCACGTCTCCAAACACAACCTCGATCTCCGTCTGCTAACTTTTTTTCTTCTTTTCTTCCCCGTCCAGCTGCAAGGGCGAGCTCCGGCAATGCGCTCTCAGCAACGCGTTCGACAGCGACTCGGACGACCAGATCGCCGCGTGGCAGGACGCGTGCGGCCCGTACCTGGCGAAAGGCGTCACGACGCCCGCGGCCCACGCCGCGACGAGAACGCTGGACGTGGACAGCTGCAAGGGCGCCGCCGAGAGCTGCGCCCAGCTCAGCCAGTCCACCACCTCGTGCTCGTCGGCGTACACCGAGCCGGCGGAGCTCACGAGCTGCCGGTGCCGAGCGTCGCTGGTCTCCCTCGCCTCCGCCTGCTATCTCGACGGACACCAGTCTTGCATGGGGGATGATGCGACGACGAGCAAGATTTGGGAGTTTCAACACTGCGCTGCCGCTACGAACGTTTTGCAGAAACCAAAGGTGCTTCTATCTTAGGGACATGATCAAGGTGCAGGAAACTGATTTTTTTTCTTTTTCTCTTTCTCGAATAATAGGACACAAGTTCCATCACGTCTGCGGCAGACACTTCTACCGCGCAGAACAAGGCGACTAGTACTTTCAGTTTCGGACCGGGAGCCACTGCTACAACGGCTACCTCCGGTGGAACAGCAGTCATGTACGGCAGTGTTGGTTGGAGGGTGATTGTTGTGCATTTTCCAGTACTGATCTACCTGCTTTTGTAGTAGAGCTCAGCTTTACTGCATCGCATCAAGGTTGAGATGTGTACCACGAACTGCTTGCCAAATTAAGTCAAAAGAAGGAGGAATATGGGATCCAAGGATCCAAGTCGGTTTAACTTGAGTGTCGTGTGAATCTGACCTGTCACATAGTGCTGATACTCAGTTTAAAAAAGCAACCACAACATTAGACATGGTTGATTTGGATAAGAGTCCTTGATTGGGTGAGGCTTTACTTCTAAATGTGTAAGATTAACAGCATAAAACCATCGGACAATCCATAGGGACGGCAAAAAGATAAGAGGTGCGGGGGGTAAATGGGCGATCTGTTGCGTTAGGCTTAGTTATTGATGACATACTGGAAGCATAACTACACACTTGTCTCTAAACTGCATCTTCCTCGCCGTACAATCTGAGCCAGGGACAGGATAGCGACTCCTTGGTAGTTACTATATTAATTGCAACAATGTGGTGTGTTCTCAGCTTATTATCTCGGCAAATGGGATTTACATCATGCGGGACAGAATCCACTGAGCGTGCATTATCTCCACGGATTCTAGATATAGACCTATATTACTATTGTATATCTGAAAGTCACTTTAGCCCAGCTGTCGGAAGGTTCATTAAATCTGGTGGAGCTTGATCAAGTGCTTTGTTTGCATCGCCATGTGAATCTGTCTCTCTCTCGCCTGCTGTCGACTTATATTTGGAGGTGTTATAGACATCCCCTAGGGATTGTTTGAAGTGTAATTGATTATTATAGGCAACAGAGGGTCAAATTGGTATCTACTAGTACAGACAAAGGAGATCTATGGTATCGACTGTGGCAATCCTTCTGTGGTATCATCGAGAAATCATGAATCAAGCAAAGGGTCATCAACGCCGAATGCTGCCCCGAAATTGTTCCGACAAAAGAGTGTGTTCTGTCCGTCAAAATGGTCGTGTCTCTCATCCTTAGCGGCTACCGTTGACCTTTGGCTTGCTGCCCTGCATCGCCTCCATGCCGGCGTTGAGCTTGCCAAACTGCCACTCGGGGAGGGTGATGCCGGTCTGTTCGTTGATGGTCGTCATCAGGGGCGGCAGCATCTGGTAGACGTTGCGCATGGTATCGACCCCAGAATTCCCGGCGGCGCCCTCGCCGCCGGCCTGGCTGCCCGTGTTCCAGACGCTGATCTTGGGCTGCAGGCCACGGATGGCGTCGGCATTGGCCTTGGCCAGCTGGACGTAGGTGCCCTTTTCGATCATGAGGTACTGCAGCAGACCGGAGGGCCCGCCGAAGGCGCCGGACATCTTGGCGTAAGCGTCCGCCATCGCAGCGACGCCCTCGGCCCTCTTCAGGGCGATGGCGAGCTCGGCGTCGGCGGTGAGCTGGGCCGAGTACTGGTGGGCCTCGGCTTCCTGACGGGACTTGTAGGCGTTGGCGTCGGCTGTCTTCGTGGTGCGGTTGAACTCGGCCGAGGTTTGGGCGTCGGCGTCCTTCTGGATCTTGTAGGCCTTGGCCTCGGTCTCGCGCTGGCTCTTTTCAAAGTTTGCCTTGGCGTCGGCTTCGATGGCATAGGCCTCGGCGTCGGCGTGCTGCTGGCGGGCCTCGCGCTGGATGGTGGCCTTGACGACGTCGGTGGCGCGCAGGCGCTCGATCTCGGCGGCGGCACGCTTGACCTCAACCTCTCGCTTGAGGTCCTCGTCCTTGGACTCGAGGGCGCGGCGGGCCTCGACGCGGGCAATCTCGACGTCCTTGCTGAGGGAGGCCTGGCGGGTGTCGAGGTTGGCCTCGGCGGTAGCGCGCTCGATGTCGCGCTCCGTCTTCTGAACCGCGGTCTCGGCGTAGATCTTGGCGATCTCGCGCTCCTGCTCACCCTTACGCTTGGACTCGCCAACGTTGCCGCGCAGCTGGGCCTCGGCGACGTCGATCCTGGCCTGATTGCTGGCGCCCTCGTGGGCCTTGCGGGAGAGGGACTCGAAGTAGTTCGAGTTGGGGGCGTCCTTGAGCTCCTTGACATTGGCGTTGTAGATCTTGAGGCCGAACTGGTCGAGCTCGGACTGAATGTTCTTGAAGATGCGACGCTTGAAGACCTCGCGCTCGGTGAAGATCTCCTCCATGGTCATGCTGGAGACGAGGACGCGGACCTCGCCCTCAATGATGCCCTTGACGATGTTCTCGAGGTGGAGCATGGTGCCGTTCTTCTTCTCGCCCGAGTCGGCGAGCAGCATGGCGTACTTCATGAGGGAGTCGCCGCGGTCCTCGCGGCGGTTGGAAGAAACGTGGTCGTCGTCGTTGTCGTGGCTAGAGGGGCCGGAGTGGGCGGATTGATGGGTGGCGTTGGCGCCGCGCTGATTGACGTCCGGGCCGACGGTGAAGACGACGGGCAGGAGGAACTGAAGCTTCTCCTTGGTCATGGCCTGAAGGTTCATGGCATAGTCGTGGGGCTGGACGCTGAAGCGCATGCAGCGCTGGAAGGGCCATACCCAAGCTGCCTTTGTGATCTTGACGGCCTTCACGGACATACCCGTGATGGCGAGGTATTCATCGGGGGCAGCGACTCTGTACGACATCTCGGCGGTTGTGTGAGGATGTAACTAACTGGTATCAAGTGGCGGGGGGTAAATGTGAGGTGAGTTGATAAACGCTAATCAGAATCGTCTCGAGACGTAAAGTTGAATAGATTTGGGTGTAGTTATATGCAAATGCGGATGAGACTAAGTCGGTCACTCGGATGGCTCGAGAGCTGATGGGGGCGAAGGTTTTGTGACGGCTTGGGCGAGCTTGCTACTTGCAGCAGTGAGTGTGAGTGGCTGGATGGTGTGGATATATATGTTTGGTGCGTGATACCTTTGGCAAAGGTGCTTTTTTGGGTATCTTGATTCCTTGGACGAGAGAAGAACATGTTATAACGAAGAAACACGGGTGTTATATATACGAGGAATGTCGTGGTGGTTGTTTTGACTACTCGAGCGCATCTCATCATAGCGGTAGGCAGGCAGGGAAGGAACGCCCAGCCGAGCCTGCCGACGGCAACACAACGGCAAGTGCTGCTAGTCTGCGACGAGGCATCTTTTTCGCGGCACGAAAATCAGAAGTTGGCCTATCGAGTTAGCCTCGCAGGCTGTCGATGACTGTAGGAATGAGTGTCAATGTGTAGGTGTGTGTGCAGGTATCAGTCGATGAGCAACATATTCGGGGCGGGGCAGTGCATTCTAGTCGATGTACGGAGTACGGATATGTACATATAGTCGAGTCGGTACCTGTCTGCTTCTGCCTCTACCTGACGCTCGTACCTGCCCGCCTGCATTGACTACCTAATCGTAAACTGCAGTACGGTACGGATACAGTACGTGTATTCGTACCTGGAAGGAAGCGGCGCCACCACCCTCGTTTAGGTAAGGCAGACATACGCAGTACGTACTGGGTACTTTGGTATTCGAGTCGATCCGATACACAGCCCAATCATGATGGACCAAAGGTGGTAAAAAAGTCAGGTGAGATGGACCGTGCGATGTGATCCTTCTCGAAGGCTTCCTTAAACGGCTGCCTAATGTACGTACCCGCATGACGCCTTACCTATTTCGGTCACGTGGCGGATGTGGGGAAACCCATCACAATCGAAAGGGTCTTGATCATCCAAGATCATCATCCCTGGCTGGTCGTTCGTCTGAGGCCCGCCACAAGGGTCGCCGCCCAGACACATCTATGGCCTCTATCGGATTCGCATTAGGTACGGGTCAATGTCACTCCAGCATGGGAGGCCGTGGTCTTGACAGCCTCACTCAGTCTTCAATACGGATAGATATGGCCTGTTCATCACCACACTTGAGGCTCGGCCCCGTCTCTCCTCCACTATCGCCGAGATGCGATCCACTTTCGGGCGCTGAGCACCGGGCATTCTACATACTACCGTATCAGGCCAATGCATGTTCTACTGTCACTGTCACTCTCTCTCTCTTCACCGAAACCTAACTTTCCGACTTCATCCGGGGCTATCTCCAAGACAGACATTCTTCTTCCGGGGTAAAGCCAATCGGAGAAGCTTGGTCGATTCCCCGCCGTCAAGCTTCGCGCTTCGTCTCAAACCGTCGACCGAGGTCCCGGTCCCGAATTCCAACGTGGATCCCGAAAGCGGGCCTCATTCGGTCACTTATTGCGGAATAGCTGTGAGAGGGGCCATCTCAGTTCCTCGCGCCAGCCAGCGCACCATGTTCCAATGAGGATTCAGCCACAGGCTACAGCGCGGCACAGCACTTTAGTCGGGCGCATCGCCCCTCCTTTGCTGCTAGGTAGAGTTACCGGCCCCGATTGTCCTTGGAATCATATCATCTCCTTCGCGGCCGCCATGTCCAAGCGCCATCGACCACACCACCCAACCGAGTCACAGCCTCAGCCCGGTCTTGGAGCCAACCTCGGCCAAGATGTTACCATGAGCGATCCTCGTGACTGATTTGACTCGATCGACCCCCGCCACCCCCGTATTGAAGTTTGCCTCGGATACACGGATGCGTGCATGCTGAGTCTCATATTCAGCCTTGTAAACACATTTCTTATCGGCGTCGACCGACAGCGCATACGTCTGGTCCATTGTTCATCCAATCACCTACCTGACCATCTCTGAGGCAAAGCTAGTTCCTCATTCCAGAGGACATTAGCACGCAAGGCGTTTTTCCCCCGCGCAGACGACTCTTCCGTGTGCATCACCCCAAAATTTTAGTCATCCTCACAAAAACGACTTTCTTCATCCAGCCCACTTAGTATCACCAGATAGGTCATATCCAACCGACTTGACTTACACCTCAAGTAAACATAGCTCTTCTGGACAACCAAAATGTCCAAATATCCGGACGGGGACGGCGACCTGCCGCCTCCATCCTACAATGAAGCAACGACTTCATACGTATCCACCCCCTCATTTCATCCCGCTTCATCCGTCTCTGCGACCCTCGACAGCCTGTCATCTCTCCTGCGGGTAACGCAATCTCAGCAGGCGGTCCGGGATACCTTCACAACCACAAACCTCCTCCCGCTCTTGACACCACACGTCACATCCCTCTTGACCCGCCTGGGAACAACACCGCACCCGCCGGCACTGACGGAGCTCTACCTCGTGCCCGCCGCCGCAGTCGGGCCGGAGTGGAGCATCGCCTCGGGCGCCGACAGGAGGGCGGGGGAAGTCGCCCACGTCACCCGCGTGAGGCCGGAAACGGACCCGGACTCGAAAGGTGGCCGAAGCGATAGTAAACGCGCCGCTTGGTCTGCCAGCACAGAGGTCGCGAGCTCGTCGTCGCGCGACTACAAGTTCGACGAGTGGGGCCGCTGGGATGACGACACAGTCGCGGCCTCGACGTCCAGGGAGGGGCGCTGGTGGTGGGACGACGAGGCTTTGGCGCGCCGTCTCGCAAAGCGATTACAGCCCGAGCCCAAGCTCGACCGCGTCGTCGTCAGCGCCGTGGTGGAACAGGCGAGAGAGGAGAAGAAGGCGGCTAGGTGGGGGATGTTCAGGTCCGCCACCCAGTCGCCCTCGCCGTCCTCGTCTGCCTCGCCGCTGCCTCGACAGCCCAACAAACAAGAAGAAGACGTCGTCATGAAGGTGCGCGCAGAAGAAGTCACCTTTCGCAGGGAAAACGAGATGGGGATATGGGAGAGCATGCGCGGGTACGGCATCGTCGTGAGAGTGAGGATTCGAGAGACCTGAGACGCTTGCGCCGGGGAAGTCCGAGATAAGCACGCTCCGTGGCTGGGGAAAGCTGTTGAAGCAAGGTGGACAGGTAGCGATGAAAGAACGCCAAGACGGTTTATTGTACATAAAGGGTATGCCGCGCACCTGCTGCGACTATACAAGCAGCAAGTGGGAAACGGGCCAGCCTGTAGGCTTAGCATAAACAATGCTAATTATCGGTTCATGCATGTGTTTCATGCCAAAGGAAACATCTCTACGCAATTTCCAAACTGCTGGTGAAGGGAATGATTATATATGTAACAACGACTGGCTATCGTTGAGTCCGCACAAATTTCCTCAGCCCTCATGGTAACACTCTGTGTCTCCTGTTACTTCTTAGTGTAACAAAATTTCTAACCATAAGGCGCAGTCCAGTACTTCTTACAGCCATTACCGCCACAGTGAGCTACTATGCTAATAATATATGTAACGCCGATTTCAGAGAGCAGTAGTACGATCCCAAGCTGCTTATACTCCCTCATCGCGGCATCCAGGAACTCGTCCTTCATTCTCTTCCAATTGCGAGCGCCGAACTGCCACTTCTCGAAATACCGCAGGTCTTCGACCCGCAGGCTCTTGAAAGCCTCCCTACGTGTTTGCCTTCCTAAGGGTCTTCACTATCTTGCAAAGAATAAGCGGCGGCTCCCTCCCCAGGAGGAGGAAGCGTGGGTCACAATTACTCGTGATCACCTCCACTGTCTCGAGCGACTCCATACAGACGATGTCTTCCTCCTCCCATAACGTGGCTCCCCAATCTGTGTCGGGAATACTTATTCGGGCCCCGGTAGCGAGGTGTCGCAGCTGGCGTAGGCAGGTGATATCGGGGCGCTCGCCATAGTGGAACTGGTGGTAAGCTGATGTGATCACCCACACTAGAGACTCTAACGTGTCCCGAACGGGCTCGAACGCTCCAACGCAGGGAGTGTGGGCAGCAGCTCGCGCCAGTGACCGAAGTCGCATCTGCTCCTCTGGGTGAGATCCAGGCTGCGCAATACCGGTAGCCGGACGGCCCCCCGACGCAAGGATATTTTGGATCGATTTGGCCCGCCTAAGGTCCCGTCTCTCTGACTCAACGTCATAGTAGGGAGAAAAGTCGAAGGCGACGGCTACGCGGGTCACGTACTGCTGCAGCCACCCGCTTTCCGACGCAAGAGTATTCTGGATCGATTGGGTGCGCCTGAACTCCCGTCTCTCTGCTTCCCAGTAAGAATCGTAGGTGACGGCCAGGTGCGTCACGTACTGCTGCAGAAATGCGCTCTCGTTCTTGGTGATGGTTTCCATGAACATGTACAGCTGCTGGTGGTTAAAGCTGTGGACGACTGCTTTATGATAGAGAACCGCCACGCACGCCCGGCAGATGAGGACGCACGTGACCAAGAGGCTAAGGATGCTCTTGTTTTTGTATTTGGGAAGCTGCCTACTGACACCCGGACACCGCCTTACTTCGTGAAGGAAGAGAGACCAGGGCCGGTAGCGTCGGTGCTCCCCGTTGTTCGTGGTGTACTGGAGGTCCGGCAGCGTCTTGCGACTATCGGACGAGGCGAATTTGTCTTGCGCGACCAATTTTGCAATCTTTCTAAGGATCTCGACTGGCGTTGTCGACAAGCTGGGCTTTGGGATCACATCTGCAGAATGGAACGTGTTGGAGACGGGCTCCATGATGGTTTCTCTTACAGGATGACATGCTAGGCGAATCGTTCCGTATCCTTGCTGATGGCGGTATTATGGTGGAGATCGGCAAGAAAGACATTCTCGACCGCAACAGCCTGCCCCTCGCGCCATTTGACCGCAGCCTTTCTTTCCGGGCTGTCGATCTATCACCCGAGAGAACCACGGACGCGCTTATCTCGAGGCTCTTCCCCAAGGTGTTTCAGCTCTTTGAGGGCGGCCATAAGCCCATCAACCCGATTCATACGTTCCCGTGAGCAGACACCCCTTCCGCGATAATGGCTCCTATCTCATTGTCGGCGGTCTTCGTGGTCTCTGTGGCTCCCTCGCCATGTGCTTGGCCAAGTCCGGTGCAAGACACCTCGCCGTATTCTCGCGCAGTGGGTACACTGATGACAGATCCCGGGACGTCGTGAAGCAGGTCAAGGCCCTTGGAGCTCGCATTGATCTTATGGCCGATATTACTGTTGAAGCAGAAGTTGAAACCGCTTTCCGACAGACAACATTGCCTATTACTGGTATTGTCTAGGGCGCAATGGTCCTCTGTGTAAGTTCTGTCCTCGACAGCTGTCCTATCGCTAGGCGACTTTGCCTATGGCCTACAATTAGTAGACTACATAGTTCAAGCACCTGGCCAAGCCATTGTTAACACCAGTACCGGCCGTTCGATTCCATGACTCTTAAGGAGTATTACAAGGCTGTTCGATGGAAGATTAATGGAACTTGAAACCTACACAAGGCCGCTGAAGCCCTTGACCTTGGGCTTGACTTCTTTACGCTCCTCTCAGCATCTCTGGCGTTGTGGGTAACCGTGGTCAGGCGAATTGCGCCGCCGCCAACGTCTTCCTTGACAATTTTGCTGCACACCGCCGTAACCGGGGCCAGACAGCCTGTGCCGTCGACCTGGACGTCATCGAAGACTCAGGCGTCATTGCTGAAAACGCCCAGTTGCAAAACCAGTTCGACTCCAGCGTGTATAAGGGCATCAATGACGCCCACCTGCGCAAGATCCTGCATCTCTCGCTGCTGCAACAGCAGGAAGCTCCGGAGCGAGTCGGCAGATCCTGCGGCCAAGCTGAAAACGACGGTGGAGGTGGTCAGCGGATGTTTCGCGAGGTTGCTGCGGCTGTCAGAGCCGATGGACCCGGCGCGCCCGCTGTCGGTCTACGGAATCGACTCGCTGGCGGCGGTGGAGGTGAGTGATTGGGTAAGGACTGAGCTAGGAGCGCTGGTGACTACGCTAAACATTATGAACGAGGCATCCTCGACAACATTTTCTGAAAAGGTTATTGTGAAACCTGCTACTTAGACCGGGGAAGAGACTTCTGCATAGAGCTAACAAGATAATATAACAGATTACTCCATCTTGTAAATAATACTACAAACATATTATGTTGCTTGGTAAGCTAGAATACCCATGCGGCTCTATACAGACTCTCACTTGAGTGTATAGATGCGTTATCAATCATGTTTAGCTCTAACAGCCCTGCTTAGCAGCATCTGGCATCAGTATGATTAGTATGTTGGGTCTAGAGGTGCCACGTTGACGTCAACAGTGTTGTGTTGTTAGTATAGATGAGTTGCTAAATAGCTAGCTAGCTAGCTATCAAGGGGGTGTATTAAATATGTAAAGATATTACTAATAGGTAAGATTACACCTAAGTGGCTTACGGGTAAGAGTCACCAAAGCCTCTGTCTACCGGCCACTAAAGCGCCCACCTGCTTTAGGGCCCCTATGGACAGGATGCTTTGGCGTGGGTTATCAGTAAGGCGGGCAGATGTAGAACCTTCCATCAGTAGCATGGCCGGGCTGGGCGCTCCGGGGGTCTACAGACAGGACATCAGGTTCCACACGCGTGTTACCTACCAGTAGCTGCCGCTGGAGCGTTCCGGATGTAGGTCCTCGGAAGCATCTACGCCGGCGAGTTATTATCAGTAGGTTCCACCACATTGGCTAGGCTGACTGCAAGACCTGGGTTGGGCTGTTGCGAGGTGAGTCTCTAGAGCCGGATTCCAAGGAACCAGGTTAGAGGAGAATCAGGAAAAACAATCACCCACCCCAGCTAACTCACAATGATGCCTTCATTCTATCCAAGTGCAAGCTTTTTGGTCGGAGTTCCCCTAACAGGGGTTCACCTTCCTGAGGACTCGAGGAGCGAACTTTCACCACGGGTTGTGACCATATATGATGTGCGACCCGTTCACTTGTGGACTACGTTATCTGTATGTAACCTACACCATAGTTTTTTAATTTCTGAGAAGTTATTTGTATGCTTAATCCCGTGGCTACATAAGGGCTGTGCTGTCTGCTGCTGCTATTTAACGTATTTAACGGGTCATGTTGCTTGTGACTGATTAGGTCGTAACAGCATGGCCAGTGAGCACCCGCTGACGCGGTTGGAAATCGCTGAAACCCAAGAAACGGGTGCGCGGCTCGGTTAGTGTTTGCGACAGACAAACAAGATGATAATATGATTGAATGATTGCATTGTAACGATTTGCAGAGAGAGCGAATACGCTAGTTGTCTAACAGAAGGTTTAAATTCCAAGGGCGACCCCAGTGTTAGATGCTAGAAATTATGCTTCAGCGGGCCGGCGATGGCTAAGAAACTTTTGCAAAAACTTCGGAAGAGACTGCGAGTAATGGTATTGGACCGATGGTACACGGGCGTTAGAGTTGGGCACCACCGCTGAATTGAAGGTCACAAACTTCGAGGTTAAATCTTAACCTGTAACAGCTAAGTTTGAATTATAACATCTTGTATGTCCAAAGTCACTGAATCATGTCGACTGTGGCTGTGGGTATGGATGCAGACCACACATCTGAACCCAACTGCCGTCCTACGTTCCGAAACAGCCGTTATATGACTGGACACCAGGCAGATCTGGCCGATCCAGCCTACATACTATACAAGAAACAAGGATCGCAGGAGCGCTCCCCAAGATGTGCCCTATGGACGTGTGACAAGGTCCTTCGGTAATACAGAGTCAACAAAACAGCCCCGCTGGAAAGATGGCAACGGGTTTTGTTGCCGCGTGATCACTCGCACAACAGTCGACAATACATCGATGCGCACCAGCAGCTCTTCGTAATGGGCCAGGCTGAGCAGTGATGGCGAACTCCACAGGTCCGACCGGCGCGGCCCCGCCGCCCCCCGGGGAAACGCCCAACTTTGAAGACCCGCGAGACGTCAACCACACGGCCCACGTTGTGTACATGAGCCTCATCCAGGCCATCGTCGTCTTCTTCTTCGCCGTACGTGTCTACGCGAAGCTGTCGGTAGATGGAAGATTCCGGTTAGAAGACTGTAGGTTTTGTGCGTCAGTGGTGCGTTCAGTTTTAGTCCGATTAACATAAGAAACCAGGGAGTTGTCTGATAGGATGGGTGAGCTTATGTCCCGGCATCCGACTTCCAGCTTGATATCGGCTTGATATTGGTTCCTGACCTATCCAGATCTTCACTGTGGTCCTAAATTCGGTCATCATCATAAGTATGCACCCACGTTTTAAGTGGAGCTAAATACGTCAGTTAAAAGTAGGCGACGCATTAACAAAAAGCACAGGAATCCATTACGGTCTCGGATTCCATATATGGGACATCACCAAGAGCAACTATATGATGATCCAAAAGGTGTGTACCAAGGCCCCGGAAACTACAAGAAAAAGACATTTTACTAGAACCTTCCGCTGCAGTGGACGTACGTCAGCAACCTATTGTACTCGCCCGCCGCTTTCTTCACCAAGATGGCCCTGATACTCATCACCGTACGTGTCTTCTCCGTCAGCACAGGTGTCGCACGGGCACTCTACAGTACCATGGCCTTGTTCCTTCTCTGCTACATCACGGTGGAGCTCCTAAAGACTTTCGTGTGCAACCCTGTGCAAGCGTATTGGGATCCGACAATATCCAACTTTAGATGCATCAATCAAACCATACTTTTCACATCCGATACCTCTATCGCCATACTATCCGATTTGATTACACTAGGGGTTCCCACCTTTTTGGCGTGGAGGCTGAGGGTTTCGATGGCCAAGAAGCTTAAGATTATCCTGCTTTTGGGTACTGGTGGTTTGGGCGTTGCGGTGACAGTCTACAGGATGTTCTTGGTGGCCAGAAATGATTCTACCACAGACCCGACCATCGATTTCGTGCCAATTGACTGGACAGTGTAAGTCTTGTGTTTTTGTCGTGAACAGACCGACTGCCAACCTTGACTGACCGCAGTACAACAGGGTGGGGGAGCTCGCCATCGGTGTGATATGCGCCTGCTTCCCTCCGATTAATCATCTCATAGAGAAACGAGCCGCCAGAAGACGAGCCGCCAGAAGACGATCTTCGAACGAAACTCGGGAGCTTCCGCCGTGGCTGAAGAAAATTTCAGGGCATATTGGTTTCCGGTCACACTGGAATGTGGGCGTCACCTCCGGGAAGGCGAGTGACAAGTCACCGAAGTTTCGAAGTGCCGACTCGAGCGGTGTAATGCAAACCACACTTCGGCCGGAGAGAGGCAGACCGCGGCAATCAGGTTGTGACGTTGAGCTCGGAGCTTTTTCAGAGTCTTACCCCGAGCCTCATCCGGGACAGCCGGTGCTGACAACAGTGCCAAGTTATTAATAAGCATAATTGGCTGACTCCGCCACCTGCTGTTCGGTGGCATAGTCCTGTTAGACTTGATAGTCCACCATGAACATCTAACCAATATGATTGTCCGTTTTGTATGACACTAACCACTGATGCCGTCTTGACGGTAGCATTTCTCGGCACAGGCTGATCCGGGATGTAGCCTAGATGGGCACGTCAGTGGGTGAGACTTGAGGAAATCCATTGTTCATGGTGCCGGTAGTCAATATAACAGGTTCGGCCGAGCCCAATCCTGGGCGATCCGTGGTATACGGGATTGCTGGGAATGAAGGTGCAGCTGTTGTTATAGATATGGTGACGCCATCCCAGTGTTCAGTACGGGCTGGTTTGGGAGGTGACGAATCCGGAGATTGGAGACCTCGAAGCCTCCCTTCGACAGAAGCGGCAGCCCTGCCCCTACGTGGCCCCTTCGCGGAGCTGGGCATCGCAAACCAGACAGTTCGAGCTTCTCCCAAACCGTCGGTATTTCCTCGAGGGCTCGGGTCCGTCCGAAGAACATGAGGAAACCCAGAAGATTAACATGTCAGTTTCCGAAACGTTACCATGCCACGTTCGCCCCGAGTTCGTCTTAGTCCGGCATCCGATGGATCTGCAATGGCGTAGCCAGTTCGGCCGTCCCAACACAGGCTCTCACATTTGTTTACTTGCTAAGCTGGCGGCATTCCCTTCAGATGTCATTACAGAACCTCGCACCAGCGAGCATCCCCCATTCGCATACTTTGCAGATGGCAGCGGCATTTGCTTGTTCGACTGGACGGTGGGATTGACCCAGGTCCAACCGTCTGGTAAGATGCAGCTGTTGCTCGTTTCCAGTTGCGGCTTCCAGACCAACAACTGGCCAACCCTCCAATGGCTTGCGAGCCTCCGGGACACGCCAGAAAAGACATATCAGTTTCCAACCCCGCCGAGAGTGCTCACAGACGAAGACTATCAGGGGCGGAAGTCATAACATGGGAGGCGCCGACAGCCTGGTCGATGAATTGATATATGTATCTTGAAAGGCCATGTATCGATAGCTTCGAACCCGTTGTCACGCATTGCCCACGGTATGCCCAACGCGCATAATCGGCGAATCCGAACAGTCAAATATGTTCCTTAGCAAGGGGGAGGTGGGAATTTCCACCAGGCACCAGATTTCGCCGTTGCCACTAGTCCGACCCGTTCTGTAACGGCATCGGTGGTCTAGCGAAATGTTTGAGAAGGTCTGAGAAGCCTTGTCTGTCTCTTTTGACGCAGATTCTCGTTCCTGGCGCTGTGGCAGTTGTTGCTTGGCCAGCGAGCAGCTTGGCTTGGCCCGCCGCTAAATACCAGCCTCCTGGCCACCGTTCAGATATCTTCCAGTTCCAGTACTGTTCACGCTTGTTGGGCCCGGCCAAATGCTTGTCGTTTTTGGCTCGCCTGTCGTCTTGGCCGCTGCACACGAGCACTATTGTGTAGAATCTCCTGCATCAACTTGCGCCACGCCTTGTAAGTTGGCATTCTTTGTTTTGCTCCTCTTTCCTCCATATCAAGACATGATCTTTACCACTGGGCACAAATTGCCGATGTCATTACTATTCGTTCCATGGCGTCCACAGGCCTGCCCACACGAAAGAATCACTGCGCGTTATCTTGAGTGTCCTCAATTGCGGGCTAGCTACCGGGAAACGCCTTTCTGGCCTTCTTATCTACTTCACGATCGGTGCCAGAGCGTTGAGATACTTGGGCTCACCATGCGGGTGCGCACTAAGAACGGATTCGGTGTTGAGAAAGAAAGACACCGCATTTGGGAAAGCTAACGTGAGACCTGCGCCTCCGTACCACTCGCCATCAGCAGAATTCTCGCGTTCCTTCATTTTCTGTTCCATACATTTCATCCTTTCAGCTGGAAGTGTAAGTCGTGTCGGCAAGCGAGAATGCTTAGTCGGTCCCGCCCTGCCGTACTGGAAACATGTGGATTTTGAGGTACCAAGGGCCCGAATCCTAAAGGTCGTTGGTTGTCTTTACGAGTACTCATTCTTTTCCGCCAGTATTTGCATATGTTCTGCTTTCGGACACTATGAGCGCTCGCCGACAAAAGGACCGAGAGGGAAGCGATTCATCCCACTTCCAAGCTTCCACAACATCCACACCCAACGCCGAGCTACCACCAGCAGCAGAGACGCCAGCGGTCTTTCGGGACTCTGAGAATCATAGGAATTGGTTCCGGGATGGCACAGGAAGCTCCCACCGGCGTGATTCCGGCAACGAAACAGGGGGCACCTCCAACGAGACGCATGGAATGGAGGACAAGAAAGGCGTCGACGAGAAGAAACCACCCCCAACGCGCCTATCCCCAAATCATTACCTGAAAAGGGCCAGCTTTGGGGAGTTCTCGCCCCCATTCACTGCCAGCAGGAGAAGTCTCAATCCCAAGCCTGTGGTGCGCCAGTCACGATGGCGCTTCTTCAGCGGATGGATCATCCACGTCCCGGCCCTGCTCCTGACGGTGGGCGTCACCGTCCTGAGCCAGCAGAGGCTGTTCTGGTACCCACCCTCGGGCATTCAGAACAAACGACTCGACCTGACGGCCGACGACCTCAACAACGTCCTGCAGCTGCCGGCAAAGGTGCACGAGTTCCTCATCGTGGCGTCGCTGTCCGCGATCGGGCTGAGCATCTTCCGACGGCGGTTGATCGGGGACGGCGTCCGTCTGGGGTTCCTCACCGGGGGGTACCGGGTCGGTGACCTCGAGTACCTCGTCAGCCCGGCGTTCTGGCGGCAGGGGTTCGGGGGGTTCGGCTCCTGGGACCTCATTCTCGCCGCGTACTTCGTGTTCGCGACGATTCTTTCGGCCCTCGTCGGGCCGGCATCTGCCATCCTCCTCATCCCGACGCCCGGCTGGTATGCCATGAACCACGACCGGGCGTTCGACAACATCACCATGCCGTTGGTCTATCCCTCAACGGCCGATGGCGTCTGGCCTGTCTTCCTAAGCCCGGATAAGGCTCCGTGGACGAATCAATCCGGTCTCTACATCACCGACTGGGAAAAGTGCAAAGGATCTCAGGGTCTGTACCAGAGGTACTGCCCGGCCGGGGGCTTCTCCGAAATTTGGACATGGGCCCAGAGCTTTGGCTCCAGCAACCTGCAGGCGAACGTCACTTTCCAATCCCCGGCCATCCAGCGAAACCTGATTCTCACCTACTCCAACCGCTCGACGACGATCGCTACGACTCCGTCGAGGTCCTTTGTGTCAACCGTTGGCCTGTTCAACAACTACGTACGGGAAAACCCGGTCGGTGACATATCGAACGGAGTTCACTACAAACTGGCGCCTAGGCTGTCACATACGTCGGGGAATCAGTCGCACAAGTCCATCTACCAACCCTTGGTACAGTCCAAGTGCAAGGTCTACGACGCGGATGAGCTCCCTCCGGGACAGCTGCCATACTATCCGACCAATTACTTGAACTGTTTCAACGATTCCATCTGCCAAGATCACAAGAACCTGCCCCAGAGCTTTCCTGTGACACGGTTGACTGAGTCACAGCGGACAAGAACTCCGCCGACTTTCCGCACCCGGGGAAGCTCGGTCGTCGTCATCTCGGGCCAAGTCCCCGGCTCGACGACCGGCATGGAAAACACCTGGATCTATGGCTGCAGTCTGCTCGCCACTTGGGTCGCGGCCAGCTACACCTTTGACCCCTGGCTCAGCCGCACGATCGAGTCCACCGTCAGCAGTCCTGCCGGGATGCAAAGCATTGTGAACGGAGACACGCTGGAGGACGGTTACGTCATCAGATTCAACGACAGCTGGTTCCCGTACATGGATCCCCATATGAACGAGACGGGGCCGGATGGGGTCCTGGGGCCGACGACGGCTATCCTTCGGCTGTTGAACCTGTTCACCACTACGCAAAATGCCAACAGCAGCGTCCAGGCCGTGCTGGCCCCGGTCGAGGCCAACAACATCACGGCGGCGGAGATCCTCTTGGAGAAGCTGTTCGCGACGTATCTCGCCGACAGCCTGGCTCGCACGGGGTCCCAGATGGGGCCGTATCTCGTCCTCAACCAGAACGAGACGCACATATCGGGCATCGACCTGCTCTCGCAGCACGGCTACTTCGGCGGCGTCAACAACATCGACACGTTCAACGCGACCCACGTCCGGTGGCAGAGACAGAACACGACGACCTACGAGAACGAGACGATCGCGCGCCTGTCGAGCAAGTACCGGGGGTTCCTCGAGTTCGACTTCGACGTCCAGCAGTACGGCTACGGCTCGGGGGACCCGCGCACGACGCTGCGCTTCGCCGTGGCCGTCATGCTCATCTACCTGGCCGCGCTCACCGTCTACGCGCTGGTCATCGCCTGCGCGCACGTGCTGGAGCACTACGACGTCGAGTGGAAGGGGCAGCCGGTGCGCGTCTGGAGCGTCCGGCCCTGGGGCAACCTGCAGGACCTGTCCGTCCTCGCGCTGCGTTCGCAGCCGCCCGCCGACGAGAACCTGACGAGCTCCGGCAGCGGAGACGCGAGGTCGGGCAGGGTGTGGGAGAGGGTCGTGCGAGTGCGGGCAGACGACCAGCAGAACCTGCACCTGGTCATGGACGAACCCGTCCCCATGCGGAGGGTGCATCACGCGGGCGGCGTCATGTATTACTGATTTCCGCTGCGAAACAAGCATTTTGCTTCGAGACGATGGGGGGGGGGAGGGGTTTCAAGATACAAATCTCGATGCTGCTCGACGGAACGTGCTTCAGAGCCAGTCATGACATGCGACCGGTCTGATATGTCGTGTTGAGACGACGAAACCCGCTGTATTCATGCTGGTCCGGGCGGGAACATCGGCGATGAGCAATGGCGTCACTTGTTGATAGGTTCGTCTAATGCAATGCGACGCACGAATGATATAAAAGTCTTATTTTTTTTCTTCTTTTTCACGAATTTCTGAGCATATGTATAGCACACTGGGGTATCTCGCGTTATACTTCTTTGCAAAAAGGAGAAGGCAAAAAAAAAAATTACTTTTAAGCCTTCTCGCCCTTAATCACTTTGTTCCGACCAATCCCCACCATCTGGATCATCTCCCTCCAGAACGTGGTGGGGGGCTCGTGCAATACGGCATGCTGCTCGTAGGCCTCGATGATGGGGCGGTCCCATGTCAAGTCGACGTCCTTGGGCTTGATGTAGTGGGTGCGCTTCAACACCTTCCAGAAGATGAAGAGGAGGGGCGCGATGATCTGCATGGTGTAGTTGGAGAAGAAGGAGGCAACGCTGAACTCGGGGCGGAAGGCGGACCAGCCGTAGGTCAGGATGACGATGGACTGCAGGAAGAGGGCGATGAAGGCGCTGTACGGCTGGAAGTATCCGTAGTAGGGCATGGTGCGGCGGTCGACGCCCTGGGCCTTGCACGCGTAGTAGTAGTTTATGAAGGTGATGGACATGACGAGGTAGTTGATGACGCCACCTCCGGTGATGAGGGCGAGGAGCCAGCTCAAGACCTTGGCGGAGCCGCTGCCGCACTGCAGGAATGAGAGCATGGGGAAGATCATGGTGACGGCGAAGCAGTAGATGGGCACGCCGTTCTTGGTGGTCTTGCGGAGCAGGGCCGGGGCGCGGCCGTCGAGGGCCAGGCTGTACAGGGAGCGGGAGGCGCAGTAGGTGTAGGTGTTGCCGGCGGAGAAGATGGTGGTGAAGAGCAGGGCGTTGACCAGGTGGGGGAGGCCCTGGATCTTCATGTTCTCCATGGCCATGACCCAGGGGGACGCAGCGGCGGTGCCGCGGCCCTCGCCGCCGCCGAGGTAGATCTTCTCGAGGATGGGGTCGTTGTGGGGGAGCACGATGCCGCAGGTCAGGGCGGCGCCGACGAAGAAGATGCCGAAGCGCACGTAGACGGTCTTGAAGGCCGACTTGATGTACAGGCTCGGGTGCTTGGCCTCGGCGGCGATCATGGAGATGTAGTCCGGGCCGACGATGGTGAAGGTGGCGGTGGCCAGGGCGCCCATGAAGCCCTCCATGCGGCCCGTGTCGCCCTGCGTGAGGTACTCGGAGAAGGCGCCGGGGTTCTTCCAGTAGCGGAAGCCGTAGGCATCGTGCTGGGGGTTGCCGCCGACCATGGTGATGAAGGTGAAGAAGAAGAGGATGAAGATGAGCAGGACCTTGCCGCCCGAGAGCCAGAACTCTGCTTCACCGAATACGCCAACAGCAACAACATTCAAGAGACTAGATTCACACAATCGACGTTTAGCATGCATACACAACAAGCAAGCAAGCAAGCAAGCACATGGGGAAGATGAGGAGGAAGGGATCACAACGGGGCGCGACTAGGGGCTCTAAAGAGTTATCCGAGGGGTCGGTTTCGAAGTCGCTTGGCCCTGGAAGGAAAACAAGAAAACAAGAGGTCAACCATCTCGACGGACGGACAGGCGGTGGACTTACGCGTATGCGAGAATGATGGCGACGCAGAAGCCGGCGGTCGGACCGGGCTCGGTGATCTTTTCGTTCCAGAAGGAGCAGACGAGGTTCAGGGCGGTGATTTCGAAGGGGATGAGCAGGGCCTCGTAGAGGAAGTAGTTCCAGCCGACCATGAAGCCGAGGGCGTCGTCGACCCAGACGCCGGCGAGGCGGATGAAGCCGCCGGAGACGGGCATGTAGGTGCTCATCTCGGCGATGGAGTTGTTGACGAGGGCGACGACGCAGGCGTAGAGGGTGTAGGCGAGGAGCAGGCTGCCGGGCCCGCCCTTGACGAGGCCCTCGCCGATGGTGACGAAGAGGCCGGTCCCGATGGTGCCCCCGATGGCGATCAGCTGGATCTGACGGTTGTCCAGGCGGCGCAGGAGGCCGTCCGAGTTGTGCCGCACAGAGGAGCCATAGCTATCGAGGGAGTCCCTCTCGCCGGGGACGGTTTCGGCCGGGCCCTTGAGCTCGGAAGCCGACATGACTGTTGGGTGTGTGCGCGTGTATGTGAGAGAGAGAGAGAGAGGGGGAGAGAGGTTTCCGTGCCGAAAGTCTCTTCGTGGCGCGGAGGCCAAATTCGAGATTTAGGCTCGTCCTGAGGGTGAGACGGGAAGACGGGAGGCGGAGGATACCACGGCAAAGCTCATGTGGAGGAATGTTGCAAGGGGGGAGGAGTCCGAGGTCGCGTGAGGTTGGCAACCGTGGGTTGAGAGTGAAAGAGGGGGGATGTGTTGTGAGGGAGGGAGGGTGAGAGGGGAGAAGATCGACCGAGCACACAGGAACTTGGAAGCGGACGGCAGAATCGAGACGGGGAGAAGGTTAGGTTTTAATGGTTGCAAGAGGTGGGAAACAGAAGAAGGAAGAGAGAGGCAAGATCAACGGTTCGTCTAGTCGACGGAGGGGGGGGGGGGTTGTATCCATACTGGGGGAAAACTCTTTACGACGGTCGCCCGGCATCCCGATAATCTGCGGTGCATGCCACACAGTACAGGGCATTACGACTAGATGGTAGTAAGAGTTGGCTAGAGTTCTTCAGCCGTCAATCACTGTAGGTTTCGGTCAAATCATAGCCCGCCCTTTCACGGCGTTGCTTTGCATCAGAAATCCAGGGACAACGGGGAGTACCCATACGGAACCCACGAAACGTTGTAGGGTTGTGTGGAGTTGGGACCGGGGCCGTCCCTTGTTTCCGTACGACCTTCTCCCCCTCCCTACCCTAACACCCCAGTCGTCGCGAACTCCATCCCCAATACTTTGGCTAAGGCAGGGCAGGGAGGGCATTGTCCGCAATGTCGTCATATCTCTATCTTGGCGGCGTCCCCGGCCTCATTGGACCGGGGTTTGAGTCCGATCAGGTGGTCGGCAGCAGGCGCGTTATCGCCGCCCTGGAGTACTGTAGTTTTGGGTTTTCTTTATCAGTTGCGAGAGTTTCTTTGAGTGACTAAAGGATGCCGTGTTATCCATATCGCTAACCCCGGGGGAAAATCCAGATAAGATGGGAAAATCCCCAGCTTTATCTGCAGGGACGGCACGGTGGAAATGGCGAGATTCTGCGCGCGTGGGGGGGAGGGGGGTTCATTTCGATACGTATCCCCCATATCGCCGGCCATCACAATCTGCCAATCTCTACTGTCAGGCTGCGGTCAGCGGCCGTGCGAAGGAGGGGTCTCAACTCTCAAGGGTACATTGCGTGTAGTGAGTGTCTTTGGTGTTGCGGTGTCCCAGTATTGTTAGGGGGGGGGGGGGGGGGGGGGGGGGGGGCACTTCACGGGCTACGCCGTCGTGCGCGAATTTGCAGATTCAGTCAATAAAGATTGGACGGTCTCATCATCAGACATTACATAATGCGCCAAGTGCGTGTGGTAGTGTATACTGCTAGGACATACTATGCAAGTACGATGTATTATGTAAGTACACTATGTACGATGCACGATCAATTGGCGCGGTGGCCAACTTGTGGACTCCAACGGTCCAATTCGCCATTCGGTGAGAGACCGACGACGGAGGCACTAAAGACGAAAATTGGCGCGAGTGAACCTGGTCTTGAGGGCGAGTGAGTCCAGGGGTATGCCATGGACCAGACGCTGTGCAAACATGGAGTACATGGACGAATGAGAGACTGCGAAAGGGAAAAGGAAGAATAAGAAAACATCTCTTTAGGTTTATGTCACCTAAGAATAAATACTAAGAGCGACCGCCTCAGACACGTACCGTACCTCAGTCATCTAAAGACACCAACCATCATGGCCAATTACGACCGTCGTATTTTGAGGAAATTATGCCCAAAACTTAGATGAAAAGGAGAGAGTATAAAAAAAAAAAAAAAAAAAAAAAAAAAAGACAAAGAAAAATCTTAACGGAAGCGTTGTGTCAAAGGGGTCACAGTAATACTTATCTTATCCACTTAATATGCAGCCGCCAGTCAATGCCCGGCCAAGACATGTGGAACCTGAGTACCATATCCTTGGTATACTGTTGTTTCCAACAGATCAAACTAAATTACATCCGCAAGGAACAAGGTTTTGAGTCGCGAGCTTGCGGAGAGCGGAGGGCTGCGGCTGGTATCCGTACTGTTGCCTACTACTACTTAGCCCGGGCGAAGCGAGGCTGATGGGATGGGTGTGTCGTTAAAAGAAGGCCGTCTCTAAGAAGCCATTGACGATTCGAGAGACGATCAGATCAGCAAGCAAGCAAGCAAGCAAGCATCGATAAGATTCTCGGACGGGCTCGAGCCAGCCGCCTTGCCGTCGGCTTCGGGGACACAAGCAAAGCGCGCGCTGCTGGGCATTTACTGGGCATGTCATTGAGATTTGTACATAGTATATGTATGGGCGCTGAGTATCCGTATCCGTACATCGTACTCCGTACGCTACCTAGGTACGTACGGATATGGTAGGTGTACATCGTACATGTGCGGCCTCACGAGGCATCACCTTGGATACGTACCGCAGTGGAGACATGATACGATGCCCTTGGCCAAGACGCTGACGGCGCAAATGCTTCCGACCACGTGATTGGAACGAAGGCTAGAGTGTGGGGGGGTCCTCGACACCGTAAGGCCCCACCCTTAGCGGGGAACGGTGTCTCCACTCTCGGTCTTACTAGGTATACATACTTGTAGTATGGATACATACCTGTACGTATCTGTGCCCCGCCTATTGCCCTGCTTTATCCGACTTGGCAGCATTTACGGTACGTACCCCGGGAAGGCAAGAAAGAAGAGTAAGGATACAAAGTGTCTTTTTACATTACAGTGTTTCTTCATATTGTCAACGAATTAGTCAAATAGCGTGTCAGAAGGGTTTCTCTCGTAAGTGGTTCGATCTCCTCAGGAAATGCAGTGTATGTAGAACAGCATTTCTTTGTATGATACGTAGCCCAAGCGACCTTACGAAGGGAAACGCTTGGAATTGGTACCCTTTTGTACACGTCTCCGTGCGTACTGTGTGTATCCGTAATTGTCCGAACGGCGCACATGCGGTCGAGGGGAGGGGAGCCTTGCGCGCACCCACGGTGAAGAAAAAAAGACAAAAGTGAAAATGACGTAGGCTGCGCGCCGTAGCCGGCGAATAATTGCGCGGGCAATGAATGGGATTAAATGCGTACGTAGCCGGACGAACATCCATGCCTGCCCACTACCGACAAGGCGCAAGGCACAAGGCAAAAGACACATATTCCCGAAGCAGGGCTCCCGCTACCCCGCTGGCCTCGGCTGACAATGTTTGATTCAGCGAGGCCACTCAGTCGCATTGTCCATTATCTAATGCCAACGTCCTGAATCAAGGTTATGCAGATTTTGAGGATTTCTCAGCTGCTTGCGTTGTGGTTCTCGAGGGAGGTTCCTTTTCCACAATTCTCGGTATGGCGGCTACCAGCGGTTCACGCGGTGAAAGAAGGGACACAGCCAACGCTTTTCTGACCTACCGGTATCTATGTGTCATGACATCAAGGCTTCGCCCATGTGTCCATCCATTCTAACCAACCGTACTTCGTTCAATTGATGGTCCCGATGGTCCCAAGTGAGGCCGTTGTCAGCATTAGTTGTCGGATCCGCCAGATCGGGCGCCGAATAAGTCCAATCACCAAAAGTTCATGCTGCAACCTACGCCCAGCATGCCGAATGTGCAATTGCAAGGCTAACCCCTGGTGCCCGGGCGACGTCCCTGAACTTCAATTTCGAATGCTAGGTACAACCATCTACCCTGGTTGAACTCTAGTGCTACGGATCGCCGCTCCGTTAAACCTTTACGTCCTTTGCGAGTGCCATCATCATTATTATTAGTATCGCCGAAATTCGTTCGTTGCATACACTAACGCCGTGACCACCGCCGCAGCTACATGTCGCCTACGCCGCCGGTAATGGGTCTCTAAGCAAACCGATAAAATAACCGCAATCTTTCTTTCTTTGCGATGTCGCCGCAAGTGGGTCGGCTGTTTCAACGACGCTGGCCGGCAACTCCCGGGTTGGCGCTTTTCGCGACAGCTTCACCGTCTGTGGACGTGCGCTTCCTGTATCGATCACTCCTGAACTTGGTTCCGCGAGCTTGTTCCTCCTGAATCGCGCAAAGGCAAACGGCGACGGCGACGCCCGGGAGTTCCGAGACCATGACCGCATCTGTCTGGAGTTGCGCTCTTTTCGAAGCTTACAAGCTCGGGCAACGATAACGGCGGCAGCTGATCTCTTTTTGAGGATTGGGGCCCTTCAAATGCGTCCCATATTTCACGGAACCAGAGTTGTGACAGGGCCATCAGCCAACCAGATTTAATACTCTAGTACAGTGACATGTAACAAGTCTGGGCTCACCTATTCAAAGTGGCACATTGTGTGGTGAGCCCAGACTTATTGCATGTCACTGTATACCTGCTTACTCGAGCCCGTCCCGCCTTAGCGGCGCTCCTGGAATCGTTCTGCGCCGGGAATACATGCCGCTGCCCAAGAGTCATTCGTCATGACCTCTGTTTTATCGCGCGTCGGCCCCGACGACGTGGCTGCCCAAGGTGATGGCTTGGACCGTAAAAGCCGTGCCATCGGCATCCCGAGTCAGGTTTGCGTCAGTATTGCACGCACCGCAAGTCTAAACCCAAGACTCGTTCTGACAAAGAAGCCACGTCGAGCCGTCCGACGCAAGAAGAAACAAGAGAGATGTAGAAAAAAAAAATCCGAAAAAAACTGCATCGTTTTCGTCCTTGATAGCCACTTCCGCCCGTCGCCAGAGATCCCACATCGCCTTGCCGCGCAAAGGGCGAAGCGCACCATGACCCGCTCCGCCGCCAATGCTGATCTCCCGCCAGAATATGTGGCGGATGGGGCCGCCGTCCACGAGCGCCTGCCCCCGGACACGCTACGCTTGGCTGGCCGCTCTATCCACTCGGCGACCTCGCGCGACATCGACGCGCCGGGGCGCTACGAGCTCAACCACCAAATGGACTTTCTGCGCGAGACGGACAGGCTGGTCGAGTTCAGCCGCATCGACTACGCCATCAGGCGAAAAGCCGGCCGGAACGCCGCCGCCGCCGCCGCCGCCGCCGCCTCGGTCCCGGAGATCACCTCGCAGCCGAGGCACGCGTTCAACCTGGAACGGCCGCCGGCCATCCTGCAGGAGGCGTTCCCGTACTACATCAAGCCGGTCTCGCGGAGCGGGCTGGGCAACATCGGGCTCAAGTTCACAAGGATCGGCAAGAGCCTGTGCAAGGCGTGGCGCGTCGGGCGGCGCAGGGCCACCGGCGGGAAGGAGCACGACACGCTCGAGTACGAGGCGCGCGAGCTCCTCTTCGACGTCCGGCGCAACAACGACGTGCTGGACTGGTTTGACGGGGCCAAGAACCGGCTCGCCGTGGAGTACTCCAGGGATGACATGTACAGCCTCAACGTCCTGGTGCCCATGGACCAGGCGATGCGGGACGCCCTCGTCGCCTCGTGGTGTGTGAAGTTGTGGAACGACCTAGCCGTGAAGTTCCACGAGCGGCGGACCTGGAAACACTGTGAGTCCGACGCCTTTGGCTTGCGGTGAACCTGTGCTGACGTGACTGCGTGTTCTTCAAGTCAAATACATCATGCAGACATGCACAGCTGGCTTGCCAAAATGAGACGGAGAGAAACTTTTGGACTAGACTGGCAGCGGCGGCATAGTTTCTCGGGGGGGGGGAGGGGGCGGTGTTAAATGCTTTATGGGCTTGAAGCAGAAGATAACCTTTGAATCTAGCGGCTACATCGCCTGGCACCTGTTCACGTTGTACCCGTGATCAATGAATGCTCGGCTCCGAACCGAAGGACACCACAGCGGGAGACCCGCTTTTCCCACTCGGAGCGGCCGATGCCGATGCCGGTGCTAAGGCGTCACCGGAGTTCTCCCGGTAAAATTTGCGCTCCACGCAAAGAACTGGGAACAGCCTTGATCTGACATCATCGGCGCCATTCTCGTCGCCGCCTTCGCAAATCCCATACTTTTTCACTTTTCCCACCACGATTGTCCGATTGTTAGAAAAAACCTACCATTACGCGCCAACGAATCCCTCCACTACTCCCTAGTTAACCCCCCATCTGACTCATCCGCGCTGAATATCCCCCCCCCTTCTCCTTACCCCTCCCCCACCCCTGCAATATCACCGTCGCAGTCCAGCTCCGCTCGGTGCCGGTATCTCCTCTGAACACTCCGTACCGCCCACCTCTTCCCACCCGCCGCCGAAGCGCATAATCCAGTATGGACGGACCGTACGCCCGGGAGCTGGCCGCCGCCATCGCCGCCGTCCAGCACGCCGCCAAGCTCAGCCGGCGCGTCCTCGCCGCCTCGGACAAGGGCGTCGTGACGAAGGAGGACCTCAGCCCGGTCACGGTCGCCGATTTCGCCATCCAGGCCCTGCTGACAAGCACGCTGCACGCCGCCTTCCCCGACGACAGGTTCGTGGGCGAGGAGTCCGCCGCGGACCTGCGGGAGAACCCGAAGCTCTGCGCCTCGGTGTGGGCGCTCCTGCAGCAGGTCGCAGGCGACAGGGCCGAGGACTCGCTGTGCAAGCTGCCCGCGTCGCCCGAGGAGATGTGCGACATGATCGACTGGTGCGGCCTCGGCGACCCCTCGCCCGCCGGCCGGTTCTGGGTCTTCGACCCCATCGACGGGACCAAGACCTTCGTGCGGGGCGAGCTGTACGCCATCAACGTCTGCCTGATGGAGGACGGGAGGCAGAGCGTCGGCGTCGTCGGCCTGCCGCTGCTGTCGGCCGACGCCACGGCGCCCATCAACAACGACTCCATCGACCCGACCGGCACCGGCAGCATCATGTTCGCCGTCCGCTCCCACGGCACCTTCATCCGGCCCATGTCCGGCCCAATCGACCTGCCGCCGACCAAGATCCCCCGGCACGCCGACGCCCACCCCGCCGACGCCGACGCTGACGCGCGTCCACCCCTGGTCTCCGTCACCTGCATCGAGGGCTCCGAGTCCGGCGCCCCGGGCATCCACCAAAAGGTCGCCGACCGCCTCGGCGTCGCCTACCCGGGCAACGACCTTCTCGGCTGGGTCCTGCGCTGGGCCGTGCTGGGCCTCGGCCAGGCCAACTGCACCTTCTGGGCGTACCGGCGGCGGGACCGCCTCGCCAAGATCTGGGACCACGCTGGCGCCATGCTGCTGTTCGAGGAGGTCGGCGGCAAGGTCACCGACGTCGACGGGAACCCGGTGAACCTGACGGCGGGGCGCAAGATGGTGGCCAACTACGGCTTCGTCGCCGCGCCGCCCTCCGTCCACGCCCGGGTGTTGGAGGCTGTTATAGAGACGTTGAAGGAGGAGGGCCTCCATGAGTTGCTAGGTTAGAACCGGGGGAGGGGGGGGGGGGGTTAAAAACACTAGACGAATGTGGCGTTCATAGCGTTATTTGCTTTTTTTTTTTTTTTTGTACGGATTACTCTCCATGCCCCGGATCATTTCAAGTTCTAGGCTCAATTCTCGGGATGCTTTCAAACATTGTCACTTTGGTCGGCCCGATGCGGCAGAGACGCTTCTTTGATTTCATCGTCAATGTCTCTTACTCATCGATCTATTCCAAATCCTACTAGACTCGTCCCGGCAAGAAGATAGTGTGGCCAGTAGCGCGTTCCGAGGTTCAAGCTGAACCCCGGCCCGAAGCCCGCGTGTCGAGGCGGAAGAGTCACAACGGTTACACGAGGGACTTGGCTAGGACGAGTGCGACGCCTCCGTCCGTGAGCGTGGTATCCAAAGAAGGTCCCCAAGCCATTATCACCGCAAAGATGGCCAAACTTCCCACCGTCTAAGCCATGGGTAGATACACTTTTTCCTTCTTCTTTTTTTTCTTGGAAGACTTACGCTTGTCAATTTCCATCTTCCCTTTGAGACTCCGTCCTGGGTTTAGTTCGTGTCTCTCATGGAAGCCCACCAGCCCACTATCTCGAGTACTTCAACTACTTCATTGACTGCTCTGGCGTTTCATCGGCAGCTTCGGCGCTCTTTCGGCACCTTGCCGATTCTTCCAATTAATCATGCTGTGGACTGGGTCATTCAGCTCAGTTCATCCCCCCTCCCTTGGCGGAATCCTTCGGGAATGGATGTAGCTCCTCTATGACAACACATTGAAGATACAGAGATCGATTTTCTTATTACCTGAGCGGTCGCGGGTAGAATAACGGTGTCTTTTACGTGATAGTGTCCAATCTAAACTAGTATTTTACCCCCAAAAGTCACTATACAGACCTTGAAGTATACACTGGTCCTTCTACCGCACTCTAACAAATTACTTTGCATCACTTTTATCATGAATTTCGAAGGATAGTATAAATAGTTATATATGTATGGTTAGAGAGTAGATCATGGGAGTTCATGTAAAGCGATGTAGGCTGCTAATTGGTACACTAATGTATCTGGCTCCTTTCGACAGCAGCATCAACTTCCACGGCCACACCGACGCTCCCTAATGAAACATAATGATTATGACCCGGGAAAACAGCACATCTCTACTAAAAGCTCTCCTATACATTGAATCCTGGCCTGGACTCTCACACTGTGCTGGATTAGTAGGTGTAGCGGTTGAAGTGGATATGCTGGACGTGCGTTAGGTACGCTAGTATCGTACCCAATTAGGCTGAGTCGATCTACCTGCATTCGGATCGAGCTCCAGTTAGATGAAATGTTGATACTGATTTGGGACTGCACCTCTAGAACGGGTTAGACACCATCAGCCGCTACTAAGTTGAGTCTATGATCGTGCCCAACGGACAAAGGGCTAGTCAGTGAGCTAGTATAAAGACGGGCAAAGTGGTTTGTCTCAACTGTAGACTTCCGAGCTAAGCTCCTCTCGCTTATGCTAGCGAAGAGGGTTCGACTAGGCCAAGCACCGTTACTTGGTTGCTTGTAATATCTTTTTATCATCGTTGATCCTACTATCGTTATATGAATCTAAAACAGTTGATCAACCGACCAATCCGGGCTCTTTTCATTTGGCATGGTATCGAACACGACGCTTTTTGAATACTCGAATGATGCTGTCACTTGCTGTTCTGCGAGATTTGCAGGAGATCATCGATATATTACTCTGCCGTTGGCGGGTACACCGTCAAAGAAACTGACTCTCTCCTGATGTGGCGCGGACCAACAGCCCGCTACTGAGCGTTAGTCTATAATATCATGCCACCCACTTCCCTTCCGCTTTCATCAGTGCGTTGCACTACCTACTACTTGGCATTGCTGTCAAGGCAAAACCATGGAAGGTGTCTCACTAGGACTTCTTGTGAAGATATACCCCTCCTTCTTCCGCTTTCTTTTTCCTGCAGGCAATCCCTGAAGCTGTAGTGAATCCTACACGGTGGAAATCATGAGGCTTCTACACAACGGCCTGTTCCTAGTAACCGTTTGCACTGCTACAGCAACATTGTTGCCGGAACCACGAGCTGCTTCCTCGACAACTACTCTCCTCGAAGACATTCCGAAGTGCTCAGTAAGTGACACGTTGTTTCTAAGCTAGTCACCGCTCACTGGCTGTTTTGGAAAATACTTGCTGACACCCCTTGTCTGCCGGTAGTTGCCGTGTTTCGTTGATCTATTGCAAACAGCAGAATGTGGCAGCTTGCCATTCGGACCATGCGTGTGTACGAACATGCGCCTTCAATCTCAAGTTTCAACATGCGTACAAACGTCCTGCATGTTCGAAGAACAAGTCGGTAAGTATTTGGAAATGGTTCGGCTTCTCATTTGGTTGCTTTGCGAGGAGATAAGCTGATTTGTATTGGGTCCACTGCACTAGTAACATCCCGCATATCGCAAGAGTTCTGCCACGGCTATCCGATTCCTGAGTACCGTCGCAATTTCTGCCGAGTTTTCCTTGTCGTTCTGCCTGCAATAACGGCTGTTGTTGTCGTTATGAGATTCATATCAAGGAGGATAGGCAGGATCCGGCTTTGGTGGGATGACTGGACAGCACTGATTGCTTTGGTAAGTTCTATTCGGATATGCTGCACTGGCCATTGCGGTCTTGTTAATTACTGACAAACATAGCTTTGCTTAACGATAACGCTGGGATGCGGTGTCGCAAGTAAGAAAAAACTTCCCTTGAAGCCTTGGAAAATCCCGTAAGCGCTGTTATTAACCCTGCCGTTTTGCAGGTGTCGAACTTGGCTTTGGCCTTCATTTCTGGCACGTGGAACCTGGAAATTCAAAGCCTATCCTTCAAGTTTGTAGTCCCCGGGCCCTATTTCGTACGCAATTCGTTAATGCTTTCCGGAAGCTTTTCTACATAACGCAGGTATTCTATCTCGTAAAGCAGTAAATCATCCTCTATCCCTCGTCACTAGACGAGCAATATCACTGATTTGTCCTAGCATCGCTGCCAAAATTTCTATCTGCGCCATGTACCTACGGATCCTCGTCGACCGCTGGTCCCGTATAACTGTTATTGGCCTCATTGCGTCCCTTATAATCCAGACACTTTTGTTCTTGTTCCTGGTGGTGTTTCAATGCACACCGGTTCAGTCGATATGGGACCGGTCCATTCCCGGGTTCTGTCTCAACATTCAAGCCATCGGCTATGCAGGGGCAGCTTTCACAATCACTTATGACTTCATCTTTATCGTCCTGCCATTGCCTCAGCTCTTGAAACTGAATATAGCCTTGCGCAAGAAATTGGTTCTGGCTTTTCTATTGACGTTGGGCTCAGTGTAAGTGACAAACACAGAGGCTATGGCGTGATGTTCACGGTGGCTGACCATACAAAGTGCCTGTGTCGCAAGCATGGTTCGTCTCAAGTTCTTGGTCACGTTTTCCCATACTTTTGACGCGACCTGTAAGCATCTACTACCCGCCAACAATTCTGTGCAATGCTAATGTTTATAGGGGACAATGTTGAAATCCTCATTTGGTCCACCTTGGAAATCGACTTGGTGATGATTTGCGGCAGCCTTCCTGCACTACGGCCGCTAGTCAACAAAGTGAAAGAAACAATGAGATCGTTCGGTCGTCGGGAGCACAACGAATCTGTTGCAGGGTGTGAGGACCAGGCCAAGTTGAGCGATCTCGGTCAATACCAGGCATCAGACAAGTCTTATGTCTTGCCAGATTCTCCAAGAAAACTAGACGCGCAAGTGTGCGCTTATGACCAGGCATCGTTGTTTGACCCTAGTGCATCCGATACTCGATAATACCAACCGACATATTTCTCCTTTCGCGCATATAACATATTACGTACAACATTTCAGCACGAGAGGCATCCTACCTCGGATGCCATTAGTTCGCTTATACTACAGAAAACGCAATCTTTCCCACGTGCTACAACCAACTTGTAACGTAGCCGGGAGCTTACATGTAGCTATCCCATCCTGCTTAGTAGAAAGGTTCTCGGGATGCCAGACTGAGTGTCTTGCAGAAAACTTGTGCCACACGTGCTCTGATCGTGAGTCTCACCCGACCTTCTGGAACGCGACTAGAAATTCCAGTGCATAAATGCATGGGTCTGTGGCAGTAGTTCGCGTGTGCCCCTGTACCAAAGCTGGGCATTATCACTGTCTTTTAAGGTAAGGAAAACCATACTGCCTTGCGTGTTGAAGATATCGCGAGGCTCCTCACCATATTTTGTCCACATGCCTACCTTCACGGCGGTCCAGGCTGTCCAGTGTCATCTCAGCAAGTTTAGCGTGTCGCGAAATGTACGGCATACGGCAACGGACTTCGCCGGACATTTTTCAGGTACGCTGGCTTTCCTTTCGCATTGATGACCACCCCCTGGCTGGCATCCTTCAACCGACCGGCTCTCGGCTCGCCCTGACATGTTGAGATCCTTGCACGCCGGGGTACCTTGGACGGCAATATATGTCAGACAACATGACAGGCGGAGTTAAGCATGCTTATCCGATGGTAACTTTGGATGTAATTGATATATTGCTCGTCGTTGAATACCACTGATCTTGGTTCGCAGGGTGGTAGCCCGCGGCTACCTTGTCCCGTACCGTCTCTTTCTGCACCGCAGCGCCGGGATTATTCGACCCCTTACTGGAACTATTTAGTCCTGCGCGCACAGATTAGGTCCACCTCGTGGTGATCACCGAAGTCCCAAAGGGAGAGCAGCATGCGATCTACGTGATTTTCATAGTCAATATCCGCCAAGTCGCAGGCGCCGCAAGACCGATGTTACAGACGTGTACGGATACCTGGCCCCAGTCAAAGTTGACACACGTTATAAAGCTGGTTTCAGGAGCTTGTTAAGCTTCAATAGCTATAAAGTTAAGCTTGGCAGCGATGCTGCAGTGGGTCCTGGTACGACCTACCCCATCCATACCGTATCCACTCGTTAGATTCACAAACCGCACTGACCGCGGGCTGCTGGATAAGGGCTAGCGGGCTGGCAGAAACAGGGATCTAGAAGTGGCAAATGCAGGGGTTAGTCATGTACGTTAGCAGCAAGTTAGGTAGCAAAGGCCAGTAAACAGACTTATGGTTGGCATTGGATTTCCTCCCTCCCTCCTACTCTAGATCTCCCATGGCCTTGTTGAACTATCTCCAATAGGTTGCTAGACGTCTTTAACTAGAGATATATACTCTTTGCTGTTGTTGTTTACATTAACGTTAAGTATCTTTTTATTACTTTAAGTAATTTCCTTCTTAATATAGGTATTATAGTTAAAGTTATCCTAACTATCCTATAATATCTTCTTATTTAGTATATCCTTTATCTAAATCTTATTAATATTACTTCTATCTAGATTACTACTAATCTTATACTAAAAAAAAGATTACTAGACTATTTTACCTCTTTTAGCTAGGCAATAGGTAGCTATTATAATAGTATAGGTAACTATAATATATTTTATTAATATAGACTACTTAATAGGTAGGCTAAGCTAATAAGTAGTAGCTTACTTTATTTACTATATATATTTATTTATTACTTTAGATAACTACTACTTAAAGGGCTTATTAATAGTAGTATTAAAAGGTTAAAGGAGGAAAGTTATACTAGGTAGTATAAGGCTAAGTGTAATATAATTAAAGTAAAGTTATAATAGTATTACAGGGGTCTTATAAAAAGTAGTAATATCTATAACTAAGAGGTATTTTTACCTTACTATAAAGGGGAAGAATTTATTAGTTAGCTACTACCTAAGAAGGTACTTATTATTATAAGCTATATTATTATATTTAACTATTACCTCTTTACTATATAAGTTACTCTTATATACCTTAAGTTAGCTACCTACGTTAGTAGGCCTACTGTAAAAAATTAACTTAGGCAGTAGCTATTAAACCCTATTAGTAAAGATATAGAGGATTAAAGTAGCTTATTACTTACTTTAGCTACTATAGTTAGTCTTACTAGCTATAGTATAGGCCCCTCTAGCTACCTACGTTAACCTATTAAGGTACTTAAAGGGTATAGGGGTCTTATTAAAGTTAATAATATAGTTAGGTAAAAATTAGAGGCTACTAATAGGCAGTTACTACTAGGCAAATAAAGGCTAGCTAATTTATTAGTTAAAGTAGAGGAAGTTAGTAATAATAGTAAGGTATTTAGTAAGTAGCTTTAAGGCTTACTTTATAAGCTAGTAGTTTAAAATATTCTATTATATAAGGAAGCTACTAAACCAGCCTAGAGAGAATTAGAAGAAGTATATTAAAGGTTTACTAGTAATAAGGGCATTAGGGTATATAGCAGCAAAAAGGGCCTTAGCCTCCTGCTTAAACTATCTAGTAGTAATAATATTATTATAAGCTTATTATTACTAGAAGTAACTATAGAGGTTAGCTTCTATTACTAGCCACTTTAGTTAATAGTATATAGTTAGGGTAATAATAGTATCTTGTATATAATACTAAGTAGCTACTGTTGCTAATAGTATCTTAAAGTAAGCAGTGGCCTTACTAAGGGTTAGGTAGCAAAGGCCATTAGCAGGGTCTAAAGGGGTATTACTAGCCTATTGCTATTACTATTACTGTTAGCTAGGGTCTATAGGGCAGCAGTAGTGCTCAAGGTATAGTAAGACCTTAACCTGCCTTTAGCGCCTATATAACTATTTAACTTACTTAATTAACTTAGTTACTGTATATTATTGCTTAGCAATAGGTGTAGGTTTCTTGCCTATTTTCTTGTGTAACAGCGGTGTAACTAGTGTAATATTTAGGTTAATATTGCCTAGCGGCTAGCAGTTAGGCATCGTGAATAACGGGTTAATGGGTTGTGGGTTGTAAGTTGTGGGCTGGCTGGCTGGCTGGCAAGTGGGTGGGTGGGTGGGTGGGTTGGTGGGTGGGTTGGTTGACCGCCTTTCAAAATAGGCTTAGTGGGTGGTCTGGGCGGTTTGTGAATCTAACGAGTGGATACGGTACTCCTCAGCGAACCTTGTAAAACAACCTCAACCTTGAGGTGTCAATAACTCAACTACCCTACTTCCGGCTACCCCCCACATCCGGCCCATCATCACCACCACCATCACCACCACTATCACTACTTATTTCACCACCTCTGCTGCCCACCCATATGCAACTTCCGGCCTCACTAGGTAATTCAGATGCACTGGATTCATCTGGACTATCTATATCGCCAATATCTAGGGTTTACGCCTACTAGATATTATATATAGTAGCAAAGGTACTATTAGGTAATAAGGGGACCTTTTTCCTTTTATATTACTATAGGTTATTTAACTTACCCTCTAGCTAGTAGACCTTTTACTCTAGAAATATATTTCTAGATACCTACTTATTATACCCCTTTTATATCTTTCTAGATAAGTAATAAATAGTATAGGCATCTAACTTATCTTTTACTAACTAGTTTAACTAGTATAGTTAATACTATAATTTAGTAGACTAATAAAAGGTTAACTATAAGATAATAAATATAGCTTTATCTTACTATTAGCTACTAGGCTAGCTAGGCTAGCTAGTCTATTAGTCTTTAGTAACTATAAGGTTAAATAGAGGCTACTATATATATATTAGCTATAGTCTAGTTAACTTTTAGCTACTTTTAATATTTTAGACTATTATAACTATATTTTTAGCCTTTATATAATAGGCTAAAAATACCCTTTTATTAGTAATAGTTAAATTACTAACCTAGTTATCTAGATATTTAACCTCTCTTTAATAAGTGTACTTTAATAGGCTAAAGACTAATATATCTAGTAGTTAAAGGATAATAAAAAAGTATAGTAGTAGATATAGTAGATATATATTATTCTAGAAGTATTCCTATATAAAGTCTATTAATATATAGCTATAATACTTATCTAGAACTAGTAGTCTAGCTACCTCTAGCTTACTAGGTATAGTGCCTAGGATAAAGACCTTCTTTAGCTACTTAAGGGTAGTCTTCTTAGTTATTTAGCTATTATTTATATATATAAAGTACTATCTTTTATATCTAGATAAGTTAAATAAGAACTACTAGGCCTAGACTAATTTACCCTTATATATAACTAGTAGGTATAAGGACCTCTTATTAGTAGCTATACACTTAATAATAGAGATCTATGCCTAAGATCTTAGCTACTTTTTTTAGATATACTATAATACTATAGAGCCTAGCACTAGCCTATTAGATCCTTTGCCTTTTATAATACTAGTTTTATTTATATTCTATTAGTTAAATAAATAAATTCTTTAGATAGTAAAGATACTAGTTAAAAGCTAAAAAAACCCCTAGATAACCTTAGAAGAATAGGCCTTCTATTACTAGGTATTAATTACTCTAGATTAATAAGTCCTAATTAATAAGTTTTATTATAAGAATTACTATATTTATCTTTTACCTAAAGGTTAATAAGTATTATAAGTATTACCTAGTATATACTTTACTAGGCCCTTTAGTTATTAATAAGTAGGTCTATTACCTAAGGTATACTAGGTTTATACTTATCTAGCTAAATAATCCTCTTAGGCTTAGGATAATTACTATATATAGTTATAAGTAGTATTTTTACTTTACTACTTAAAGAATTAGTATTAAAGTGTCTAGTATAGTATAGCCTATTTCTAAGCAGTGTAGTAAATAAAGTAACTATCTACTATATTATTAAGGGCCTATTAGAGCTTATCTTTAGTATATTACTTTATTATAGGTTAAAGAAGGTATCCTAAAAAAATTATATTATTTAGATATAAATAGATAATATTATAATAGTTTAAAAAAGGTAGTAGTGTTAATAAAGGAGGGGATTTTCAGATGTCTAAAGGTGGGGGATGTCCGGTTGCAGGGTAGTTAAGTTATATTTAGAATTCACGGCTGTATATACCACATTCAGATGGTATAGTCGTGGTCGTAATCAACAAAACTGCTATAAATTCAAGTCAAAGCCACACCTTTCCGTTCATGATTTATACTATTTCATCATCAACTTAATATATTAAAACACGCCGGTCGTCTTCACCCCTTCTCCATACTCAACCAACCAACCTGCTGTGCAGAAGATCTCATTTCACCAAAACAAAATGAAGTTCACCGCTATTGTCTTCGCTACGTTTACCGCCAGCGTCGTCGCCATAAAGGGGTAAGTACGGATGGACGCTTCCAACGAGCTCCCCAACGACGCGGATCACGCTTCCGCTTGAGTAACGTTGTACTAACAATACGCCTAAAAGTTGTGGTTTCCCCGATGGTCCCGACTGCAAATCACTTGGCAAGGGGGCCAATGGACTTGAGCAGTTCACGGACGATGGCTGCTGCGTTTTCCCCCTCCGATGCGGCAACGGCGATGGAGGCCAGGCGTGCGAGTTCGCAAAGAGTGACAAGAAGGTGAAAGACCTCAGGGGCCGTCGCGTCAAGATCACAGCATAGTGTGGGCCTTAAATACAATAATTGGCAATAAATTACAGTACGACTATGTTCATCTCACTCTCGGCAGGAATTTTGAATAGTTGGACTATTATGCGACGGTGAGGAACTTCGCCTGGCGCAACGGTTGCGTCTTGGTTTCCAGAAACACGTGATGATTGCGAATAAAACCTCCCGACCGAGACATCCATCGTCGTATTTAGGAGACTTTCCGAATGTTACGGTTGTGACTTGCCTCGAAGGCTTCGTTGGAGATCAAGCTGCTGGTCTGCACAGTCCATCCCCACACGAGGGCGTTATCGCTCTTGCGGGTGCTGGCGAACGCGTCCGTCATCAACTCGTACCCGCTCAGTACCGTCTTCAGGTACTGTTCACCCTTGAGTTAGCCAAGCTGGATGCTCTTTGTCAGGCCATAGACGAACATGGCGGAACCGGGGCTCTCAATGTAGTTGTCCCACTGCCCCTCAGCGACAGGGACAGCGCGACCCCACGCGCGAGGGGAGGCGACCGTCTCCAGGTAGGCCCAGACCGTCGTTTTGATAGATTCAAAGCTATTTGGTGGGAGGTCGTTGGTGCGGTTGCGGTTGATGGTCGTCCCATAGTCAACCAGGTCGAACTGCAACTTCATGTCTTCGCAGGCGGTGGCGGTTTCCAGGCTCGAACTATCGGGACCCAGCTGTCGGGGAAGACTTCGAGCATGTACAGTACTAGGTCAAACGTGTGGTCACAGCAATAAGGATAACCCAACGAAGAGTCGAAGGGGTGACCCTTTAATAGCTCGAGGTCACTTCACAGTGCGTCACCCAAGGCCCTGTGTCCTAACCACCTACTGCAGCTTTTAATTGACCATCCTTATTGCTGTGACCAGACTTTTGACCTAGTGCTGTATATTCTCTGAGCTCATGATTGACTGTCCTTCACGAGATTGAGACAAAACAATGCGGTTCCGGGCCTCAACTAGGCTGGGTCGAGCTCAATATTCTTCTGCACCAACCAAAGACGACAGGCTCAAGCCTAAGTCTTGCGAAAGAGTTGGTAGATGGCCGTGGGTTAATGATATTCTCGGCCGGCATTCGATCAGCCAGCCTGCATATAAGCCTTGGCGCCCGTCTGGACACGGCTGGCGGTGACAACACGCCATTCATACCGGCGAGATATACAGCACAACCATCTCGCCAAGACGGTTTCTCAGAGTATCTTCTGTCGCCGAACTGCACCCTTCTCTTTTCGCCCCGAACTCCGGCCCTCTCCCCGGGGTCTTTGCCACGCCGGCGGCCGCTCGGGAGGCGCCGGCACCCCGGGACAATGCTCAAGCAACAAGTAATTATCTCTTTCTCGTTCCTTCTTGCAACGCTGCAGACTGAGAGATTGAGCGCCAGCCCGAATTTCGCTTGTATTCTTTCCCGGGCCCGAAGATGTATCCGAACTCAACCGATAGACACTTTGTGTTTTTGATTTTCAGGACGAATTATACGAAACCCAGCACAACAAAACACATTCCACCCGTATACGAGCCTTAGCACATGTACGTGTGAAAGTCAAGAGGATGTGTCATCATTTCTCTCAAAAGTCTCATCACGGTTGCACTGATCCGAACTGCTCTGCTCCCAAGAGAGGGGTTCTGGTTCTCCCGTCCGATCAGACGCCGGCCGAGCGGGTCTTGCGTCCGATCCCGTCCGGGGGGGGCGGGTTCGCAAACCTTTTCTAAAAGCCTCACCATTCATCTCCACCCGCCCAATCACGTCAATTCAGCCCTCAACCCCAGCGATTTACCTGCTCCCTTCCCTTGGTGCACTTTGCCAATACTATCCCGGAGTCATCCCGGGCTTAAGCAACAAACATTTTATATACACATATACCTAAGCAAAAGGAGACCCGAAATGGCGGAAGAACGGACGATCCACCAGCCGATCCACGCCTCCGTCCGCGCCAGGCTGGACCCGGAGTACGTCGCGCTGCACGACGCCATCATCCAGTACATGGAACCCTCCGAGGCCAGGCCGTGGGACCCGGCCTCGCGCCGCGCGCCGAACCCGCTAGCGCACACGACGCAGAAGCTCTCGCCCGTCGGCCGCACGTGGGACGAGGAGCTCCTCGGCGGCGGCGTCCAGGCGCGCATTTTCGTGCCGGACGGAGAGGCCCCCAACGCCGCGGGTTGGCCGTGCCTCGTCTGGCTGCACGGCGGCGGCTGGGTCAACGGTGGGCTGGACAGCGAGAACGGGTTCCTGACCCACGTCTGTCGATGTGAGGCCGTCTTGACTCGGAAACCTTCCTTCTCCCCCTTTTGGTCGCTAACAGTTCGAGACGACTAGACGTGAGGTGCGTGGTTGTCACCATCAACTACCGTCACGCCCCCGAGCACGTCTACCCCGCCGCCGTGGAAGACAGTCTCGCCGGCCTCAAGTGGCTCCTCGAGCCGGCGACCGCTTCCCGGCTCAACATCAACACAAGTCTCGTTACAATCGGCGGTGTCTCAGCGTTCGTCAACCTCCCCTTACCCCCCCCTTTCTCTCTTCCGTGTCCGCAGGGTGTCGTCTAACACGCCCCGTTCCCCACCAGAGGCGGCAACCTCGCCGCGGTCGTCACCATGAAGGCCTCCCTCGCCGGCGTCGCCCCCGCGCCCATCTCCCAGCTCCTCATCTGCCCCGTTATCGACAGCACCGCCACCGCCGAGACGGGCTGGGCCGCCTCCCGGTACGTCCCCTGGCTGACCCCCGGCCGCATGGGCTGGTACCAGGACCTCTACTTCGCGCGCCCGGAGGACAGACGGCGGTGGGACGCCTCGCCGTGCTTCGCACCCCGCGACGTCCTCGCCCGCAGCCCCCCGACGTGGCTCGCCGTCGCCGAGGTCGACCTGCTGACGCCCGAGGGCCTCGCGTACGCGGACCAGCTGCGTGGTGCCGGCGTTGACGTCCGAACCGAGGTGTACAAGGGCGCGACACACTCCGTCCTCGTGCTCGCTGGGTGAGTTGACCCTCTCCTTCCCTTCCCCCCCCCCCCCCCCCCCCCCGCTCGCGTTTGATTTAATGGGGGTGGGAAAAGAAATTTGGTTTGTTTCTGACCTTGATGGTAGTGTGCATCAAATCAGCCGGAAGCTGGTCCACGATGCCTGCGCCTGGCTTGCGAGGGGCTTCGGTTCAGCATACGACGCTTCCGCCGCCCCTATCCTGTCGCAGCAAGAATAGGTTGTTTCGGCTCCGTGTCAAATGACTTTATAGTCAGCCTAGCTAGCAGTCCTTTATACACAAAGGAACTGGTTCTTCTTCGAGGACTTGGTTGACACGGAGGGAGGGGGGGGAGTTCCTTGTCATTCGTGAATCATAGAATGAGACATTTTATTTACAAGCTATATACCGTCAAGGCTTTCGAAGTAATTCTATCGCTTGTCAAACGTGAACGTCGCAAGTCGGGTGCCGGAAACAAAAACCACCTGGTCCCACCCGGATTATTTGTGCTGGGATGAGGAAGCAAAAAAAAAAAAAAAAAAAAGAAATAAGAAGAAAAAAAAGGGAAAAGAGAGCCTCGGACGGGCTGCGAGGCACAAAGTTTGACGCTCGCCGGGCTTTTCACGAAGCCGTCAGAAGCTTCTGGAGCTCCGCGAAACGGACGGGCTTCGGCAAGAAGACGTCGAAGCCCGAGGTCTCGGCGTCGCGGCGGGCGTCGGAGCTCGCCAGGCCGGTCAGGGCGACGACGGTCGCGGCCTGCAGCCTGTGCTCGCGCTCGTACTCGCGGATCCTCTTGGTCGCCTCGAAGCCGTTCATGACGGGCATGCTGATGTCCATCAGCACGAAGTCGAACCGGCGGCGCTTGCCGGCCGCCGACGCCGCGGCCGACGCGCTCGAGGCCGCGACGAACCTGTCCAGCGCCTCCTGCCCGTTCTCGGCCTGCTCGTACGAGAAGCCGCACTTCTTCATGAACATGACGAGGAGCTTGAGGTTGATCTGGTTGTCGTCGACGAGCAGCACGTGCAGCGCGACGGCCTTCTGCTTGACGAGCACGGGCTGGCCGCCGTTCAGCGCCGGCGACAGCGCGAGGGCCCCCAGCGGCTTGATCAGGGGCTGCGCCGACATGGCCGGTTCCAGCTCGGACGGCTTGGCGTCTTGGTGGAGCGGCGTTCCGACCCTTTCGACCTCTTGGGCCTCTTGTTGATCGGCGGAGAGGGACCGGGCTGGCATTCCGGACGTCCCGCCGTTCTTCTCCAAGTCTGCCGCTCGCTTGAGGCAGTGGGTGAAGACCTTTGCCAGTTTTCTCGGACCGCAGCTGGAGGCGGTGTCAGCCGTGATGGGGGAGGGGAGGGGGGTTACAGTACGATCGAAAAAAAAAAAAAAAAAAAAAAAAAAAAAAACTAATAAATACTCACGGTTGGGGTATCACTTCCACAATCTCTGAGAATTCCATCAGAAGCTTGCTGTGCTCCTCCAGAATCCGTACCGCTTCTTCGGCGTTCGGGCTGACGATGATGAATGGGGTCTTCCTGCGTTTCAGAGCCCTGCTTGAGTTATCCTTGAATCGCTTCTCGAGCATCTCCTTGGAGGGCGGCTCGGAGTACAGATAGAGATCGGCCTCTTTCGGGTCTGCCGGGTCTTCTTTGTCAACCTTCATGTGGAACCATTCCGCGCAGGTCTCGGTGAGAATCCCATTCAGCTTGGCCGCCGGTGTGCTCTTCGGCTGCGATGCCGAGCCGTCTCCTCCTTCGAGAAGCACGACCTGCAACCCCCGGGTCTGTTCGATGGCGTTGCGCATCGCCTCGTCGGGTTCGCGGGATGCCTCGTCGGACACGGGCGTGAAGCCGAGGTGCACGTCGATCTCGGTGCCTCGGTTCTGCTCCGACCTGACCTCGAGGCTTCCTCGGAGGGAGTCGACGATCTGCTTGACGATGCTCAGACCCAGCCCGGTGCCGGGTTGGAAAGAGTCTTCTTGGCTGAAGGGGAGGAAGAGCCGAGTCTGCTGGAACTCTTCCGACATGCCCTTGCCCGAGTCCGCCACGCGGATCATGGCGTCGATCTTTGAGCCGTCGGCCCTTGCCTGGCCGCTGAGGGAGACGAGCACGAAGCCTGTTGACGTGTACTTGAGGGCGTTGCCGAAGAGGTTCATGATGATTCTTCGCAGGGCGCCCGGTTGCGTCTTGACCAGCCAGGGCGTCTTCGGGTCAATGTCCACCAGGACCGACACCACGCCCTTTTGGCCCTGGGGCTGGAAGTTGCCCACCGATCGGATGTTTTTCGACTCGTTGACGCTGATGCTGGGCTTGGGCGGCCCGTCGAACGGGCCCGTGCCTACCAGCTTCTTGAAGGCGTGACCAGCGGCGATGGCGTCGACGACTTCCTCGACAAGCACTGCCATGTCCACGACGGACGTCATGCTGAGGCTTTCAAGAGAATCCGAGGTGATGGCGACGGGCCTGTTCTGGTTCTGCCTCGCACGCCTCCTCATCTGGGCCCGGCCGAGCCTGTTGATCTTGCTGTAGTCGAGCACGTGGTTCAGGGTGTCTAGCAGGGTCTTGCCGCAGGTGGCGATGGAGCTGATGAGGCCCGACTGGTAGGCGTCGGTGCTGGTGTCCTGAAGAAGCTCGGCGGAGCCCAGGATGCCGTGCAGCGGGCTTCGCAACTCGTGGCTCATGCTCGCGATGAAGGTGGTCTTGGCGGCCTCGTTCTTCTGGCTGTTGATGCGCCCGACCTGGGTCATGATGCTGTTGCTGAAGGCCCGGAGATAGGACAGGTCCTGGTCGAGGTTCATCATGCGGCCGGTAACCGACGTCCACAGGAAGCAGCCGCCGGCGAGCTTGTCTTCGCCGTAGTCGAACAGGGGCACGAAAACGACCGTCTTGGCGCCCGGTATCTTTTTGAGAAGCTCTTCGTGGACCATCTTGACCCTCCGCCGTCGGCCTTCGGACCTGTCGATGGGGGGTGCCCCGTCGACGCCCATCGTTTCCCTGTCGCTCGCGCTGTCGTCGCCCGACGAGACGCCGACGCCGGCCTCGGTGAAGGAGAAGGTCTTTCCCATTGGGAACATTGCAAAGTACTTTTCGAGAATGCCGAGCGACAGCGCCGGGCCCTGTTCGATCCGTTGGCGCGCCCGTTCGTCGGCCACGGAGTAGCTCAGTATCCTGCAGGGCCTCGACGACGGCGACGTGTCCGAGTCGGAACTGTCGAGGCCAGAGCCCGAGGCGTGATGCCGAGCGATGTCCTCCTCGTCCGAGGACTGCGTTCTCCCCGACTTGGGACGGCTCCCCGGCGTCGAGTCGGTCGTGGCCGTGGCGCCGAAGAGAGCGACACCGTCGGCGAGGGTGGAGTGGCGGAGGACATCGGCCGCCCGGTTGAAGAGCCTCGACATGCCGTCGGCCCTGGGCTGGGGTCCCTTCTTGGTCGACGGCGGGATCTCCGCGGGGGGAGAGACGGGCTCGGTCTGCTGGCGGGACGCCGAGGACTCTCTCGAGCGGGATAGCGTTTCCGCGTGGCGGAAGTACGAGTTTGATGACCGGGGCATCGGACGCCTGTTTGATGCGAGGGCCATGTCTGGCGGGCGTACGGTCGAGGGGCTCCGGGGAGCTTCGTCCTTGGCGGCCGGCTGGTCCTCGGCGAGAACCGAACACCCCTCGATGAAGGTGGCCAGGCCGCGCACGATGCGCTCACCCTTGAAGCGGTCGACGCGGTCGCGGGCCCATTCCAAATGCTCCATGACGGTCTGGGCGAGGCCCTGCATGAAGCGGATGTCATCCGCAGTTAGACCGTCGTGAGGGACTTCGTCGGAGACGGCAAAGGAGCCGATCTTGTGGCCGCTGCGGGAGATTATGGGCACGCCGGCGTAGAAGCGGACGCCGGGCTCGGACAGCACGTAGGGCCGGTTGCAGAAGCGGGGGTCGAAACGGCAGTCGTTGACGATGAGGCCGGTGGCTGTATACGGCTTGCCTCGGTGGTCGATGCCGGTGCACGTGTTCACCAAGGAGTGTTCGCAAACAGCATCCGGGCGCGACAATATGGCGGCGCCCACTAGTGAGAATGATAGTTGTCAGCACATCAGCTCCAAACGTACACGTCCTTTCTCTGTCTCTTCCTTTCTTTCTGGCTCTCTCTCTCTCTCTGTCTCTCTGTCTCTCTCATATTCCCTCGCGGAAGCCAGAGGTGCTCAGAGTCGACGACGTGACGAACGGTGCTCATGGCATGTTCTGGGTGGTAAAGAGGCTACTACGTACGCCACAAATCAGCACTGGGACCGGTGGACCGGTCCTCGTCGCTGTTCAAGCCGTCGCTCTGGTGGTCCTGCAGCTCGTTAAGGTCTCCGACCTGGAGGGCGCGGGTGGACTCGGCAAGGATCGTCTGGGTGGTGGAATCGATCAGCGAGACCATGGCGCGCCTGACGTTGAGACGCAAGACGGCCAGCTGGGCGAATGCGGTCAGGGCCTTGTCGGGCGACGCCTTGGGTTTGTAGCCATTGCCGTGTAAGTCGGGGGCGGCGAGGCTATCTACGTTGAGGGCGACGTTGAGCGAGGAGCCCTGCGCGACTTGCCAGCTCTGGAGATAGCGCTGCACCTCACGCTCGCGCTGGGCTTCGGACATTTGGATCGAGGCGCGAGAACACGTCGGCGCGCGCAACACGGCGACACAGGCAAGGGAGGTGGTGGGTAGCGGCGCTCCGGGCCGAGCGAGGAGTGTGCGCGCGCGCGCGCTGGGTGTGTCTCTCCAGTGCTGAGTCGAAGACGAAAGGAGTCGAGACAGCGACGGGAGGTTCGTCACGTCTTTTGCCCTCGACCTCGTTTCGTCAAACCTTCTTTGCTCGTTTGTTGTTCGTTTTTTTCCCCCGTCCTGTGTGTCTGACTTGCTTGGAGGGGGGGGGGGGGGGATTCCCAGAGGGGCCGAGCAAGGTCTAACTAACGGCGGGGTGCACGACCAACCCACACAACCTACGAGGAAGCACAACAGGAACAGATCTTGGCGGCGTTAGTACCTATGCACAAAAGGGCAAGGGGGGGGGATGGACGTTTCCAAAGGAGTTTAGCTTTTACCCGTTCTGGGGAAGGCAACTTTGAAGATAAGGTGAAAAGCGAGGAAAAACCAGACTTCGGCCAAGACTCTCTCTTCTCCTCGGACTTGGGGAATTACATCATAAAGCTACATAACCGGGCGGGATCCACAGCATCAAGGGGGGACATTGCATTCTGTGGTCTAGACTGGCCTGGTTCTGGCCTATGAAACGTGGCCCAGCACCGTTGACTGCTTGTCGATTGGACCAACGATAATGACTCGGCGGGAGATGAGTCCGTCCTTGTTCCCACTCACGATCGATCGATCGACCAACTGTCAAATGTGCAATGTCCGATGTTCAATGGCCGGCCAGACAGAAGCCGCATTGCCGCCACAATTCCAGTCAAAAAGCACGCCAATCGGTATACCACACGTGGTACACCCCACGTGTATAGCATCAACACTTGAAGTGTACAGTCAGCATCATATCAACACTTGGGTTCGGTGTGGCTCGCAACTCGATATTCAACTCAGGACACTTTCCGCTGTTGCATGTGTTTGGTGTGGTCAACATACCATCGGGAGGTCTCGATTGACTGGCTCTCTTCTCTCTCTCGGCGGTTGCTGAGGGAACACAAACAAGGTGGCTTGGAGAGAGATGGCCGACCCCCCCTGTCGCTCTTCCGTACGCCAGTCTCGTCTCGGAAGTCCATACATAAACCTGCCTCCGGTCACAGAGACCCCCGGCCCGACCCATCCGCGGCTCAATGTCACGCCGGCGAGGAAATAAACAAGAGGCTCAACAAACTACCTAGGTTGCCGCAGAACGCTTACCCGGTGGTTCGGGCCCTAGCAAGCACGAGCCTCCCTCCTCGTAACTCAAACCGCGGCCTCCCTTTAACTCTAAATCCCATGGTGGCCCTCCACATGCGGCGATGCTGGTCCGAGTCATTACTAGGTGATGCCTGCAACGGACATGCCAACTACGCTCGCAGAGAAACTCTCCAGTGTCTGTAACTCAAGAATCTGTGCAATACCATCGCTCGCTACGAAAGACGGGGCAAAAGTTCACAGAATTTAGTTGTAGGCAGCGTCTTTGTCTTGGGTCGCCGGACCCGACAGGCTCGAGAATCGTGTCGAGTCATCGGCACAGCCGAGGCAAGACTTCCAACCATTGTTCGAGCTGCACGCGGCCGTGACTGTGTTGAGAAGAGAAAGATACCATTATTTTATTTTTTATTTTTACTTGTATCTTTATTTTTATTTTACTGTATACCTCAGAACATTTGAGAGAGTATTGGAACTCTCATGATGACACAAAGTCGGATCCAACGCGTGTGAGCCCGTATTCAGTCTTGGTGTATGCGGAGACTCACTCCTAAGAGTCGGACGTGAGCCTCTCTCTCACTTGAGGACCGAACTGTTTTCGTTTCAGAGCACTACGTCTGAAGAAATGGTAAAAAACAAAACATAAAAAAAGTAATCCGTAGGACTGTTGCATTGAAGGACACGAGTAGGGATAGAGACACCGCTGAGCTAGCCTTGCGCGCCTCTCGCCTAGCGTTGCTTGCAATGGTAAGTGACTCACTCACGCCGCGACTAACACCGACACGCCGAGTAACGTCAACATCACTCAACCGCCAAGACCAACTACCAACTTCGTCACAATCTTCGTTTTCGAGATTTCACATCTCAGCCCAGAGCCATTCCGGTGTCCATCCTCCCCCCCCCCACTATCCTCCGCACCACCATGGCCTCGCCGATCTACACCGTCCTCGTCACCGGCTCCTCCGGCCACCTCGGCGCCGCCCTCATGCTCACCCTCCCCTCCCAGGGCCACACCCCGCTGGGCCTCGACATCCTCCCGTCCGAGACGACGACGGTCGTCGGCTCCGTCACCGACCGGGCCCTCGTCGCCTCCCTCCTCGCCCGCCACCCCTCCATAGTGCACATCGTCCACGCGGCGACCCTGCACAAGCCCCATGTCGAATCCCACCCGCAGTCCGCCTTCGTGGACACGAACATCACCGGCACTCTCGTCCTGCTCGAGGAGGCTGAAGCCGCCGACGCCGCCGCCGACGGCGGCGAGCCCAGCCAAGACGGCCCCTCGCGCATGCGCTCCTTCGTCTTCGTCTCCACCACCTCCACCTTCGGCGCCGCCCTCGCCCCGGCCCCCGGCCGCCCCGCCGCCTGGATCGACGAGTCCGTCGCCCCCGTCCCCAAGAACATCTACGGCGTCACCAAGCGCGCCGCAGAGGACCTCTGCGCCCTCGCCCACCGCCGCCGCCGCCGCCTCCCCGTCGTCGTCCTCCGCGCCGCCCGCTTCTTCCCCGAGGCCGACGACGACCCCGACCGCCGCGCCAGCCTGGCGGCGGCCGCCGCCGACGACGACGACGACGACGACGACGACGGCGCGAACCTCAAGGTCTGCGAGCTGGCCTATCGCCGCGCCGACATCGCCGACGTCGCCTCCGCCGTCGCCTGCGCCATGGAGAGGGCCGCCGCCGTCGGCTTCGGCACGTACATCATCTCCGCCCCTCCGCCCTTCCTCTCGCGGCTCGCCGGCGCCGGCGAGGACAACGGGGCGGGCGGGGGATCTGGCGGGGGAGGTGACGGAGAGGGGCAAGGTTTTGGAGAAGGTTCTGGCGGGGGAGGTGATGGAGAGGGGCAAGGTTTTGGAGAAGATCTTGACGGGAATCTTGGAGAGCTTGGACCGGGACAGCAAGCTTTTGGAGAAGCAGCAGCAGCAGCAGCAACAGCAGCAGCCGCGGGGGCAGGGGCAGGGGCGGCGGCGGCGGCGAGGCGCACGCTCCTCCGGCGCTTGGACGAGGACGCGGGGGCCGCTTTCCGCGAGGCAGTACCCGCGTGCGCGGCCGTGTTCGAGAGCCTCGGCTGGGGGTTTCTTGGGCGCGTGGACCGCGTGTACGATTCTTCCAGGGCGATCAGAGACCTCGGCTGGACGCCCGAGTGGACGTTCGAAAAGGTCGTCGAGAGGCTCGCGCGCGGCGAGGACTGGAGGAGCGAGCTGACGCACAGGGTGGGAAAGAGGGGCTACCACGCCGTGCCAACCGGTGTGTATACCACGCGGTGAAGGGGAAGATGAGTGGTGACCGCTGGCTGGCTGCTGCGTGCGCGTGTGCGTGTGAGTGTGAGTGTGAGTGTGAGTGTGTCTGTGTGTTAGTACATTAGTGTATGCACGAAAGGGCAAGCGAAAGGCTAAAAGTGTGTATATGTGGGAAAGTATTATTATGTCCATTTAGTGTTTACGGATCCTACGTGTGATCCCACCCCCCCCATGTCTATGATGGGGAATTAAAAAAGAAAAAGGAAGGGCAAAAAAACATCCTTCCAACAAGAAGCGCATGGCTATACCAAACTCCAACCCAAACCCGCTATACATGCACAAATGCTATGGATACGCTGCCCGCGGGGCCGTCCCCGTTCTATTCGAGAGCACCCTCCTCCTTTGGCGGCAGGATGTTGAGCTCGCGTCCCAAATCCAGGATCTGCGATGCGACGGCCTCGACGTCCCACGTCTTGATGGGAATGCGGTGTGCGCCGTCCCACTCGACCAGCCGCGCCGTCCCTGGCTGGCAGTACTGCTTCAGCAGGCGGCGGTGGTGCTGCAGGCCGGGGTCCTTGAGGCCGTGCATGTGGATCGTCGGCACCTTCAGGACGTGGTCGTTGGACGAGCCGTTGGGCCAGTCGTGGAAGTCGACGCTCGCCTCGGCGGCGTCGCCGACGCCCTGCGGCGCGTCTATCCGGTCGTCGAGCACGATGAGGGGCGCGCGGCCGGCCAGCAGAACGCCAAACTTCCAGTCCGCCGCGCCGCCGGCCGAGGCTATGCGCTTGCCGTACTTCTCCTTGAGCATCTGCTGCGTGTACAGCAGGCTCGCGCTGACCTTGGCGCCCTGGCTGAAACCCAACAGGCCGACCCATTCGCCGGTGGCGCCGAGGGCGTCGTCGTCGTCCATGGCCATGCGCAGCTGGAAGTGGATCTCGGCCGAGGCCGTCTCGGCGTCGACGTACTGGTGCTCAGGGAGCCACCGCAGCCAGCGGCGGAAGGGGCCGTGGTTGCCGTAGACGGAGACGATGTCATGGTGCGGGTTGCAGATGAAGGGCCCGTCGACGAAGACGAGGCGGAAGTGCTTCTTTAGGCGGGCGATGAGGGCCCGGCACTGCATCTTGAAGACGGACGCGTTGACACCGCCGCCATGGAGGCACAGGATGCGTGGGAGATGGAGGGTGGGATCAGAGTCCGCCAAAGGGATGTTGATCGCGCCAGGCATTTTTGCTGTCTTGTGTGTATGTGTGTATGTGTATGTGTGTGTGTGTGTGTGTGTGTGTGTGTGTAGATGTGAGTACGTGTATGTGTATGTGTACGTGTACGTCTATGTCTATGTGTGCGTGTATGTGTGTGTTGAAACAGTGTGCGTGTATGTGTGTGTTGAAACGGTGTGGTAGAATCAACCCAAGTCTCTCTACATCTCTCGGGTATGGATGGAATAGCAATGAAAGCGAGCTTTGAGTTGTTCGGGAGCTTGATGCAAGGAGATGAATGATGGTTCGGGACCGACTTATACACATTCGGTTACGTGGGGGAGGGGCGTGGGATAAATAGAAAGCAGAAAGCAAGGAAAGACGGCGCACAGAAGAGAAGAATGTCGAAGGAACAGAGCTGTGTTGGCATCCATCCGGAGAAAAGGGTGAGTAGTACGGATGGTTACCTACCCAGCCAAGGGAGTCAGCGGCAGCAGCAATCAACCACCATCAACAAGTTCTGCTCTAATCATCTTGCGCTTGCATGTTCAAGGCTTCTGACTCGGTTCCCTTTTGGCGTCTTCCCTCGACGCCCGACACTTGCTTAGCGGCGTTTGCGCAGGGACGGGAAGCTGAGCGCCAATGTGGGCCAATGGATTTGGAGCGATTGTCTCTTTGTCCGTGGCCTGGTCCGCCGGAGCTCCGACCTGGGGGGGGACTAGGGCGGGAGGGTACTGTGTGTTTTCTGACGCCCTGTTTTGTTTTGTTTTGCGTTGACGACCGAACGCCCGGCCGGAGATCCAACCGGGACTGACAGACCAACGCCAGGTCTCTTGTCACCAATCTCGTTTTGCGTTGATGACCGACTCGAGCTCCTATCGAGGGGACTGAGACGAATGGGGTCGGAGGTAAGCCGCTTGTCAAGTCATTGTTTTGGGTCAAGATTCTGTTCTGACATCAGGAATAGCGCCGGCATGTGGCCGGGCGATAAATTAATTGGTTATTGTTTGATAGTATCTGGCTGCCTGTCTGACAGCTTCACCGGCCGGATATCCGGCCGGCAAAAGGGGGGCTGTTGACTGGGGTGAGAGGCCAAGGTCGTGTTTCTAATGGCCCACCCCCTTCGTTTGGCGTTGATGACCTCACCTCAGCAACAAGTGTAGGCTACATGGCTGTGGGTGGCCGGGTTTGGGGACCGTATCTAATCGCTCCACCCACCGGAGCTCCGGTTGAGGGACTGACTGGCACGCGGCCTCGCGCGCCGTGCCTCTCTTGTCAGCCTTCGTTTTGCATTGGTGGCAGACCTCGGATCACCCTATGTCATCACAGCAAGTGTGTGTGTGTGTGTGTGTGTGTGTGTGTGTGTGTGTGTGTGTGTGTGTGGATAGATACGGATAGATGTAGCCGTGAGCCGGACGGTATTGTGCACGTACATACCTTAGAGAAATATGAGGTCAAAGCACCTTTTTCGCCCCTTGCCAAAGTGCACCGACAATTGCACATGCAAGCAAGACTCGCGCATAGCGCAAAGTGCATCCTCTCTTAAGAGCGTAATCGCTTGGGTCGCAGGCGGAATGCAATCAAGGTGTTGCAACTCATGAGATGATTACCGTGCTCTGCTCGAATAAGGTTTTAAGGGACTTGGCCGAACCCGTCCGTTGGTCAGTTCATGTAACTTCAGGGTCGGCTCCTCATCAGGTATGTACCTGTGCGAGAACCGCCTTGTACCAACCTGTACACAGGAGGGTACCTCACACATAGACGTTGGTGAACGGACTTGGCCAGGAGGGATCGTCCCCGCCCAGAAGAAGACAGAAAGCTTAATTGGAACAGGGACGGGATCACTGCTCACACCGTCTCGGTTGAAACGTGCGCGTGTTATGTATGTGTTTGTATCAAATTTCGTTTCCAAGCATCATGGTCTTTGATGATGGGCCAACTTTGCGAAAGAGCCAGACGAACTGCTGCAGTGCTGCTTAATCCGGTGCGACGGTGTCGGCGGTCGTGGCATGACCGGACATCGGACACCACACCACAGACTGGCGCGGTGCGTCGCGGGTTCCACAGAAAATCCGGCCGCTTTCTCAAGAGGCACCTCACTCGAGCTTGCAATATCACTGCTCAACAACTTTCAACATGTGTAAAAGTACACATCTAACAGTGAGAAAGGTCCTGTGTTCCCATGCCGTTAGGCTTGTCTGATGGGTTTGCATAATCTGGTTACTTACAGTCCAGAAAGACAGGGGTCGATAACGACTGGGAAATGTATCGAAATTTGCGCTGTCACGGTGCGTCCCAGAGGAGTGAATCACCCGGGAAGCTTATTTTCTTGGTTTGACCCCAACTTGGACGGTCGGGAGGAATCGAAAATGACTAGAATGTCCGCCGAGAAGAGAGATCCCGATATGACACCTTGGCGGGGTCCGTCCTTTGCAAAATCGCTAAGGGGTCCGTCCTTCGGTTCCCTTCCTCGATGTCGCACAAAAGACCGCCGGACACTTGTTGGAGAGGAGAACGCCACAGAGTGACTCCGACTCGACGGGGGAAGGTGTGTTGACCAATCAATCGGTTTAGTTTATCGGCTCTCACCCTGTTTCTCTCAGGGTCACGGAAACACCCGACGATTCAAGGGACGATACCCCAGATACCCCAGATAAATTGGTGACAGTTCGGGCAGGAAAACAGGTTTCGACATCTCATACGGCTCGTTAATTTCATACCACGCCGTTTCCGACCATCTTCGGCAACCCTGATTCGGCTATTGGTGGGATTTGACATGCGGTTTTCAGCGGCTGCAGCAACGGAGAACCCAAAAGCCCATGGTGTAGGAAGCCTGGGGATCCATGTCAGTGTTCGATCCCCTAGCTCGACCTTGCTGTGCAAAACAGGTTTCGATACCTCATGCTGCTCGTTAATCTCTTACTTCGACAGCTTCAACCGTATTCGACAGTATTCGACCGTATTCGACGCCGTTCTTGAACTGTATTTCGACCGTCTTCAACTGTTTTCGACCATCGTCAACTGTGTTCGACCGTCCTCGACCGTCCTCGGCAGCCTTTTTCAATTGTCGGTCGAATTTAACGTGCAGTTTTCCTGGCCGCAGCAACGGGAACCCGGAAGCCTATAGTGCAAGCCTCGATGATCGATTTCCGTGGTCGACTCCCAGGCCGACTTTGCTGTGCAATCACCAAATCCCAAAGTCGACCATTGCCCATCTGCCTCTCTGGCGCCATGAGGTCTGTTCAGTATAGATAGGTGCTTGGGTATATTTGGTCGATCCGCTCTCCTTCGCTGGTCCCCCGACTAGGAAGAATGTCACCGTCGTGCTATGCTCCGTTTGTCCGACTCCCACTCGATGCAGAAGATTCGCCGTTCGGCAATGGCGTATAAGATAGAGTTTGAATGACTCGTGGGCGAAACGAAACAGGCTACCCATGGCATCAAACAAACCTGACCAAGTACAGGCACTCAACAAGGAGCCCCCCTTCCTCTCCTTCCCTCCCCAAAGAGGAAAAGAAGAAGAAGAAGAAGAAGTAGACAATGCTGTCCGGTCAGAATGAGGTTAGAACAGGGAGAAGCCGGAACAGTATGCGCTGTGACGAAATGACCGGGGAGATGACGACAAGGAGAGGGAAAGAACTGGAGGGGGTTTCGTCCCTCCTCCTGCGCAGGCAGGCAAGCCGAGCCGAGCCAAGCCACACCGCACAACACCGGCTTCGCCACACCTACCCAGCCGCCACATTCACTCAGCCACGTACGAATGCCGCACTCGCCCCGCCATGTCTCCAAAAGACCCCGCACGTCAGCCACATCATGACGTTCGTGGTGCCCCTCACCTGAGGCCTCTTCTGCCCCTCTCTCTCTCTGTTTACTTGGAAGCAAACTTACGATGCTCGGTGTACGGCAAGGTAGACACGCTCGCTACCTAGGCCTATACTAGACAGGTATGGTAGATTATTCCCACAGTAGGCTGGCTCCTCTGAGCTGGCGGAGCGTCTTCGGCTGCCGTTGTCGTTGCTGCTGCTAGTAGCGTGGTGGATAACTTTCCTACCTTTGGTAAGTATATGGTGGTGCTGCAATAGTCAATAAGTAAGATGATTCACCGGTTAGGCCGTACGGAATAGAATACAGAGGACGATGGCGACGAATGACAAAGCAAACTCGGACTGGCCAGCTTTCCTGGGGAGCGCACGTCTTTATATCTTTCCAGATATCATGTATATTGGGCTTCGCGATTCCTGTAAACACGCGAAGGCCGAGTTCAACTTACATGTGCGGCAACTGAATTACATAACTCACTCTCCCGCCGAGCCACACCGGCGTCGATGGCAGAGTTAGTTGCCGCCCAACCAAACCCTGTCGAGCTGCGAAATCCCGCGTTGACGTCGCTCCGTGCTGCGCCACGAGCGCTCTACACAAAATGCCTCCGCATCAGCTTTCTCCAAAAAACGCCCAACTTGAAACCACTTGACGTCCAACTTTAAACCCGCCTCGCCTTCGCTCCAGCATCGGAGACACCGATAGACAGCACTTTGTAAATCGCCATACATTCTCAAGATACCCAAAGCCATCGGCGTCGCCGGTTTCACAGTTTCCCATTTGGATATACATTTTGCCATCTGGATCTACAGTTTCCCACTTGGATATACATTTTCCCGGCGCACCGACTCAGTCGACACAGCTTCATCTCTCCTGTTACAATGTCAGGCACAAACCCCGAGAAGCCTCCCATCCAGCCGGAGCAGCAGCTCTACCCCCAATCTATCGCCGACGATTCCCATCACCAGCAGCAGCAACAGCAGCAGCAGCAGCAGCAGCCGCCTCAATACACCTCGGGCGCGACGCAGTACAACCCCGACCAGAAGAGCGAGCTTCCTGGCGACCACGTCGGCCAGGGCCAGCCTCAGTACTTCCCCCCTCCGCCGCCCGGCCCGCCGCCCGCGAACCAGCCGCAGTTCACACACGCTCCCCAACCACAGCAGCACTCTCAAACCCCGCTCGCCCAATATGCTACCGGCCAGCAGCACGCCGATGCCGCCGCCGCCGCCGCCGCCGCTCCCGGCTACAACCCCGCCGACCACGGCGCCGGCCACCACTACGCCGCACACTTCGACGGCCCTCCCGGCAGCGCCGCACCGGCCCACACCCAAAGCGGCCCCTACACGGACCCCGCGGCGGCCCACGCGGCTTACATCGCCGACCCCCACAAGGAGAAGAAGGGCTGGGGCGAGCGCCTCTCCCAGATTGGCATGAAGGCCGCCGTCCCCATCAACGCGCTGGCCAACAAGATGGGCTCCCAGAGCTTCCTGCCCACCACCATGGACAAGGAGTGCGAGAAGGCCGCCAAGATCCTCAGGAGCTTCTGCAGTATGTCCGCCCTTCTTCCCCAACCCCCCCCCCCCCCCCCCCCGTTACCTATGTTTTTTGCCAGTAGCTGACTTGGTCATCGCAGAGGAGGGAATCACATCCGACGTGCCCGCGCAGGCGCAGTCCACGACGACGTCGCCGACGGCAACCAAGGACAAGGCCCGCAAGGAGCACAAGGCCATCGTCAAGATCCCCTCCAAGGTCATCAACAAGGCCGTCGGCCTCGCCATCTTCACCACCGCCCGCGCCGGCTTCAACTTCTCCGGCGCCACCGGCTCCGGCGTGCTCGTCTCCCGCCTCCCCGACGGCTCCTGGAGCCCGCCCTCGGGCATCCAGGTTCACGCCCTCGGCGCCGGCTTCATGATCGGCATCGACATCTACGACTGCGTCTGCGTCATCAACAGCCGCGACGCCCTCAACGCCTTCACCGGCACCCGCGTCTCCCTCGGCCCCGACGTCGCCGTCGTCGCCGGCCCGTACGGCGCCGGCGGCGTGCTGGACGTCGGCGCCTCGTTCGGCGGGAAGCACGCCGAGGACAAGAAGACGGCGGACGCCGCCGAGCAGGCGGACGCGAAGCCCTCCGCCGCCGCCGCCGACGACGACGGCAAGCTGAGGCCCGGCGAGAAACAGAAGCGCAGGAGCAGCAGCTCCTCCATCAAGCCCGTCTTCTCCTACGTCAAGTCCCGCGGCTTCTACGCCGGCATCCAGGTCGACGGCACCGTCGTCACCGAGAGGAAGGACGCCAACGCCGCCTTTTACGGCCAAAAGGTCACCGTCGACCAGATCATCAAGGGCCAGGTCCCCCCCCAGGGCCCCGCCGGCATGTGGCCCATGGGCGCGCAGGCCCTCTTCGACGCCCTCCGCACCGCCGAGCAGCAGAAGCCCCTTCCAGAGGTCCACCTCCCCCAGGCGACGCCCGGCCAGGCCCCTCCTCAGGGTTCTATCCCTCAACAGCAGCAACAGTACGGCGGAGGCAGACCCGAGGGAACCGGCATCCCGGCCTATGGCCAGCCTCAATACACCCACTCGGAGGGCGGCGGCCCCTTGGGGTCACACCCACCCGGCCAGGGTCCCACCGCCTCGAGCGCTCTGAATCGCGAAGAGCAGCTCCCCGGTTACGTCGAGGACGGCGTGGCGCGCCCAGACGTGGGCGACCACAAAACTCAATACCAGTAGATGGCGGAGGGGGGGGTGGTGATGGACAAGGAAGGGTAAGAGTGACTTGGGCATGGAAGTTATGTAGACTGGAACATGTCCCCTAAGCGTTGTAGTATTTTACAAGTTAGCCTGTTGATACGTCAAATGAAATCCCCGTCAACAAATGGTCTTGTGCAATCAGATCGATGTGGGTTTGCATATGTGTGCGATGGTATCTACACACAGCCCGGGTAGGCCCGGCGCTCTCCCGCAGCTTGTCACCCACACCCCCCGCCCCCACGAGCCGGCGGCCGAAATGTGCGGTACGGTGGCACAGTCCCCCCGAAGACGGCATGGAAACATGTAGGAGGCCGAGATGATACGCCCTGACAGCTTCGACAACCGCCCCCAACGTGGTACGATGTGAGATGCGTTTGGTGCACGGAAGAAACGCTCCCTTCCAATGCGGCAGCCTACAGGTGGAACATAATACCTAGACAGCCACAGAGTTCGACGTTTTTGTGGTATCTACCCTTGTGCGCCCGACCATGCAGAGGCAGGTAAGTCCGCCAATCGTCCATTGTCGAGGTTGGCAGCGAGCATGCTTGAAAGGGGGACAGAAGATGGCCTTCCACGTCAGTCCCTAAGACAGGGAGGGACAATGGCAATCGCCGGTCGACCCCAAAATCCTTATGGGTGGCAAACTCGGATAGCTCAAATGGCTTGATCTCATATGCTGCGCCGTTGTTACAAGCGTGCTTCATGGATATTATATGTATATGTCTGGTTGGCCGCGTGGTTCGCGCTAGACTGTCATGTTTCAACGACCCCCCGCCAAGCCGTCCCGCGATGTATGTGATGGGGGAGGGGGTTAGCGAAGAGGGGACTGACTGGACAAGAACGAAAGAAGGATTAAAAAAAAGGAATGATTGGTTTTTAGGGCACCCTTCTCCGACCGTTACAGCCGGCACGAGAGATCATGCAGCACATGCCTAGTGCCGGGTGTAAACGAGGGAACAAACCAGTCAGCACACCCGCCAGACCGCGATGTTTGCCCGCGGCCGGAGGTTCGACGTCCGCCCGTCCAAAGGGACGCCCGTGTAGTCGAACATTACCGTACACATACAGACACCGACGCTCAAGTCTGCCTAACAGCAAAATGGCTTGTCATCCAGGCGGCGGTTGATCAAACCGGCAAGGCAGGCCGCCCGAGGCTGCCGTCTGCCGTCAGGTCCAGCACGAAGACGGACACACTCAAAGGTGAATGCAAAAAGAAACCCAAACCGGGGCCCGCCGTCCAGTGTTGGCAGGAGACGCAGCAGGGGAAATCTGCGTCATAGTGTATGTATGGCGTGGTTTACTGTGGTAAGCAGCAAGACGAGCCGATCATCGAGAGAGCTTCGAAACGGTTTCAATTGACGATCCGCAGGGGGGGGGGGGGGGGGGGGGGCACAATTTGGACGACGTTGGCCGTGTGGATGGATTGTGATTGTCTTGGATACTAAAAAAAGAACGACGATGAAGAGACGACAAGGCTGGCTCCTCTGTTCGCTCAGCCCATGAAGCTTGGCCTCCGCCGGCAGTGGAATCTTGGACGCACTTCTAGCATTCCAAGGAGGCGGGTATGTTGCATTTCTGACGACACTCTCTCTCGTCCGGATCGAACACACCGCACGCCATGACACAGTAAGGCACACCTGGTGTAGGGCCAGAAGACACAGAGCTGTGCGTCGGTGGATCGGAATCCCCAGAGAAGCTGAGGATAATTCCAGTTGGAGCCGTGATGAGGTGAGCTTGGTGGAGGGAACCTGAAAACTGGATTCGGGGCGCGCAGGGTTTGGGGGGACGTCATCGACTCCACGGCTATGAGACGCCTCGAGATGCGTATTGCCTTTCTGCAAGCCAGGAATCTCGGTGTTCCTTGCTTCGGCCTTTTGCCGGCGGCTCAGGGCTGTCCCCCCCATTAATTTCGCCTCTCTCCAACCTCCAGCTCCTCACCCACCCTGACATCCCCACGCCAAGGAAACGGTTGTTGGAGCTTGTCTCTGGCCCGCGTCGTCGCACGCAGTAGTCGTCGCCGTCGTCAAATGGAGACCGGCCCGCAAATCGTGCTAGAAATGCCTATGAGAGTGGGCAGATGGATAGGCCGATCGACCGTCTATCCCCAGCCAGCCAAGACATTTCGTTCTTGGGATAGAAGAGGGACCGCCTTGGCCTTGTATATGTACGTCAGTGGAGAACTCTGTGTCCGCTGCACAGATTCGCACGCAGTGTGACCAGTTCGCTAGTGCAGCCGTCATCTTATCAATTACAGTCATTCCTTCGTGCTCAAGACGATTAAGCTCATTTGCTAAATCAAGGTTTTTATAGTGACTGATCGGGTCACGGCCAGCACGATTGACTTTTCCCGACTCGGAGCATCCCGTCTCCCTGTGCATTATGTTCATCTCATAGGCGGGACGGCTGGCTGTATTTCAGGCGGAATGCGGAATGGCAACCCGAAAGTCTATTGTGCAGGGCCAACAGCCGTTCTAAGCACCCGCTATAGTTCGGGGCAGGGTGTCCTTCATCACGGATAGCAAAAGGTCACTAACTGCCGTCAGAGAAATGCTGATCGGCTGCGGTGTGCAGCAGGATCCGCGTCTTGCTTGGCCCATAAGGGGAAAAGAAATCTAACAATGCTGGCAAGCCCTTGAATCGGAAGAGTCGCTGTCAGCTGGGTTAACCGGGATGCTCAGACCGGCGGGGTGATTGGTAGCCGGTGTGGGTGGGCACAAATCCAGGATCCGTGTCGCCGCCAGGGTTAGCCACAAATGACATATCACCAGCGAAGCGCTCAGTAGCCGTTGTGGACGGAGAGGATGGGGTTGGCCGAAGGAGCCCAAGGACCGTACGGATACATGGCTGAAAATCCGAGCCTTGTTGACCTCCCAGGGTCCCAGGGAGGGTAGGGGAGATCGCCCAGTGACCTTCTGAACGAAGTGGAGATGGCAGTCGTGAACTGGTGGCCGTGGTGTTGGAGACCGGAAACGGAGTGCCGTAGCTGGGCTGGTTGAAGCTGGCGGTGGTGCAGTTGGCGACGTACGATGTACTATGTACGTTACGCAGGTGTTTGGCCACCCTTGTGGGGGAGGCACTGGTGAACGGCATCACCAAGACGGGACGGACGGACGAGACGACGCGTAAGGCGACCCAGTTTTCCCTTCGGTGCAGCGAAAAAATAGCAGCTTTTGTGTCGTAATGTTTCATTCGGGTAGTGCTTCTTCAGAGGCGGCGGCAGAAACGGTGGCACCAGAAGAAGGCTCTGCCTGTGTAGGGCGGCTACTAAATGTATTCCCTGTAGCCCAAGAGCTCGTGATGACGACGCTTTAGTGCAGTGCAGTGCAGTGCAGTGCAGTGCCTCCATTCTGACCCAGTTGACGATGGCGAAGCAGACTGGCACTAGAGTCATGGCATGCGGCAGGGCGCGGCGACTTGGCCTGTCGGAAGGCCCTTTGGGCTTTGAAGAGCGTTTCGTGCATCATTCAGCCGATGCCCTATCTGATGGGACTGGCACAAACACATTGAACCGGGGGATAGATGGCCGGCAGTGGCAGAGGCGACTCAGACCCCACGAGGTTGAGGGAGATGATTTCTCCTTGTCCCTGCTTGCCGTTGGCAGATGCCGGAACCAGTAGCTTGGAGACCTCGAGACGAATCGGCTATACGATCAGCGGTGCTCGCTATATGGGCCAGGGGTACTCTTCTGCGGGCAAAGAGAGAGAGCGCTGCAGTGTGCAGAAAACAGTGGTAGTTGATATTTGGAGTCGCGTTTCGATATGAAAGCAAACGGAGAGGGGTGGAGGCGAATCGGGTGTGAGGCCGCAAATTGATGAAATGCGACGACGGTTTGCCATGGGAATATTAAGATTGGACCTCGCTCGGCACATGGGAAAGGAGGATGGCGTCAAGCAATGGATGAGATTGCAGTGCGGTTTGCGGATACGGGAGCGATACTTGATGGGAGCCAGTAATCTCGGCGGGTCGGAAGGTAGATTCTAGGTCGCTTGACCTGCACCCTAATCTTGGCATCCTGGTTTTGTCGAGTCGTTTGGTGTGTGCGTGTGTGGTGGGTGTACAGTACTAGGTCAAAAGTCTGGCCACACGTGTAAAGGCGACCAATCAAGCAGCTAGGATCCCACCGTGCGACCCATATTCATAAGGGATTTACACAACATTATCATAATAATCGTACTGTTTAGCCCTGGTTTATGTGAGGCAAGCATCATGTGACCCTTATTGGTGTGGCCAGACTTTTGACATAGTACTGTATTTGGCCAATCTGGCAAGTTTTCAGTGCGAGTGCAAATACCTACCTGCTCTACGGATACTATGTACGGATAGAGGGTGGGAAAAGGGAAGGGGAAGGGGGAAAGGGGAGGGGGTGTGGATAGAGAGAGAGAGAGAGAGGCAAGGGAAGGGTGGAAAGGGAGAGAAGGAGGGAAGGAAGGAAGGAAGGAAGCCCCTGAGAACGAGAAGCAGGAGCCGCCCGCACCAATGGGCTTTGGCTACCAGGCTAGCTAGCCTACCTGTTTGTGATTCTTATTTTTCACCGAGAAGACTTGGCATTCTCACCTTCCAATCGCAGCGCCACGAGATGTGCGATTGGGATCTGGTGGTCTGTGGGCCAATAAGACGACATGGGTCACCTGGTTGTGGGCCCTAATTCCCTAATTGATACGGATTCATTCGTCATTTCCTCGTCCCCATTCATTGCATCTCGTCGAGGTCGAATTCAATGCATTGCCACATTATTCTGTAATTTAAGACCCCACCCCACATAACGGGCCACCCCCCTTAACGGGCCACGTATCAACATTGCCAATTTACCCCTCACTTTACACTGCCAGGAAATAACTAACCTTTTCAAAGCAAAATATCCCAACAACTAAAAATCCAAATAATTCTTTTAAAAATACTAAATATATTATTATACCTAGTTATACCCCTAAAGCGTTATAGTAAGCAATTAATAAAGTCCTTAAAGGTAGTAGCCACTGTAAAGCAGCTAGGCGCTAGGGTATACTAAGGGCTATACTATAGTAGCGCCTTAATAGTACTATATTATAGCAAGAGGCTAAAGTAGACTATTAGAGGCTTAGTACTATATAAAAAAAACGCCTTACTAACTAGGTATTAGCCTAAGAAGCCCTTAGATTTATACTAAGTTATTTATAGGTTAAAGAGATAGCCTAATAGATCCTTAAGGCTAAAGAAGATAACTAGCTATTAGGTAAAAAATAGCTAAATAGATTCTAAAAAAGAAACCTATCTATAAGTACTCTAAGGGCTAAAAAGATTAGCTTTAAGAGGATAAAGTATATTACTAAGGAGAAGATTAAAGAGCTCTTTTACTTACTTATATTACCTATTATTAAGGATATTTCTTAATACCTTAAATAAAATATAGATAAGACTAGGATTACTAAAAGGGAGGCTTAGTAGTCTTTAGTACTAGGTAAGTCTAGTAAATAATCTATATATATTTAAGTTTCTAAAGGCTATACTTAGTTAACTATTCTTAAGTATATCTTTACTAATAGTAAAAGACTACCTCCCTTAGTTATCTTTAAAGAAGTTATAGTATAGTAGTAGTAGTTTTTTCTTAAACTTAAATCCTTTACTTATTAGTAATTTATATTATTAAAGAATAACTAGACTTTTAATAAGATTAGCTTTAACTAGCTAAAGACTATCTTTATCTTAGTAATAGTAGCTAAGGCTAAAAGGCTTAAATCTAAGACTTTCCTTATTATAGATAGCTATAAAAGCTATATATTAGATAACTTTATATAAGAATACTTTTAGTAAAAGATTTACTTACTTTACTTACTACTATATACTAGCTATATTACTTAACCTCTTAATATAGTAGTATTTTTTTTTTTAAAGTAAATATATAAAAGAGAGGCTACCTTTGTATTAGCTAACCTTTATACTACTCTTATTAAGAAGTAGAACTTCTTTTACTATTACTTTAAGGCATCTATAGAAGCCTTTATATCTAAGAATATAAAGGTAGGCTAAATAGTAATAAGGCTATAGCTTATTAATATAGTAAAGCCTCTGCTTAGTAAGTTTATTAACTTTACTTTTAATACTAATATACTAAAGGCACCTAGTTAAAACCCTAGATTCCTAGCTAAGCCTAGTATACCCTAATAGTTTACTGTCTAGACCTTTTAAAGGTTAAAAGACTTAAGGAAGTACTAGAGTCTATAGGACCCTTAAGAGAGGGATAAGGAATAGGATTATAATACTTAGAGGCTCCTGTTTATAAAGGTAGGCAAAAGGCTAAATAATATAAATACTATATTAGTAGAGAACAGCAAGAGGATATAGTCCCTTAAGGCTTAACTCCTTTATACCTAGAAGCAAAAGAAGGGCAAGGTTACCCTAGATCTAAATACTTAATTTACTACTATAAAGTCTATTATTATAGTAAAAGAGAGGGTAAAAAAGGAGGCTATTATAGAGGCAGTAAAAAAGGCAGCAAGAAAGGTAGTTAAAGAGGCTAAAAAAGCACTAATAGAGGCAAAGGCAGCAAAAGCAGCAGCAGAGATAAAGGTCACTTTATAGTGTAACTAATTTTCTATTTAGTATAGGCTACCTATAGTAGTTAATAATGTGTAACTATATACGAAAAATAAGGCAAATTTAATGTGGCCTGTTAAGGGGGGTGGCCTGTTATGTGGGGTGGGGTCTTACCACCCATTCATTACCTACCCAGATGGACTGAGATACCGATCACAGCCACGACCCGACACGCCCACTCCCGAAGGGAAGGGCTCGAGAGCGAATCTTAGCCAGCCCATCCATGCTATCTCGCGCACGCAAGCAAGTTCAGCACTAGCTTGGTTCGACTGCAGCCCGGTCGGTGGCTCTGGAGGACGCTACTTGGCGCCCATCCAACGCTGGTTCCCATCACGAGCGCCGGACTTGGGATGCAAGTCGGTAACAGACGCCGTTACCAGCGCCGTCTCGGCGGGAATGTCAGTGAAAGAGCAGATCGCTCGGTGTCTCGCGTACGCACGCACAGATAAACAGCGGCGTGTATACGTTTAGGCGTCAGCGTTGGCAAGACGAGGAGAATCCCCGACGTCGGCATTGTTGTCTGTCCACTAGGCCGCCTGTTTTTCTTCTTCCCCCTCCTTTTTTTTTTTTTTTTTTTTTTTGTCTTCTTCGTGTTTTCTCACATTGGGACGATAGCATCGTCGCTCGTCCCAGGTCAACAAGCAAGCTCGTAATCACCATCGACACGGCAATTCGAGGAACCAGCCTGCAGCGGACGAGTATTCGTGAGGCAGATGGGGAGTTGCTAGGCTCTTGCCGTCACTGTGCCGTAACGGCGTCTTCCGTACAGCGTCCAAGATTTCGGACGAGGTCGGCGAGTAGGGCAGTACCTACCTAGCGTCTACCTATGCGCTTCGTTGGTATCTAGGCCCCTCTTCTCACAGTGCCACACGCGCCAGGGCACACCTCTCTTCCATCCAGTTCCGGTTCCCTCGACGCTCGAGATTGGGTATCGGACGCGCGACAAAGATGGGATGCAAACGGGCCAAGAACAGACGTCGAGCTGAAGAAGCCATAAAAGATGAGCGTACCCGATGTCCGCATGGGCATCTCCACCGGCACCAGACCAAGCTCCCGGCTGCTTGCTACCGTCGTCGTCGCTGCATGTTCCATGTTGCCGCGTGTGCGCCAAACACGACCAGCACGAGACAAGTCGTAAGTGACGGACAGACAACGAACGCTCCTGTGTACGACAGAGTAGGGAGCACAGTGCGCGACGGACGGATCACGGGGGGGAAAGTCGACAGTTGATTCGTCCCACTTTGTCAACCTCCAACTCGGCTGTATATTCCCATGCACGACGCAGCCTGCAGGTCCCATTTCGGCGCCAAGGTTCTGTCCCAGGCTCCCCTGCCTCTCTCTCTGCTTAGCTTAGCGCTTCTCTCAGAGTTCGGTCGTGCTCTCTCTGTGCTGTAGCTTCCCACTGCATCCTGTCTCTTATCGAGTTGTTCGTCTTTTTTTCGTCTCCCACTTGGCTTCCGCTGTGGCTTTGTCAACCTCTGACGGACGGTTGCGCCAGCGTCGTCGGTGTCGTCGGTGTCGTCGTTGTCGTTGGCGACGACCGGTGGTGCGGGCCGCTGTGGCCGATGACACTGACGACAAGATAAGCCTTAGGTTAGGCAGTAGAAAGCTGGTAGGAAACGTGCTTTTGGGAGGGCACGGAGGGCAGTGCTGCAGGTTATCTGCACGGTGCGGATACATGATACGGTACACCATCGCCCCTCCGAGACGTGGCGGGGTTCTTTCCCATTTGAGAAAGGACCTGAACTGGACCTCCCACGCACGTCAATCATCCCCTGTATACTGCGCAGGTGTACGGGTACGGATACAGAGCTCCTCTCCTCTGTCTGGCCCCTTCCTTGTGTATCCGAACCGATGAATATTCTCCTACCTAACTGTACTGTACCGTCCGTACTGTTTTTCAAAGTGCAGCTACCTAGTGCGCCAATCCCAGCCACGAATGGCAGTCATCTTCTTCAACATGGCAGGCGCCCGCCCCTCCCATTCTCTTTCTACAGGTACGTCTCCTTCCCCTGGGCGGCCAGACCCAATCAATTATCCAATCCTTCATGCCACCGGCGTCCCCGTATCGACTCGTTGCTTTGCTTCCCGGCCAGTCTCTCTTTTTCGGCCACTCTCTGTCTCTCGCTTCCCAGCTCGTAGCCCCCCTCACCTATCCCTGCGCTGGTTGTGCACACTACCACGTACACTACCTATGTACGGATATGTGAGGAAGCAATGCGAGACACAGAGAGACCAACTAGTGTACCTAGTGTAGCTAGCAGAGGGAGGAGCGACTTCTTGTTTTTGCTTGCTCAAACAATCCTGTCTGTCTCTTCCTGTCCGTCCCTATTTTTATTTTTATCCCGTGCCTGTCATCCCACTCCCGTTTCCATGCCTGTGTGCCATTCCCTCATGTCCCATCGCACCCCCCCCTTGCTCTTCCTGTCTACTGCTATGCTCCATACCCGTGTGTAAGATGTGCGATGTAGTATCCCATTCCAATCTCACACCCCTCCCCCCTCTCCCTTGCCCTTGATCCTCTCGTCCCACCCCCGTAGTTATCCTCCCCCCCCAGTCTGTCACTCTTCGCCGTATGGAGAGACTCCTCTGCCTAGGTAGGTCGTTTATCTATGTCTTTCTCTCGCCCACACCGTCTTGCGCATACAGTGGTCCAGACCTTGCCATCTATCATCTGGGACCCGTCTCTCCTAATTACCCTAGCCTCCCGTTCAGAAGCGTGCGCACACTATTCGTACGCCTTGCTCCAGCGGGTCCTCTTTTCCTTCTTCCAGACCTCTTTTACCTCTCCTCCCGCCCTTCCCCTCCAGCTCTTTTTCTTCTCTTCCGTTTTTCCAGCTCACGTCACCAATCTGGATCGCCCGTCTGTCTGTTTTTTCGGTTTTCTCGCGGCAGATATTCCCATCGATAGCTTTCCCGATCACCTGCCGGTCCTATGATCGTGTCACTCGCTCAGAAGCACTCCTAGCTGCTATCTTTAGTACTCGTGTTTTGTTATCTTCTTCCCTATGCCGGCTTTCACTTGAGAACGTCGCCTTTCCTAGCCAGCATACCTTTTGGTATCGTCGAGCTCTCGCCTGAAGTCGCCGCCGCTCGTACATCATCCAAAGGGCACACTCGAGTTCTCAACAGCGACCTCTCATCGACGACTACGTGTATTTTAAACCTCCGCCCCCGATTTCTCCAAGAGCGACCCCCACTCACAACCGTCAAGCTGGACGCCAAACAGCCTGAAGCTTTGTTTCAGACAATGGGAGCTAAGCTGTCCGGTTCGCATCCCGCCTGCAGTATGCGTAATCCACTCGCCAGAATGCTGCTTTTTGCAGTCGTCATCTTGGTCATCATGGCCCTGACCCTTCGGAACGACGCCATCGACGTTCGCGGCCGTATCTTGAAGACGGGAGCCGGCGTCAAGTCGTCCATTGCACACCAGCAGCCCTTGGATGCCGTAAAGTCCCATGGGTCCTCGTCTCTTTCCGACAAGATTCCCGCCGAGCCCGCCCCCTCGTCGACTCACGTCATGAACTGCGAGGTCGACACCGACCACATCAAGACAATCAAGGAAAAGTATGGCCTCGCCGACAAGATCCACTACTTCAAGCGCTACGTCACCTTCAGCCGCAAGCCCATCCAGCGCAAGGGCTACACCCTTTTGGAACAGGACTTCCTCCCCCAGAAGTTCAAGACTGTTGATATCAACAAGTCGTACGCTCCCGAGGAATGCGCCCCTCCTCTGGAAGTTCCCGTTACCCAGTCTCCCTACCCCGCCACAGTGAACGCTTCTGACTTCATGTTCGCCGTCTCCACCACCTACAAACGGTTCAATGACCCCAAGACGAGCCCCATCAAGGAGTGGTCTCACTGGCTTACCGACAGCAACGGCAAGTCCAATGGCGGCAAGCTTCTACTGCTGCTTCTCGACGCCACCGACGCCGAGCTGAAGGATGCCAGCGATAGGCTCAAGAGGATCGGTATCGACGTTGACGTGGCGCACTCTGACCCGACCATGGAGATGGCCGTCCGCTACCTGACTCTCGTCCCCTACCTCTACAACCATCCCGAGCGGAAGACGAGAAAGTGGCTCGTCACTTGCGACGATGACACCTTCTTCCCCAGCATGCACGGTCTCATCGACAAGTTCGCCACGTTTGACCACCTGGACCCCCTTTACATCGGAACCCTCTCCGAAGACGTCAATGCCATTCACCGTCACGGCTCCCAGGCTTTCGGCGGTGCCGGCGTCTTCCTCAGTGTTCCTCTCGCAGCCGCCATCAACCAGCTGTACGAGTCATGCAAGACGGAGCAGAAGGTCAAGGAAGCCAATTCTGGCTGGGGTCCTCAGGGCGATATTCTTCTCCGCAAGTGCATCTACGAAAACACCGAGGTTCGCCTCACCAACTTGTGGGAACTGTGGCAGCTCGACTTGTACGGCGATCCGGCTGGCTTCTACGAGTCTGGCATCAAGCCCTTGAGCTTGCACCACTACAAGGGCGGTGGCTGGCACTTCGCCAAGCCTTTCCAATCCTCAAAGGTTGCCCACGCTTGCGGCGAGGACTGCTCCTACCAACGATTCATCACCGCCGACGATTTCATCATCGCCAACGGCTTCAGCATTGCCCACTACCCGCAAGGCATCGACTTTAACCTCGACCAGATGGAGCGAACCTTCACCCCCGCCCCCGATGACATTGGCTGGAACTTGGACTACATGTTCGGTCCCCAGCGCAGATCTCTGCACAAGACCGGCCGCAAGATCGCCTGGGAGCTCCAAGAGGCCCACGTGCAGGAGGACGGATCAGTGCTCCAGGTCTACACAAGGAGAAAGGACGACGAGCGCTGGGTTGAGGAAGATGGCGAGCCCATGAGCAAGATTGACGGCGTCATCGAGCTTGTCTGGATCCCCTCTACATGAAGCGGGCTCCCCACCGAGCATGACGACACGATACAGGCAGAGTTGGTTTCCGCGACTGCTCGCCTCATGATACGAACGGTCTGATGATTCTGGCTTTGCAAGGGTCGAACAGGAGGGAAAGGCACGATCTGCAGTTCGTCTCTTAACGTTTCGTCCACCCAGGCCAACCCTGGCCTGTTTTGACACAAGCCGGATTTCGGCCGAAATGGCACGGTTCCCGTCTCGGTCCAGGCGTCAGCAGCAAGACAAACCCGGCAACACCGACAGCGACAGCTTGTAATGCCCGGGGCCGCCGCATTCCATCATCACGGACAATACGACAACGCCCCTGGACAGCATCATAATTATAATCCGCTGACCGCGATATATCCTTATATTATCATCAATAACCTCTTCGATTCGACCCACGTTACCGACATTTGTCATACAGCTCCCACTGAGCTTGGGCGTTTGAGAACGATAGGGGGGCTTTGCTATTGAAAGCATTCAGGCAAACGCCACATTCTTTTTTCCCCCTTTTTTTCTTCATATTTTATTCATTTTCCTTTTTACTACCGTGACATTGCACATAGAAACGGATTGCTTGGACGGATCTTGCAATCGGTACATAGACCCGTGAGCTACAGGGCCGGGACGTATGGAGTCAAGGTCAGGACGTTGGATGTCCTTTTTTCGGAAGTCAACCACGAGGTTTGATAGCAGGTGCAAGGAAAGGCAACCGACGGTTCCTTCCAAAGTTTATAGAACTAGTGTACCAACAAATGATATGAAGAAGTTGGAAATACTTCAAAGCAATTTGGGTACACACGGTCCAGTCTCCAAGTCTTTACTTTACTTTACCTCTTAGGATTGCATGTTCAAATACCTAGGATGAACAGATTTGGCCTTGTCATCCAGGCAAAAATCATAGGAGTGACAGGCGGCCACTAGCCTTGAAAGCGCTTCAGCCACGACCCACCCCCACCTGCACGAAGTTAGGTCAAGCCACATTGCGTCCGAGCCCCGCCAACGTCAGTTTGCCTTGGCGCAGCGTTGGGCTGCTTCTTCCACGTTCCGAGAGATGAAGTCATAAGGCTTCCGGCGTAGATCGAAGCTCCTCCAACGCCGCATTTCCAGCACTGCAAGGAGTCTTCGTTCAAGATGAAAACGTGAGTTACCCGCTGTCCCGCTCTCGAGACCCGAACAAAGGTTTGCTGACTGCTATTTCTTGCCATGCCTAGCATATCTAACATTCTGTCGCTGCCCTTTCGCAAATCCACCCACCTGTCGCTCTCATCGACGATACGACAGTACATCAACACCAAATATGACCAGCACCCAGACATGTTCCGTCAGGACCTCGAGGTCATTGACGCCCTGCGACGGGATGCGGTTAACGTGAGGGAGCCGCACCCTAGTGGCATCAAGAAGCTCCAGGCGTACGCGGGGCAGCTGGTGTGGATCGGCGGCAAATTCCCAATTGACGTACGTCTCCACGGCGCTGTCGAAACAATACGGGGTGTTTTTTGTTGTTGTTTTTTTCTCCCTCTAGAATACTGACATGACTGTGCTTGTAGATCGGCGCCGAATTCACGTGGTACCCAGCCCTGGGCTACAACACCGAGCGACCGATGGTGCGGAACAATCTCAAGTACGAACTCATGAACATCCTCTACAACCTCGCCTCCCTATACTCCCAGCTTGCTGTTGCTCAGTCAAGAGGTGGAGAAGGGCTTAAAACCGCCGCTGGATACTTCGCCTCGGCGGCCGGGGTGCTGGACCACATGCGGAAGGAGATATTGCCTGAGCTGCGCATGTCTGACCCTCCCGAGGACATGGACGCCAATACCCTCGAGTCGCTCTCGTACCTGCTACTGGCGCAGTCCCAAGAGTGCTTTTGGCAGAAGGCCGCCATGGACGAGTACAAAGATGCCATCATCGCCCGGCTGGCCGCCCGCGTGTCGGATCTCTACAACTTGGCGGGGGAGGCTGCGATGAAGAGCGAAGCTATTAGCTCGGCTTGGATCCACCACATGAGCGCGAAGCACCATCACTTCGCTGGTGCCGCGCAGTACCGCGCCGCGCGCGACTGCCTTGAGAAGAGGAGATACGGTGAAGAAGTTGCTCGTCTGCAGGACGCTGTTGCCTGCGTCAGCGAGGGTATAAAGGAGAGCAGGGGCGGCTACCTCAACAAGGCTGTGCTTGAGGACCTAAACGGCCTGAAGCGCAAGGTCGAAGAGGACTTGAAGCGGGCCGAAAAGGACAACGACGTGATTTACCTTCGTGAGTATTGATGGACCCCATGGGGGGATTGGGTAAGAGCCTAGACTGACCCGTATTCAAGAGCATGTCCCGCCAAAGTCGGAGCTCAAGACTCTCGACAGAGCCAACATGGCTGTTGCCAGAGTGCCTCCACAGGTGGCCAATCCTTTCGATTACCTCGGAGAGCAGGCCGAGTTCGGCCCTGCACTCTTCACTAAACTCGTCCCGTTCTCTGTCCACGCCGCAATCACCATCTACGAGCAACTTCGCGATCGGATAGTCAACGAGAACATTATCGGACAGATGGAGACGCAAACTGAGAAGCTGCATGCCATGCTGAGCTCCATCAACCTACCAGGCTCGCTGCAGGCTCTAGAGAAGCCGCTGGGCTTGCCCCACAGCTTGGTGCATCATGCGGAGGAGATACGACAAGCGGACGCCATCGGCCGAATCCAACGAGCGTTCTCAGATATCGACAAATTGCGGACTGCCGATCTTGCGGTCTTCAACGAAGGCAAGGCGATCCTTGCTGCGGAAGAGGAAGAAGACAACCGAATGAGACGCAAGTACGGCACTGATCGGTGGTCAAGGCCTGACAGTCGAAGCGACCCTCAGGGAAGCCGGTTCTGGGCCCAGGTGGCAGAGATTGAGGGCTACTTTGCGAGCAGTACGAGCAGCGATGCTGTCGTGAGGGACAAATACAGGGAGGTTCAAGACATGCTCGAGATGCTCTCTGGTTCGGATCGGGCGATCATGGACTATGTGCCTTCCTCCAGGCGGATGGACATCCCAGAGCCCCTGAAGCCGGTGATAGGAAGGCTTCGCGGAGCTTACAACGATGTCCTCCGGCTCGAGTCCAAGAGGAGAAAGAAGGTGGACGCGCTGCGAGAAAAGGCCAGGACGGACGACATCAAGCCGGATATCCTCAAGGAAGCAGCACGTCTCGAGAGGACGTACCCGACGACGGCTATCGTCCCGGCGCACTTTGAGGACTTCTTTGAGAAGCGTCTCGACAAGCTGTACGACGCTGAGATTGAGGCCGTCGCCAAGGAAGAGGATGAACAAGAGCGACTGATGTCGGAAGTGCAGAGAGTCAACCGTGAGTTTGAGAGTCAGAAGAAGAACCTGTCGAGTGGCAGCCGTGAGCGCGAGCAGGCGCTGCAGAGGCTCGACAACGCCTACTACAAGTACAAGGAGATCGTCAACAACGTTGATGTCGGGCGGAAGTTCTACAACGACTTGAGCAAGGTGGTGGGCCCGAATTTCCGGGATCCGGTCAAGGCATGGGCTGCGGAGCGGCGGATAGACGCCAAGAGCCTCGAAGAGTACGTCAAAGTTGAATCTCGACGGAACCCCTTTACTGACCATGTGCTAGAGAGATCAACATGCCCCCACTCGGTTCCCTCAACATCAACAGATCACCGGTCCACTCTCCGACTGGCTCAAACTACGACCCGCGGGCTCAGTCCTACTTCAACGCGAGCGTAGTCCCCGGCACCGCACCGCAACAGCAGCAGCAACAACAACAACAGCAACAGCAAGGCTCTGCTCGACACTCACCGGCAGAGGCTCACATCCAATCATGGGCCGGCTCGACTGTTGAGCCGCAGCACCCGAGACCTGCCGCCGCCATGGCAGGCATGTGGCAGCCCGACATGGGCATCAAGTTCGGGGGTCAACCCGGCGGCGCACCGGTTCCGGCACCGGCATCAGCCAACGGACAGCCGCCGACGCAGAACACGGCGAACCAGCCGCCGCCGCCGCCGCAGCAGCAGCAGCAGCCGCAAGGGGGCACTTGGAACCCCGGCTCCGGGATCAAGTTCGGATAGGACACGACACGGTTCCCGCCTCCCAGGGGAAAGAGGCAGTAAGGTTGTCCGTTGGTGTATTTGGTCTTCCGGCGAGGGGAGGCGAGCGATCGGGTTCGGCGTTGCTGAGGGGGTTTGTGTCGTCTCGCTCAATATATCATAGCTCCGTCACAAAGCACGCTTTGCTTCATTGGGTGGGTGGTGAATTGCAAAAATAACTAGACAGACCCCGTTACCTTTGCGGGATCGAGACGGTAAAAGGACTTGGTGTTTACAGAGCAATGGCTCCTTGGGTATTTTTCATTAAAGGGGCTAGATTCCTCGAAGATGTTTCGTTATAGCCTAGATCCCGACAACCAATATTGCACTCTATCCGCGCCACGACCACGTCTGAAACCCTTGCCGCGTGTTCGCTGTTGTTTCGGATGGTGTGTGTCTACATACTGCCGACCTGTGCAGCCCATGGTGCCAGAACATATGACCGTTGGAAAAACAAAATGTCTTCTTCGGGTTGGCCTATGTGGGACGACGTTCCGAGGTTGGGTACTACGTATTTGCGTTGAAGTATCGAGCATGATGCTTGTACTGTGTTTTTGTATCGACTGTGTTACTACCATTGTGTATTGTGTGCCTGTGCGAGCCGAAGAGGGACCTACCTGTGTTCCGAGGGTGTGAATGCAAACCACCCTCTTCCCCACAACTCGGAAGCCCGATATAAGCAACTTCAGCTTCACCGACCATACCCGTTGGAAAACTCGGGATTCCGTCCGCTCTCCATATATAAGCCAATGGCTCCCGCCTTCTTCCTTCGTTAACCGCCTTGTTGCTATTTGTAGCGTCATCATGCTTAACGTCCTATAAGGCGTGGCTAAGCCTAGGGGAGGCTGCCTGTCAGGCCTCCTCTCGCCTTCGCGCCCCCCCTTCTCTCTTTAAGCCTACTCATTTCATCCTTTACTTTCCGTAAGAGGCATTCAAAGGCAGCCATGTGCTCTTCAATTTTTCTCCAACGTTACTTATCTACAGTCGCACACCCACAGGCAAGCTTTTTGCTCCTGTATTGTCTTCGTTATAGCACATCTGTTATCCAATCTTGGCGATGCTTTTGTCTGTGACTTAAGACCTGAGGATGGGTACAAACGACTTATATGAGGTGTTTTGCAGGGAGTTCGCTATGCCTTACAAGGAAACAGAGGCTGTGACTAAGAAGTGGTGGAAAGGAAAAGTTCAACCGGCGGCGACCTGACGAGTTGCTACTGCGCTGTAGCCTAACGTACTGATAGTATTATAGAATAAGGTTAGGCGGCTTTGCGGTAAGCCATGGTAAACGACAAGGGTGTGGTCAAGGTACCAGCAATGTTAGTCGCCTGCAGCTCGAGGGGACCAGTAGCTAAGCTGGAAGATGAGAACATCCTCGCGCACAGTTCTCTAGTCCCGCACGCAAAGTGGGGGAGGACTTTGACGGGTTTGTGGCCTGTGGGCGAGGGTTAGTGGTCACCCAGGAACAGTCAAAGTAAATCGGGACCCTTTGGGCGGCGCCATTTCAGACTGGGTGTCTAGATGGTTGTCTGGCTGATGGTCCCTTGGACTTAATGATCGGAGGTAGAGAGGACCAGAGAGTCGCATGTCTACTTGGAAAGCCAGGGTGCCAATGGGACTGGATGTAAGTAAGTCAAGGAGACCTTTAGAAGACAGATAAAGGAGACGAGGGCTCATCGGTAACAGGTTCTATCCAAGCATCTTGTATCTCATAACGCAACGCAGCTGTATTGAGCATCCAAGAAAATCTTGCATCTTACAGCACATTTGCACTGTAGCTACGTACCTACGCAAAGACGGACACACAGAAGGGGACAAAGTACCTACGACCTAGGTATGCATTGGAGATAACAAACAGAGGTTCCACCTGTTCTTTCCAATCATTGATAGTCAGAAGCACGTGTACATAATGCATCGACTTTCAACCTAGCCTACCAAGGTAGCCAGGTGTATATCAAACGTTGCTAGCTTAATTCCTGTCATCAACCTATCGTCAGTTCTTGGGAACGTTTTAGTACAATACATGGCCTTAGACATTAGGGGGTGTGTCAAAGTGGCAATGTACTTTGTATAACGAGACAAAGTACGGACACATAGGTGCCTTTGCATAGGTAAATAGATGTAACAAACAGAAGCCGTTGAGTGCCAGCGTTTGTCGTTGGCAAGTGCTGGGGGGTACCTTGGTTCTCAGGAAGGTTCTTTGGCAGGCAGTAGTGGGTCACGCGGGAAGCTACCCCACCAAGGCACCTGCAGGCTAGCTAGGTACGTACATACCGGTAGGCACTCAACCAACAGCCGCTTCCCTGGGAAGGTGCCAACCTTACTTACGACTTTCGCGCCTTCAACTTTTTCTTCTTAAACCTCTTCGTCCTCTTCCTCTTCCTCTTCATCCTCTTCATCCTCTTCATCCTCTTCATTCTCTTCATTCTCTTCATTCTCTTCATTCTCTTCATTCTCTTCATTCTCTTCATTCTCTTCCTCACTCATACTCAATCTTTCCTCGTCCATCACCGGATAGGTAAGTGACGAGAAATGGTCCCCAGAAACTTAAGACTTCAGACTAATTTCTTCTCACTTAGTCTCATCAAACATGTCCAGCCCGTCGAACCCAGTCGCCGGGAACGTCAACACGGCCAAAATCAACAGGTCGTTCAACCTACTGCGAGAGTTCTACACTCTCGTAGACACTCATAGTCCGACAGTTCTAGACGAAGCAGCACTCGAGGTCTTTTTGACCTCCAACAAAGTGTGCTCCCCACCTCGCGCAGGCTCGTCAGAATATATTGACGAGCACAACACAAGAATGGCTCTCATTACTGAGGTGCAAGCTGCCCTGGAGGCCCTGGATTGTCCAGGGTTGGCCCTAGCCTCTTTGTGGGTTGGGCTTTGGACAATGCCTACCAGTCGACTAGTGCAGTTGCTCAGAGACTTGCGCGATCCATCTACAGAGAGTGTTGTAACGGTTCAGCTGTACAAGATTAATAATGCCTTTCCGAAATTGCTGCATATTTGTAAGTCCCCTTGCTCTTCATCCGATGGATGGCTCCAGATCAAGCTGACATCTCTGCAGTTCGTGGATTGGGTTCTAGAAACGAGGAAGATAGTGAAGATCGCTATCGGCGACGAAACACAAATGAGTCTGTCTCCGTAAGTACTAAACCTCACTATCACTTTTATTCTGTCTTAACGTGGGCTGGTTTACAGGCAGCCGACCGGGATGGAAAACGATGCGTAGTCACAGGCGCCCCATACCCCCAAGTGTGCCATATCTTCCCGTTCGCGTCGTTGAAGCATCGGTTTCAAACGGGTGACTTTCTGCAAGATATGGCACTCTTCTGGGGACAGGATCGGATTAGCACACTTACCAAGAAGCTGTGTGGGCGTCATGCCCCTGGGGCCACTAACATGAATCTTGTTGACACATGTGCAAACATGATATCGTTGAGCCCACAGCTACACGACTGGTGGGGTCGGGGACTCTTTGCCTTTGAGCCGATGGGTGAAGCCAGGCTTTCTGAGAGCCCGTCCAACACTGGCGCCGCTATCCAACCCACTCCCATCGGTTCCCCCTCCACCAGAACCACCCCTACCAGAGCTGCCAAAGTTGCCAAGAATACCAAGCCACCACAGGAATGGTCTATTCAACTACGCTTTCATTGGTTGAGAGATACCAATATCCCGACTCTGAAGTCGCCGGTCAACCTTTCAGCAGACCCTATCGCCATGCTCGAGACGCCGGATCCCAACCGTCATCTGGCAGCTGTCAATCTGGCAACCTGGCGGCCCGTTGAGAATGGTCAGCTCTTCACCATCACAGCTCAAGATCCTAACGCATTACCCGACTACGACATCCTGCTCTTGCAGTGGGATGTGCTAAGAATGTGGCGTCTTGCCGGCGGCGCTGACCCTGCGATATACTCCCTCGATGACGATGACGACGATTACGACGACAATGATATTGCTGTCCTTGGCGGGAAGACCACTCAAGACAATCGAACGCAAACGGTTGACCAAGGAGATATCCCCCGGAGGCAAATCCAACATTCGTCCGAAACAACCGCCCACAGCAGTCAGAATCCGTTCGATCATCCGTTCGATCCTCGTGGCGGTTCCGTCCGGAGACGAATCCAACATTCGTCCGAAACAACCGCCGACAGCAGTCAGAATCCGTTCGATACTCGTGGCGGTTCCGTTCGGAGACGAATCCAACATTCGTCCGAAACAACCGCCGACAGCAGTCAGAATCCGTTCGATCCTCGTGGCGGTTCCGCCCGGAGACGAATGCAACATTCGTCCGAAACAACCGCCGACAGCAGTCAGGATCCGTTCGATCATCCGTTCGATCCTCGTGGCGGTTCCGCCCGGAGACGAATGCAACATTCGTCCGAAACAACCGCCGACAGTAATCAGGATCCGTTTGATCCTCGTGGCGATTTCGACGGTGATAAGCCGGATGCAACCCCGCGTACCAACCAGGGAGGTCTTTCCTAGGTGGCAAACAACCCAGTGGAACGCGTGACGCAGATGAAGGTCAGTTTCCATGAGCCCAAAGAAACAGACTCGACGAAGCCAAAAGGGAGTTCGGACCCGAACGAAGGCGGCAAAACCTTGTCTCTGAGGAAGCGGATTAGCTCCCTCAACCTGAAGGGAACAATCCGAAAGTCATGGGGCCTTATCAAAGGTCAGACCAAAAACCAGACTGACATTCGGAACATGTTTGGCAACCCACCTGACCAGAATGTGGGCTCGGCGGGTCCCAGTTCCTGAAGCAGAGAGTCTAGGAGACGCACGAGAGGAGGGTTTTCGCAAGGGAGATCATTAGCGGCAGAAAGGACTAGCAGAAGGCAGCAGGTTGTCGTTGTTTTTGTTAATTGACTTGATTTCGTTCTATGATGGACCGTCGTTTGCATCTCTTCTGTGTACTAACCAGGTACGATCATACAGAACGAATCGCTCCTCGTCTCTTTCTCCCGTCTAAGTACGATGGGATGTAATGTAATTGTACACGACGCCGGGAATCTCCGACTATCAGAAACTCCTTGACGTACGATCATGCGTCTAGACATGGACAAAAAGGGGGAACCAGAAATGGCCATCCTAAATCTTGAAATTGACTCAACCAGTCACGGGAACCGGGTTGGCAACAATAACCCCCCCTCCCCTTCCTTTTTGTCGGACTTGGATTAGGGTCTTCTGGTTCCGTCCTGAGTGCCAATCTCTCTCACAAGCGGAGACTGGAGTAACATTTGCCCAACGACGTAGCCTTAACGACGGCGTCAGAGGCGTTGGTAAATGAAGTTCCTTGAACAAAAGATGCTTCATCTCTTGAACTTTACACAGCCCTTCCCTCCTGGGCGCCACTTTTTGGTATCTTTTTGGCACGTCGTTATAGCCCACGCTCCATCCACAACGATATAAACGGAAACCCCCCAAAGCTCCAAACCGTTGAAAATACCCGACTACAGAATTCGATTATACAACAGACAAAACCAATGCATTGCAGGACTCACTGGCCGATGGTCATGTTCCTCTCCTTCCACCACTCATATAACGGGGGCACGGCCGAGCACAGCATGTTGACCGGCGTGTCGAGGAGGAACCGTTCAATCTCCTCCGGCACCATGCCCTCGACCGTGTCCAACCGGTAAATGTCTATGCCGTAATCGTGCAGCATGTTCGAGAGCCTCTGCGATATGTCTGGCATCCGGAGAAAGTAGAAGCTTCTCTCCAGCAGCCCGGTGCCCGACATGTCGTTCTTGATTTGCTGCGTACTCGCTTCCACTGCAAAAAGAAAGAAAAGAAGGGTGGTCAGCAAAAAAAAAGAAAAAAAGAAAAGGTTAGATAGCCCACGGTTTGCGAGTCAATATATACACAAAACAAGGGAGAGAAAAGAAAGAAAAAAAGAAGAAGAGCTGCACTTACACACGCTGTACTTGCCCATCTCCATCTCCGTCTCTAGGACGCGGTATTTCCTAAACAAGGGGTCAGTCGTCTCGAGCTTCCTCGAGTGGACGTGCAGGTTGTACAGGTTGACCTCAAAGGGCCCGCCATGCGCGGCCCAGACGGCCCAGAAATCCTGGCCGTGGGCGGCCTCGACGTGCCAGACGAGGTCGTCAAGGACGGCCTTCTCAACCATCCACTGCTGGCTCTCGAGGTTCCAAAAGTCCGGGCCGAACGTGTCGTCCGCCAGGCGTAGCACGCCCGCCGCGTCCCTCATGATGGCCCGCATCGAGTCGCGGTTCGCGAGCCTCGACCGCCACACGGTTGGAGCCCGGGCGTATACGCCAAACGCGCGGCGCGCGCTAAACGGCTGCACGACGATGGACTCGGAGTCGACCCACAGCGCCCAGTCGTACTCAAGCGCCGCCGCCGCCGCCAGCTTCTTGATCGTCTGGTACTAGTACTTGCCGCGCTCCCGGAGCAGCGCTGACGTGTCGTCGGCCGTAATATTTCCGCCTGTCAGCGTGTAGAACACAGGCAGGAGTATATTAAAGAGGTTAACAATTTCAATGTTTAGCCTTAGTCCGTCTACGTTCCCCGGAGGCACAGGGAAGATGCTGAACCTCTCCCTGCAAGGCGCCAGGTCGTCCAACGCGGAGCAGAAGAGCTCATGCTCAGACAAGTCGGACACGATCACATGGATGTTGATCTCCCTGTAGTCGGTGCAGAGGCACATGAAGGATTGGAGAAACTCGATGGCGAGCGGTATGTCTGCCGTCTTGGCATTCCCGGCTATTAGTCGACGACGATTCTCATCGATAGTTGGGCCGGGAGGAGGGAAGGCCTACATAGGTTGGCAATATGAAGGAATACTTGAGCCCGCTGAGATACGGCTCGTTCTGCGTCGACGAACTTGCGCCATTGCTGGGGCCGTTTGGGTTCGTGAGCGTGTCGGCGACGCTTCCGAACAGGGGGGGACGTGTAAACGTCGGAGTGCAGCCACACGCTATAGCCGAGAGCTCTCATGAGAAGAAGGATGCAAGTGAGGCAGCTCAGGTAGATGACGCGTGCCTCTCTCGGGCGCATCGGAATGCCCTTGGACAACTTCATCGTCGGTACTGAGACTGCGGAGCCCTGGGATCCTTGGCGTCCGCGACCCGACGAGCAGGCAACGGGCCCGACCCAAGGGCTCTATAAAAGCCTGGAGAGTCGATGCGTCCCTCATGGAGAGCCACGAGGGAAACAGACACACGGGGGCGGATAAGACGGCGGGAAGAAAGGGAAGGCTGATGGCTTAGCGGCAACAGATCAATAGATTATCGCGACTGTCTCAGCGGCGTACATGCTCTGTTTCATATAACCAGTCGGCTCAGCTCGAAGGCTTGTCTAAGATTCCGGTACTGAAATCTAGCGTTGTCTTTGCAATGCGGGGTTACGCTAGACCTGCATCTAGAAATTCTAAGTTGTCTTGGGTTCTGAAGGGTGTTATCTTGCCCCCACGAGTCCGGTGTTGGCAACCTATACACACACGCCATACGAAAGCTCGTAATATACTAGGGCTCATGGTTCTGTTTACCCTGTTTCATAAGATGTAGTTATATAGACGTATAATTATATGAGACGGAACAAAAGTCTTGTTCTTGGTTCACAACTTACATGACTTCAACCCTTACATTATAGCGTCCCGTCACGTCTGCAGTCTTCTGCGAGTTGTGGTTTCCTCCTGAGACTAGGTATACGCCAGACGAAAGGATTGTTCCCCGACGATGCAAGATCAGTAGCGGGTTCTGCCCATTACAGCGTCAGACGATCGCCTCATAGTCCCCCCGCCCCCTCCTTCGTTCTGAGGCCCACAAAGGGCAGGATCCAAAGACTCCTTTTTTTTTTTTTTTACACCTCGTCCCCGCGCGTCCCGGTCCGTTGGCCGGCAGGGCTCTTCTGCTCCAAGTACCGCTCCTCCACCGGGACGCTCGCGTACGCGTCGCGGCCGCCGGCCCTCTGGTACCAGTACGCGACGACGGCGTAGAGGCACTTGTTGGCGCGGCCCCAGTCGTTGGGCTTGTACTTTTCAATGTACGCCTCGAAGCTGTCGCGGAAGGGCACGTCGTCGCACACGTGGAAGCGGCAGACGGACGTGTGCCCGTTGGCGTCCAGCTCGACGTGGGGCTGGCAGGCGTAGGCGCTCTCGAACGTGGGGAAGGGCGGCTCCGCGGCCCACGCGTAGCCGACGTAGTCCTCGGAGCCGGTGCCGAACGTGGACGGGAACCGCTCGCCGTCGACGAAGAACTTCTCGTCGCCCTCCCCCCACCACCAGTCGACGGACTTGCGCCCTCCGACGCCGTACCACCAGTCGTCCGCCGGCACCTCGGGCTCCTCCCAGCGGTTCCAGACGTGCATCTGCACACCGCAGAACCGGCCCGGCCCGCTGCCGCCCCCCAGCATCAGGAGGGGCCAGTCGATGCCGCGGCCCTCCCGGGCGGGCTTCTCGAGGAACGCGTCCCGGTGCCACTTGGCGTGGAACCGCAGCATGTCCGCGGCCGGCTTCTCTAGCGGGCGGTGGCAGACGGCGAACAGGAGCCTCCGCTCCTCCTCGCCGTCGTTGCCCACCTTGATCGCGGCGCGCTCGGAGAAGGGCATGAACCAGTGGCTGTAGAAGCCGCCGCCGTCGGTCGACCCTTGCGGGAGGGCCCGATACGTCTGGATTCCGGGGACGCTGCCGAAGAAGTCGCCGAGCGGTGCCCAGACGCTCGGCGACTCGTCGTTGTCCCAAGTGACCTGGAAGACGAGCTCTCGCAGGACTTGGGCCGTCCGCTGGGGGTCCTCGGGCATATCCAGCGGCACGACGCGTATGCCGGTGATGGCCCGGTTCCCCGTGATCTCTCTTACGTCCTGGACCTTCCCAGGAGGCACGGTGACCGTGAGCGTCTCCAGCGTGTCGCCCTTGGCCCGGGGCAGCGCGGACCAGCCGCGCCGGCTCAGCTTGCGGTCGGCCGCGGCCAGGGCCAGGCACGCTTCCCGGTCAAAGGTGCCGTCAAAGCACGGCAGCTGCGTACCCTCTGGGAACGACGTGTACGTGAAGTGGTAGTAGGCCCCCCAGCCGGGCCCGAGGCGGATCTTTGCGTACTTGTTGTACGGGATGGGGATGAAGCTGTTGCGGCCGCGCGACAGCGTCGGCGCGATGGAGGGGAAGTTGCACGGCATGTCCTGGAAGCGGTCGAAGAAGTCCCGAAAGGGCAAGTCGACGGCCGGCTCGGCGTCCTGCTCGTCGTCGTCGATGAAGACCTGGATGCGGCCGACGCCGGGCATGGCGGACCAGCTGCGCCAGATGACGCCGGGCCCGCGCTGCTCAAAGGCGACGACCCACTGGCCCTCCTCCCGGATGACGCCGCCGCCGTCGTCGTTGGCGTCCCAGTCAATGTAGCGGTCCGTCTCGGGGTCGTAGCGAGACCGCCGGTCGTAGCTCGACATGCAACCGCCGCGCTCCCCCGGGGCTGGCGGCTCGGCTAGGCGCTCGAGGTCGTAGAGCCGGCGGACGATGTCGGGGTAGGTGAGCTGCATTGTGAACTTGGACTCTTGGGGTTTTGGAGGGCGGCCCGGATTGTGATGATGCGACCCTTTTCTAAACCACTTGTCTTATAATACAAGGTCGGTGTCAGGCTGCATACAAAGGCGTGAATGCCTAAGTTGAAGCTCGTGCCGCCTGCGTCCATCAATGTTGAGCTGCACCTTTGATTCGCTAACTGTCGGGAGAGGTTGCATTAGGTACGTCCTCCTGAACTTTAATCGGAAAGTGTACCTAAGTGTATATGCGCACTGGGTGGCAGCCTCATTGGATGCGTAAGACAAGTCTCAGAGCCTCCCTCGTGGGGCTGAAAGAAGAGCTTTGGTGAGCGAGGGGAGGGAGGCAATGAGATTGGTCTCTCACAGGGTCTCTAACCCGAGGAAAGCCACGTTGCCCAAGTTGAGATTTGCCATGTATCTCCCTAATCGGCGAGACAGCGAAGGGCTAGCGGTATTTGATCAGCTACGAGCTACGGCGAGAAACACAATGCCCGGCCCCCCCCCCCGCCTCAGGTGCCATGAGGACGACGCACGAGGTGGGCTTAGATATCGAAGAGGGCGTGGGGAGTTCACTTATTACAGAAGCACAGTCTCTTATCAATACGTACAACTGTCACGGGTGTCGCAAAAAGCCAAGCTAGCTTAGCTTGCTTATCTTGCACTCATCCTTACATGGCTTCACAGCCAAGCTTACACGACCACAGCGGCTCGCCCAGATTCGCATTTTCAAGAGCCCACATTCCCTCCTCTCTCTCATTCAAACCCCGTCTGTCCCCGTCCCGACTCGCACGGCGACTCCCTCAGTACACTCCCGGGATGATGGTCCACTTCCTCCTCACCTTTTCCTCGCCAAACTGCTCGATGTACCAACGGCGACCGCTCCTCGTGCGCGGGAACATGACAAAGATCTCGTTCAGGAAGAAGGCGCGCGCGGGGACGCTCCACCCGCTCGCCATCCAGAAGCCGAACCACTCGACCCACTCGCAAAAGTAGTGCGGGAACAGCATGTAGCGAAAGAGCATGGCCTCGGGGATCCGGTAGTGCTTGTCGACGCTGACGGCCTGAGCGCCCTCCCGCCTCTGCTCGCGGGCGATCTTTTCCTGACGGCGCCGCTCCGCCCGGCGGATCTCGCGGAGCTCCTCGTCGTGCAGGTAGTTGCCGGTGAGCCCGAGGTAGAAGATGGCGATGCCGGCGACGAACTGGGCGACGCCGCCGAGGCCGAGGGCCTTGTCCCACTGCGACTGGGTGGTGGGGCCGTAGGCGGCGAGGTAGCTACCCAGGCAGGCGGCGTTCATGAGCTGGAAGGACACGGCCATGAGGGCGACGAGGACGTGGATGGGCGACATGGAGGGCTGGATGATGGGGAAGAGGACGGCGCGGTAGGCGTAGTGTATCGTCTGCGGAAATCGAAATCGTCCAGTCAGCGACATGGACCCAGCCCATGACGGTTTTCAAAAGAGGTATACGGAGGGGCAACGTACAAACAATCCAGCGAGCACCTTGTTCTGCCACGGCAAATCATCAATGCCTACCTGGCCCGGCAGGGTGTTCATGATGTACAGCAGCGTCGTAACGCCGGGTATTTCCATTAGGAACCAGGCGACGCGGCCGGGGATGTTGAGGCGGCTCTGGACCGACGTCTTGCCCATGCCATACCAGCTGATGACATGCTGCAGTGAGCCGAACTGCCGATAGGAGTCATACACGTTAGCAGTGTGGTGGTAGAGAGGATATCCGACGTACCACCGGCCACGAGAGCTGCCACACGGTCGTGATGGTTTCCCAATTCTCCCGCGTAGGCGGGAGCCACCCTTCGATCAGCGACATGGCGGTTCGAATCCGAGTGTGTCAGTGTCAGATGGAATACCAATTGATGGGCCCCGGTGGAATTGGATAGTAAATGATTTAGAAAAGAACACGATCTGAAATAGACCCCCCCACTTCGCAAACGACCTGTGCTTGCGTGGTGTTGTGGTGTGGTGTTGTGTTGTGTTCCGCGAGTTTCGTGCGCCAGAAATTGAATTTCTTCATGACATCAAAATCGCAGTAGTGACGCGGGCATAGAGCTCCAGGGTGGGGGAAACCCGGGACGAACACGCGCTAAAACCACACCGCCCTCCCTCTGGGGCACGATGCAGCAGCGGGCAAGGAAGCTAGGTACCTAGGTACCGTACCTGCCCTGCCCCCCTAGGAACCCCGCGAATCGGGAGGCTCCTCTCTCCACCATGTAGTGTAGGTACTATGGTACCTTGCAGCACCCTTACAAGCTCCGATTGGGAGATGCGATGGATGTGCATATCGACTTGCAATTCCGTATAGGTAGGTAGGTACTCCGTAGGTAGGTAGTCAGTCACATATTACGAGAATAACCAAACTTCATCTTCGTAAGCTCTTCGATTCATCACTGTCGACTGACTGACTGACCGTAAGCCATGGTTCCAACGCCGTCCGCTGATACAACATGTTTGTACACCACTAACAACAACAAAAAACTTTACTTGCAACTCTGTCCCTCGCTTTGCCAATACGCGCAAAACATTCATGCTTGCGCGCGCGAGAAACCAAGCATGACAGAAACAAAAACGCCCATTCATGAGACCTGCCCGAGCTCGTCTGCCCTTCACATGACGATGCAATCCCTTTCCCTTCCTCCCTGCGAGCTTCCCACCACCCCGCCAGGGCCCATCACCCGGCCTCGACCACCACCCACAATCGGTCGAGGAGGCGAAAGCGGGAATGACGGCCCGGCCCCGTTCCCATATCGCCCCGTAGTCGGGCTACTTGCGTGGTGGTGAGGATGCCCGGGCGGCGGCTCGTACTTGGCTGCCGCTTGTGCTTGCTCGTACGTCGGAGGCGCATCGTCGACCCCTTCATCCGCCGGCCGGTTCACCCCTTGACGCCGCGCGGGCGCCATCGCCGGCACGAGTGGCCGCACCAGCTGCGGCGGCTGACCCGGTTGACGGCCTGACGATGGCGGCACCGTCGAACTGCTGTTGGAATTGCGCCGGCTGCCGAGTGAAGCTGTTGTGTTGGAAGCGCTCGTGCTGCGTGCCGCGCTCGCCCGTGCAGCCTGCCTATTGGCAGAACGTCTGGTCGTGGGGCCTTGCTGCAACCGCGCCTGCTGCTCAATGTACTGTTCACTCAGCAAGCTCTCTCGTCGACGCGCAGACTGTTCCGCCCTGTGCCGCTGCTCTTCTTCCTCCTGCAGCTGGAGAGCAAGCGCCAGGTCCCTGTCCTCCTGCTCGTGGTTGGGTGACAGAGGTGTTTCTTGTGGGTTCGGCGGCGCATCGAGCTTCTTCTGACGACCGCGGCCCTGCACAGACGTCCAGTCTCCTCCGTTTTCCTTCCCAGTATTGACCCTGAGTCCGTCTGCCGTGTTGTTGCCGACCCCCAGTTGCGCGCGCGAGCTGCCCTGCGACTGCTCGCCCTGACCGCCCACGATGCGGAAGTCGCCAGAGTAGTATTCGGTGCGCTCGCCATTCACATCAGCTAGCGATTCCCAAACAACCTCGTCGTGCGTGGCATAGCCCGCGTCGGTGACGAGCACAAGCAACTGATGTGTCGTAGGATGCCGATATAGGGTGGAAAAGTGGTCGTTCCGGAAGAGGATGGCAAAGGACCCGGGCTTCATGGCTTTCGTAATGACATCCAGACCCGACCGCGTCAGCTGCGTTGCAGACGTTTCCAAAAACTCCTTGATCGCCTGGATGTCAGAGTAAACCTCCTCTTCTTCCTCCGTCAACGTGCCCAGCTTCTCCTGCAGCTCCTCGTCCCGGAAGAGGAGCGTCTGCACGTCCTCAAACGAGGCAGCCTGGCGCTCGAAAGCGGCGTATGCCGGGTCGTCCTTGGACGGCAGCCATCCGTGTATCAGCGGGATGGCAAAGGCAGAGTACAGCGCCATCTCATTGGTATCTTCAAAGGTCCCGGGGATCAAGTCGTCGCGCTCCGTCGGGTGCAGGTGTGTTAGCGAAGTGCGCTTGAAGGCCTTGACGATCTCTGGAGTCGGAACGAAGCGCGGGTTCACGTTCATGCCCGTATGGAGCCCCTTGAGAAATTCATAGAGCAAAGACACGTCCGGCAGCGACTCTTGCGTCCTCCTCATGAGCTCGTCGACGACGGCGTCCAGAAGGTACCCGAGGCTGATCTGTTCTCGGGAGCGGAGGACCTGAACTAGTGCCGTGTCTGACAGAGAAGCCGGGGTCGTCAGCGTAAGCGCGTTGACCAGGGCCAGCAGCGGACAGGGCCCGTTGGTATTCTGGACGAGGATGGGTGAGATCCGCGGGTTCTTCTCGGTGCTATGGTCGTACCAGGCAATATTTTTGATCTGGTAGGTCTCGGACTTGCTGTCGACGGGGCGTGGCGGCTGCCGAGGCGGTTGACCTTCGTCGTTTCGTGGCGGTAGAGCTGGAGGTACCGTTGCACCTGCAGAGTGCTCAGAGGCATGGTGGTTCTGCTCGGGTACCTGCGACCTTCCCGGCGGCGGTCCAGCGGGCGGATCCACATCAATGAGGTTCCAATCATCCATGGGAGCGTCCTCGGCAGTGGGAGGTTCCACGGGGGCCGGGGCTTTTCCCTTGCCCTTTTTCTGTGAGCAAGAGTCACCCCACGCTTGTTGGGCTTGGGCAACGTCATCCTCTGCCGGCCTCGGCGCCTCTGCTGGCTTCTTTGTCTGGTTCTCCGGGAGGTCATCCCACGCCGGCGAAGCGGGTTCCGAGGGCAGAGACAGCAGTGCTGGAGATGTTGGTATTGTGGGCAGGTTGGGGCCTTGAGAAGCAGCCCCGGCATTACGCTCCGAGTCACCACTATCGCGGGTGGGCGGAGACTGCTGTGCGCTAACGGGTGTGGCTCGTTGAGCATGCTGGTCGAGGGCTGGCTGCCACGGATTGTTACTCATCTCGCCGGTGCTCATCTGCGACAGAGGCTGCAGCGGGGGCATCGCTGGGGGACTGTTGGTGGGCGGCGGTGTCGAGCTGGAGTCTGCTCGGGCCTCCCTCCTCTTGAAGGGGTTTGTATCGGATCGTGCTGGCGATGGACCCGGCCGTAACACCAGCGGGATATTGTCTGGGTCGGCGGCAGTCGGGGATCGGCTGCCTTGGACGTCGTCCCTAAGACCATTGCTGATCTTGGGGCCATGTGCCGCAGCCCCGCCCGGCCTCAGCGACTCAGGGACATCTTGGGGTATTATTTGCTGGTTCGGGGCGGCGGCGCCATTTTGCTGGAGATCATGGTCGTAGACATCGTCTGCATCGGTGGACGGAGAGTCGGTGGCACTCCATAGCTCCTTTCGCATGTCTTGTACGCGGGGGGCGGCGTTGGTGTCGACGTAGCTCTCGTCGCCGGAGACGGGCTTTCGGGTCACCATGTCGACGAGGGTCCCGAGGTCTCGGACTGGGGCGTAGTGGATTTGTCTTTGGGAATATGTCTACTTGTTGGCGAACTTGGGAAAGGATGGAGAGGGCGCAAATCAGGGTATTGTCGGACTGCTACTGCTCAAGGCGGGAAAGGCAGCTTAGCTGTTGAAGCTGCAGGCGGGGGGGTTGGGGTCCGTCGGGTAAGCGGGCAATGAATGAGAGTGAAGCTCCAGGAGGTGTCGTCATTCGGGCGGGCTGTTAATAGAAAACCCTCCGGGCTATTGCAAGCAATTACCGTAGGTACCGGTATAGCCCCGACCGCTAAAAGAGGGTCCTGGGGCGGCCGTTGGGAGGGAGGTTGAATGGGGGTGGCTTGTGTCTCTTTCCCCGGCCTCTGCTCGAAGTCGACAGTGACGGGTAGTCAAGATGATGAAGCAGCCAGTTTTTTGCAGGTTGCAAGAAGGATGGCACAGTTTTGGTTTGAGAAGAGAGAAAGAGTGTGCGAGAGAGTGAGAGAGTGAGTGTGCGAGTCTGAGCCTCCTCCGGCTGCAAGACCTGGAAACCGAAGAAAGCCAAGACCACCTTGTGCTCTAGCGACAGCAACGGGCGGCGGCAAGAGTAGCGCGCAGTTGCATGCACGCAACACGCAACGCAACGAAACATAACGATGGACATGGTCAGGTCATGGACTTGGACAAGTGGCGGTGCACCCTTCCCCCACAACCACCACCAACCACCAACTTGGGGGGGGGGGGAATGCAGACGGGTACCTAGGTAGGTACATAGGTAGGTAGGTAAGCTGGAAAAGATACGATCGGCTGGCTGTGTATCTATCCCATCCATCCTGTCTCTTTGCTGCCTTGCGTTTGCTCCTACAGTCTAGGTACTTCAGACATGACTTGCGCATCACATTCAAGAACCGGCATGGGAGGTGGCGATCAACACCCGCCTTACCTCGTGACGACTGATTGCTCTGGCTATACGCAGACGCCGGCTTGGTTCAGGAGGTATTCGTGAGGGGACAACGGCAATAGCCTTCACGGCTTATTCACCCGCGCGGCTTCAATGCGCCGTCTAGCAGGTATTTTCGCCTGTACTGTGTAAGCTTCGCCAGACGCGGGAGCTTCATCCCCCGGAGCTTGCGCGTCCACTCGTCAATTCGAGCGAGCAAGCCACCCGCTTATCCGAAAGCTCAGCTAGCAGCGCCACGATACCAGGCGATGACGGGGAGACTAGGCACACACAAACGAAGAGAATGGAAGGCCCCATACAGGGTATCGATCCTACATGTATTTCAACCATGGAACGAACACCCGAAATCGAAGACTGCGGGAAAAATAGAACAAAGGAAGAAACGATACCCACCCGTTTGGCGCCGGTAAATGAAGATGTGGCGGTGAATGTCTCCGCCACATCCAAAAAGGTACGTACTTCCTAGGTACGCGCTTTCCTCCGTCTCCAGCCACCCACCGCCCCATGGATGGCCCCCGCGCGCCATGACGCAACGGGTCCCGCGCGGTGCTCCGTGCCCGTCACTTCCGGAACAGGGACAGACCCCGCGTCGCCGTCTCCATCCCCTACGGGGGGGAAGGCAGCTAATCTTCACTAACAGCCCATCACCAGATTACCGGTGCGTGCGTGCTAAGGCCAGTCTTCGGGGATGGGGAGGCGCTCTATCACACGCATATGGCTCTGGTGTGCATCGTCTGAGCCTTCTCAGCTTTTTCAAAAAAAAAAAAAAAAAAAGAGGAAAGAGAAAAGAGAAAAAGCGCCCGAGCCTTCGTTTCAAGACAGGCACCATAGGGAGGATGACCGCACACCGGCCTCGCCCACGCGCTGCGGGCCCAATAATCGGTCACTCATGGTCCACTGGGTTCCTTGAAAAGCTGAGTCCCCATCCAGCATGAACTGGCCTGGCATGAAATCCCTCTGAGGAAGGGGGGAGGGCATTAGTAAAGGACTGGACGATGAGCGCACCCGCGAACCTTGCTCCACTCCCGATTCCGCTTGATTTCCGATCTTTGCCTCGACACCTCTCGAACATGCTTCATACCGCCCGTTCGTGCGGTTATGGGACGGTTTGACGCTAGAGGGGGTCGTGCCTGCATAAGCCTGTTCGGTTCGGACACACAAAACGCGTTCCTTATATGCTTCCATCGTGTGGTCCCCTCATCTCTCCCTGCTTCAGAGATGGAGAGGTTGGGTTGTTTGTACCCGGGCTGGCTGGCTCACTCAGGGCCTCTTTCACTATGAGTAATGACAGCAAACCGGCGGCCGAGGTCTCCGTGTCGCATGGTCTGAACAACGTTAAGCGCACCTCTGCTTCCTTGTTTCAACACTTGGCGCGGCGCATCCTCTCAGCGTCCGATTTCGCATTTTGCGCCACAACTCCCAGCTGTCAACGGGAAAGGAGAGATAAAAACGACACGGCAATGATGAGCCCAGCAGGCGACTACGCTGTACGGTATGGAGATAGGGGTCCCGAATTCTAATCGTACCCTTTCCGGTTGAAATGCCTGCTGGCCCCAACATCCACACCTACCCCAAGCGAGGGGGAGGGCTCTGGCGTTGAGCCGGAGAGACTGTGAACCGAAGGCGATGTTTTGAATGGCTTCATAGGCACACATATACTGCAAGCGAAACCCGTTGTCCGCTGCCTCCTCGGCCCGATACGTTTCGACGCCTAGATTGCGGACCCCTGCGATCGACCCGGCCCTCAGTCAGCACCAACTGACATATGTCACCCCTTCAAGTCGAGTTGAAGACCAACGGGGGAAACATGGTTTGAGCGGCGTCTGCTTTTTTCCGACCCCCTCCCCAAACCCTCAACGTCGTTCGTTCGCAGTGGGCGCCATCCAAGCAACTCGTCGTGCAAACTTTCGGCGCAGCTCTCCGTTTCGAGCATGCTTTTCTTTCTTTCTTCTTTTTTTCCTAGACATGAACACCTCGACACCGTCGAGAGAGAGGAATCCGTCCTGAGGAGACTTCGGACGACTGTGTCTGTTGTGGCGGTCCCATCCATGTGTAAAATATCCAACTACTGTTCCCATTGCAAAAAAGACATAAAGGTTGTGATGGTTTGCACCGAGAGCATCGGCTTTCCAACTGTATATGTGCCTATGCGCCCTGCTGGCGGTCGGTATCAATCCTCCTGGCAAGCTTAGGGCTGTCCGTGACGTGTGGTGGTTCGCCTAAGAATTTTGATATGAGGCAAGGGATAGGTAGAATAGAGAGAGAAATAGATAAAACTGTTGGGAACTCGAGATTACCCACTACTTCAACGACACATTTCCATTCCGAGGCTGTTTGGACATATCTGGAGGGGACACGAGTTGGCAGGAAGCGTATGCGAGCATTGATAGTAAGCACTGGAAGAACGAGCTCCCATCAAGCCAGTTCCTGCTGGAGACCAAGACGCCTGCGCCAAACGACGGATGGTCATACCACGAGCAGGGACGAACAGGATTATACCAACCACGACTTCTGGGGGCACCGCCGCATCTGAACCCGTCGCCCGGGAAACTTACACGACACAGCCGACGATGACGGCCCACGGGACCACTTCAGGGACGAGGGAGGAGATGGGATACGGGATATATAGGAATAATATTGTGTCGTAGGAGGGAGAAAACGCCCTGACGCGGACCTCTCCCCCCAAAAAACAATGCTATGAATCTCATCTCTTTCCCAAGAACGCCGAATTAGACCAGGAAACCCGTCTTCTCCCCCCTCTTCTCTACCCCCATCAACGGCTACCGATAGCCGCCCATTTCTCAGCCGATCCAAAGGATAAAAACTCCCATTTCTTATACAACCCTTCGGGGGGATGACCACACAGACACAGACACAAGCATCCATCCACTTCTCTATTAAACACATACACACACTCTCTCATGACCTCCCCACGCGGAACGTCTCCAGCCTCTTACACGACGGCATCTCGAACGCGTCGGCCTGGCGCATCTTCTCCGGGTCCTGGAAGAACCAGCCGCTCGCCGAGTCGTACATGCGCTGCCGCGCCATCAGCTCGTTCTCGCACTCGAACCGCAGCGTCCGCACCAGGTTGTTCTCGGCCGTCTGGTCCAGCTGGCTGAGCTTGCCCTTGGTGAAGCCCTCGACCTCCTTGGGGTTGACGAAGTACTTGACGTTGAGCTTGGGCGTCGTCCGCCCCAGCGTGTTGGCCCCCTTGGGCCCGTCGTAGACGATGCTCGGCGCCGCCGGCCCGCCGCCGCTGAAGAGACTCGAGATGAGTGGGAACACGAAGAGGAGCAGGATGGGCAGCAGGCCCATGAGCGTCGACAGCCCGCCGCCCTGCTGCTCCGTCGCCTCGCGCGGCCTCCTCCGCGGCCGCGCCCCGCCGAACTGGTGCACCCTGAAGCCCGGCCCGCCGCCAAAGTTGAAGACGAACTGGGGTCCCGTGTCGAAGCCACCTGCGCGTTTTCCGTCGTTAGCCGAATCTCCTTAGTACTTGTCATCGCACGCGGGCCATGGAAAAAAAAAAAAAAATCTCACCTCCAAACGGACCGCCGCCGCCGCCGAACCCGCCGCCCCCAAAGAACCGTTGGAACATCTCCTCGGGCGTCATCTCCTCCATGCCGCCGCCGCCTCCTCCTCCTCCTCCGCCTCCGCCGCCGCCGCCTGCTTGCCGTCTGCCGAACCCGCCGAACGGGTTCTGCGCCTGCGCCTGCCCGAACCGGGAGTCCGGATCCGTGCCGAAGCGATCAAACTTCTCGCGCTTCTCCTTGTCGCCCAGAACGCTGAAGGCGCGGCTGACCATCTTGAAGGCTTCGTCGGCGTTCTCGTGGCCGTTTTTGTCCGGGTGCGTCAGCAGCGACAGCTTGCGGTACGCCTTCTTGATCTCGCTCTCGGTGACCGTCGTCTTCACTTCCTCAAGGCCGAGGATGTCGTAAAAGGCCGTCGGCGAGCACTTGCGGATCCGCAGCACCGCCGCCTTTTGTTCTGCCGTGTACGCCCGACCCTGGTTGCCCTGATTGTGCTCGCGGCTGCGGGC